TGCAGAGCCATGCATAACTTCTGTCTTTGCCATCATATGCACTTTGGTCATGAGCCATTAGGCAAAGCCCAGGATGACTGGAGAAAATGGGTGGGGAAAGAATATGACATCTTGATGTCTTGACTATTAAGATCCTCTCTAATGAGGTTGCACTCTGGTGAACACTCATAGAAGATACGAATATCTTCACACTTTGTGTCAGCTTAGGAAGATTCAACCACATACCACTCCCCCATCATCTTTATTACCAATTTCCCTAATACAGTCCCCCTAATACTCTGAACTAAAAGTCAAACCTTTAGCCATAGCACACACACACCCTTTTGTTAGTGTCTATCTGTACCCTTGGCCATCTCTCCTTCCAGGCAAAATGAGCAACTATGTATACCACTCAAAGTTTTGCATACTGGGAAGGCTTTAGGACCCTCTCTGAATGGGGCAGTAGTAGTACAGTTTTTCACCTTCAGATAGTACCCAAAATAATTCAAACCATGCGGAACCAACTCAAACCATGCAGAACCATCAGTAAAGCAGGTCAGACTTTTTTTTGTGCCTCAGTCGACTAGCCATAGAGACCTTCTTCTGAACCATAAGTAAGGGTTTAGTAGGCAGTTTAGTAGGAATAGAAGCCACGGAAATCTGAGGCCCTTGTTCATGCAACTTCTTAATGCTGTGAAGACTTGCTCAAGTCCAAAGGCATCGGGGTGGATCAGTTGGTTAAGCATCTAACTCTTGATTTCAGGTCATGAAATCAGGTCATGATCTCGATCTTGGGATCAAGCCCTACTTGGGGCTCCCTGCTCAGCAGAGAGTCTGCTTGAGATTCTTTTCCTCTCCCTCTGCTTCTCCTACTGTTCATGCATGGGTGTGCTCTCTCTCTAAAATAAATAAATAAGTCTTAAAAAAACCACACACACAACTTCCTCAAGTCCAATCACATCTACATACCACTTCCACTGATAGTGGAATACTGCTGTGAATGCTATCTTTATGGCTTTGTGGCCAAAGCTCAGGTTATAGGTAACATTTATGGGTAGCTCAGGTCATAGTAACATTCACAGTCAAACATTCAGTCTCCAGTAGGGTCCAATAATTGCTGGAAGCTATCTTCCAAAAGGAAAATAGTTATATGAAGAGAATGGCATAGTTTGATCTGTAATCCTAAGGGTTTACTCTGATTTAAGTTCAGAGGCTGCTGAAGGCTCTATACAGTGTCTGTGGCTACATACAGTGTCAGACACTTCAAGCACCATTGGATGTGACAGTTAGTATGGCCCAAGGGGCAGATAAGTTTGCACAGCAGCCTATACCTTTTTGCAGAGCCTTCTCTTGTTCTGGATCCTACTCAAAACTGGTAGACTTTTGACTTTTCTGGCAAATAGTAAGAGCAGCAAGACCAAAGGAAGAACATGCTATTTTTGAAATCCAAAGAGATCCACTAAGCATCGTACCTCTTCTTTACTGGTAGGAGAAGCCAAAGGCAGAAACTTGTCTTTCATCTGAGCAGGGATATTTTGACACGTCTTCAATCACCAGGCTCCTTGAAAATTTACCAGAGTGGCGAGCTCCCTAATTTCTGTAGAATTTATCTCGCACTATCTGGCATGCATTGTCTTACCAAAGTGTCTAAAGAACCTGCTACTTCCTACTCACCAGGCCCATCCAGGATGATGGCATCCATGTGGTTGACAAAACCCTGAGGAAAGAGAGTAAGGTGTACTATTGGTCCTGCCAGTTGAAAGTAAATTGCTTCTGGTTATCTTCACTAACAGATATAAAGAAAAAACATTTGCCAGATCAATAGCTGAATAACAGGTGCAATGGATATCTTTGCTCCAATAGTGAAACCATGTCTGGAGTAGAAGCTGAAATTGAGTCAGCCTGATTAAGTTTATGATAATCCACTGTTATTCCCCCAAATCCATCTGTAATCTACACAGGACAAACAGACCAGTTGGAAGAGGATAATCACCACTATTATATAGTTCAAGTTCTGATGGTGGTGTTCATTTCTGTAATCTCTCCAGGAATGATATTGCTTTGGGCTCACCATTTTGGTAGGTGCAGGCCATTCCAGAGGCTTCTTCTTGACATTTCCCACTACTGTAGCCCTCATTGCATGTGATAGTGAACCAATATGGAGTGGAAGTGGAAGTGGTTCTTCTCATACCTATCTCTAATGATTCACTAGCAAAATGCTACTTCTCACTCCTAAAACTTTGGGCACTACTGGTTTAGAGATATTAGTTCTTGAGATAAGAATGTCTCCTCCAGGGGACACAAAAATGATTCTATTAAATTGGAAGTAGAGACTGCCACCTGGCTACTTTGAGTTTGGTTTTCAGAAATAAAAAAAGAAGAAAGAAAGAAAGAAAGAAAGAAAGAAACCCCAACCCTGCAGCTACAGGAAATAAAGGTTTATTTTAAGGCAATCACAGAACAGTCCTGATCCCTTACCTATGTCTTGAGTTGGAAATTTGAAAGAACTGAGTTCATAGCTTTCTTTCTCCACATTCTTGAGTCCACTTAGAAGCAACCAACTAACCCTATTGTGTTCTTTATCTCCATTACATTGTTCAGTGGTAGCAACTACTCACCCAGAGCCAGCCAGAGCTTTGCCTTCTGTAGGTATTTGATTCCCTGTGAGTTCAGATAATAATTAATGTACCTGTCTTGCCACTGCATGCCGTAGTCTAGTAGGGTCATCTTTGCCCTTAGCAATAGGGTCATGAATGCCTTTAAATCTGATCATATTAACTCAAGATTCCTATCCTTAAAGTTCTATTCCCCTGGAATCACTTCTACTACCTATAAAATTGATATTGATTTTATGATGATACTAATAGCGTTAATCAGGGCTCAATCAGGAAAGGAGAAACAGCAACAGTATTGTGTAATAAGAGATTTATTAGAGGAATAAGGCCTTAGATATTTTGGAGAAACTGGGGAAATATGCAGCTGAATGGAGAAGTTAGAGGATCGGAGAAAAGTTACTGATCAACTTTCTGAAATCAAGCATGTCCAGTTAGAGCAGGATCTAGAGAGTTGGTAGAGAAGTTTACATGGAAGGCTGTTGCCTCTGTATCTGGGGATTGGTCTGCAGTTGCTATTGGTCAGAAGGGCTGAGATTTGCTAAGAAAAACTTGATGTGGGGTCACCTGGGTGGCTCATTTTATTAAGCATTCAACTCTTGATCTCAGCTCAGGCCTTGATCTCAGGGTCATGAGTTTAAGCCCCACATTGGGCCCAACGCTGGGCATGGAGCCTACTTTGAAAAAAAGAAAAGCTTGCTATGGAATGAGGGAAAATGAGTGTAGTTTGGGACCTGCTGGCACCTCTAACCATGGTAATCTTCAGAGAATATTTGCTACTGATGCCCTTCTCTGCCTTCTAACTTCAACAACTCTAATCTAGAACCCTGCATGGAAGAGAATTCTGGGAAATATAATTTCAGCTTACTCAAATCAACACGATACAAACCACCACATACCATGTATTAGCTGCCTGATAGTGAGCAAATTGTTTTATGTGTATGAGTTTCTCTAAGTCTTTTTTTCTGTCTCAGGATTTGGGCATTGTCTTCTGGAACATTGTTATGGGTTTCCTGGAAGATGCCCTGTTGCTGGGTGTGTCCCACTTACAAGTCTCTTGACATGGACACTACCTCCTCCCACTGGCCATCTAATGACTCCCTCTCAGTCCTAGGACTTGTGGCAGTCTTTCGCTAGCTGGGGCCACTACTCCCTTCCAGGCAGCCTTGTCAGGCAGTCTACATAGACCCTTAGAAAATATACAAACATCTGTGCTCCGCTAAACTCTGGATGTGCAGCTTGCTCCCAAGAGAGTTCTCTGGGCTCACTATCCAGGCCAGCAAGCTGACCATAGCCACTGGCCTTCAGATCATTTTCAGGCCTGAGTCCCTCTGTACCTCACTGTCCCACTGATTCAAGTCAAGCTCTTGGCATTCTTTTCTGCAATTCGGCTAAGGAGGGTATAGTAAGAAAGAATCAACACCTAGACCTTCCCCTTGGCTGGGGGAAGGAGGAGTGGCAGCCCTCTCCAGACAGATCTTCACTACCACCTGTTTTTCTATTTGAACTCTCTTATACAATCTGAACGTGAGTAATGAACTACTGATCACCCTGCTTACCAATCTGCAAGAATAGTCTACCATCTTGATTTAGAATATGGGAGTAGTTAAGAATAGTTGATATCTATCTTTCTTTTCCTGAGCTTTGGGGCCTCTGCCCAAATTTTGGGAAAAGTCCCATTTAACATACTATTACCTATATAAAGAGCCTGGCACTGTGCTTGACACAGGTAGATATTCAGTAATAGAGGTAATAGTGGATTGCCAAACATGTGGATTAATCTGGTCTTTGAAATGGTTGGAATCCTCTCTCCCTAAGCCAGACTGAAAAGGAGTTTGTACCCTCATACATGACATAGGCCTCATACATAGGCATTATGTCTACATGTTTATTCCTAATAGAATGTTTACAGCCATCAGAGCCCAGTAGCTTCTGTGCCCATGCACACACCCAGATCCACAACCCACACTCAGTGACAAATCCCAAGTCCAAGGAAGTCAGGAACCAGCTAAGCTGTTCACACTGGGAGAAGAGAGAAATAAGCTCTGTCCTGTTCTAAAGTCTATCTCAGCCACAGCAAGTGGAGTGGGAGCGTGCAGTCGTGTGCTGAGCCATGTGTAGCCAACTGGCCTGACGTACCAGCTGGCATCTGTCTTAATTAGTCAGTCTCTGTGCTAATGTAGTTTTTATACATTGTGACTATCTGCCTTGTTTGTGGGCATGGAGATACTCAAATCCACAGATGCACAGAAACACGAGCACATGTGTATACAGAGTTACATCTTTACTCAGGGGTACACACGCAGTTACTTTCCTTGTGTTTATTTTTTAAAATATTTTATTTATTTATTTGATAGTGAGAGAGAGAGCATGAGCTGAGGGAGGAGGAGGGGCAGAGGGAGAGGGAGAGGCAGACTCCCCACTGAGCAGGGAGTTTGATGACACCAGGACCCATCCCAGGACCCTGGGATCATGACCTGAGCCAAAGGCAGATGCTTAACCAACTGAGCCACCCAGGCATCCCACTTTCCTGGTGCTTAAAAGTAGGAGTTCCATGAACTTAGAAAATATGAACTGAGCTGATCTGGGGTGTGAGAACATATTAAGCATTCTTCTTCTTCAAGTCTTTTTCTTGGCCTCTTAGTCTTTATGTCTTCATCTCCTTGGTGGTTAGGTCTCACCAGTGGCACTGGAAAGGATTAAAGGGGACACAGGCACAGCCTCCAAGAAATCCCAAACCTAGAAATACAGCATAGAGTTATCATTTTCCAAACACTAGGTCTGCTGGTAAATGTTTTAGGCCTTGTGGGCTATATGGTCTCTTTGCAATGACTCAGCTGTTGTCCCAGCAGGGAAGTAGCATAGATAATAACAAATGAGTACAGTTACGTTCCAATAAAACTTTATTTGCAAAAACAGTCAGTGGGCCAGATTCAGCCCCTGGGCCTTTTTGCAGACCCTCACGCTAGAATCTAAAGAAGCCAGAAGCCATCAAAACTGATGGGGGGCTACATTCAATCTCCTCCACAAAGGACAAAAAAATCTACTGTTTTGGGTATGGCATCCAATTTCTTCTAATTATTTTGTACTATGCTTTGATATTTTGATGTTCTTCTGAATGAGTTTTCTCAATCCCTCCTTTTCATCTTTACTTCTCTCCTTCCCAAACCCCAACGCCCTACCTCCAGCCCCTAGTCAAGACAGTCCAGAGGGTGTGCCCACAGAGCTCACGGATGTCACCCTGGGACACGGGTCTCCTGGGCCCTCCAGGTTCCACCCCACGTGAAGGGGGAAGAGTGGAGTGGGAGGAGGTCATTGCTGAATACCTTGGTGGTTTTTACTCTGTGTCCATTGCTGCAGCTCCATCCTGACAGATCTGGGAGCATCTTACAGTCCTCCCCTGGCAGGCAGGGCTCCATGTGACACCACCACTTCTGCAGGACGATAAGACTGTGGGAGCAGCAGGTGGTGAGGGCAGCATGCGGCCAAGGGTGGCAAGTCCGTGCAGAAGGAAGTGCACGCTTGCACATCACTGGCTCTGAGCCCTGCATGTCCCTGTTTTCCTGCATTTGGGGCTGCCCGGGAAGGCAGCACTCGGCTGATTTGGGGGCACACACCATACAAGGATCAATCCCACTGACCCATACATGTCACCAAAGACAGCACAGGACGAAGGCAGGGGAAGGCCTCCAAGGAACCCTGGGGCTGAGCCGCCACACACTAGCAGAGAGGCACAGCCTTCACCATACCCACTAGGTGTAGGAGAGCGAGCGCACAGGGGTCCACACGGGAGTGTGAAGCAGGCACATGTGTGAGCACAAGTGATAGCCCTGCCATGTGAGTTCAAGCTTGGGAGCATGGGCGGGATCTGGGGCGGGGGTGGGGTGTGTGTGAGTGACAGTGCGTGTCTCTGTCAAGGCCCTAGGAGAAGGAGAGGAGGGTGTGTGTGAGAGGCCTGGGGAGGCAGGTGAAGAGGTCACATCTGATGGCGAGTCTGGGAGGGTGGGTGTGAGTGATGGGGTGCATCTGTGGAGCGCTGGGCATGGAATGCCAACAAGGGGGAGGGCAGGTGTGGAACAGGGCCTCTCCTTCTCCGTGAAGTGGGGATGCCTCCATCCACTGTCCTCCCCACAGAGCTCACCCAGCATGAGACTGACCATGAAAGCCCTGGGATGGTAGGAGATCACATCCGGAGCAGATGGTGCAGTGTTAGATAGGCCTTAGCCCTGTGACAGGGCCCTCCCCACTGGGTCCCCGACTCTCACTCATGCTCACAATCAACGCAGGACAGCTTTGCCTGCGTGGTGCCAGCCACCTGGCCAGAAAAGCAGGAGCATTTGACAGTCTGGGAGTGCTCCCCAACCTGGTTCTGGTTGCAGCAGCGATCAGTGGTGATTACCCCACAGGTGTCCTGCTTCACAAGGACTGAGGAGGCCGGACAAGATCAGAGGCCCGGCCCAGGACCGCAACCCTGCTCCCTCCTACCTGCCCTGCTTGTTGGCAGGACTTCTCCCAGCCAAGGGCAAGGGTGTTTCAGAGAGTTGCAGCTGCAGGGGAGGAGGAAACACACGTGAAACCGTCCTCCTCCTTCCACATCCCTGTCTGTCCTCTTTCCCAGTGAGGCCATGGTCATCCGTCTTTGGCAGAGCCTGGCCTTTGGGCAGAAGAAAGGTAGGGTTCTCCACCAGCCCTCACTTCCTCTGGCTTCCTCGGGGTCAGGGTAAGGGCCCTGGGTGCTTACATGGATTATCTGCTTACACAAGCTTTAGCCATCCCAGGAGGAAAATCACAGCAGATTTTCCTGGGTGAAAAACAGAGCAGGTGGGGATGCCTGGGTGGTTCAGTGGGTTAAGCCGCTGCCTGCGGTTCAGGTCGTGATCTCCATGTCCTGGGATTGAGCCCAGCATCATCATCAGGCTCCCCATTCAGCGCGGGATCCGCCTCTCCCTTGCCCTCTGTCCCTCTCCCCTGCTTGTGCTTTCTCTTACACTCTATCTCAAATAAATAAATAAATAAAATCTTTAAAAGAAAAAAGAAAAAGAAGAGGCAGGCACCCTAGAATCTGCATTTACTCTGCCTTGAAGATCTGCCCGCTATGGAATGAATAGGGAGGGTGCAGTGGTGCCCATGTCTTGGGGATCCCGAGAAACCCTGCCACACATTCTGCCACCCCCTAGACCTGTGGGAGTTGGCGGCTGCAAGGAAGCTGAGGCGAGGAGGGTCCACAGCCAGGCCAAGTAAAGCACCTGTTCCAAGAGGTCCTCTCATGCATCCTGTGGACAGAAGCACACAGCCTGGTCACCTCTGAGCAGGAGCTTCTCAGCTCCTGCAGGATGCACACCTCACCCCTAGGCCGCTCTTAGCCTTATGCACACACACTCCGTACAATTGCTGTCGTAGGAAAGGGTGCAGGGAGAGTGTCCAACTGGGAAAACCATGGACAGCTTTGTGGGGACAGGTCTTGACAGATGGACCAGACATGGTCCCTGGGAGGGCTGTGCCACAGGAGGAACAGTACGGCTTGACTCCCATTTTTTTCAGCATTTGACCCCAGGTACTTCACGTATATGCTCTTGCAGCCTTCACAACTGTCCTACAAAGTAGGATTACTTGTACCTCTTTGACAGATGAGCAAACTGATACCCTAAAAGCCTGGACACAACCTAAACAAGCATCAGTACGGGTCTGGCTAAATACATTTGTGGAGCATCTGTACAAATGCAGCTACATCCAGGCAGCTATAAAACAGAATGAGAAAACACTTTATGTACTGAGGCATACAGTGATCTCAACGATAATTCACCGTGGGGTGAGGGGAACCAAAGTGCAGGATGATGCCTATAAAATGCATAAAAGGGAGGGATTATATATGTTGCTTAAATATGCATAAGCTAGCTCTGGAAAATGTACCAAAGAAACCTAGTAATGCTGATTGCCACTAAGGAGAACTGGTTGGCTGAGAGATGGAGGTAAAAGGAAGACTTATCTTTCTCCCTATTGCTTTTTTATTGGGGGCGGGCGGGGGGGGGGGGACTGTGGGAATTCAACAAACTTAAATTTAAAAAAGAAGAAATGACACCAGGGCTAATAGAAGTCAGATGACTGCACCAGGCCAGGCAGCACGTGGGTGGCCGAGCCTAGAGCCCAGAAGCCTGTCCTATTCCTGCTGCACCACTTTGGCTTCTCCTCTTTTCTCTTCCCCTATCCTTGATGGGCCGGGCTTCCCATTTATCTCCAGAGCTCGAGCCAGAAATGGAGGGGATCCCCGGGAAGCAGAGGCATAGAGCAGCAGGGGGCTGCCCGGGCAGAGAAGTCTGGACCACCCCTCTGCTGCACTGCTGGCCCCCTGGGACATCGCTGGAGCCTCACAGGTGTCAGAACAGTCTTGGGGACTCCAAAGGCCAAACCAAATGCCGGGACCTAGGATAGAGTGCTTGATCTCTGTCACCACCATCACCCTTCCACCATCCCCCACTTCAACTGTCTCCTGGCTCACCTTTTTGGGGATCTTTCAGCTCCTGATCCATTCATCCACAGGCCTCAGACTCACTCCACCTAAACAAGTAGGAAAGATTTTTGGGGGCTTTGCAAGGGACAGAGGGAGCCCATAGCTGTGCAGGAGGTGAGGATGAGCAGTGGCAGAGCCTAATTCTAAAGCTACTCCTCAAGATTCAGGGCCCCAGGGCAATGTCTCTCCTCTGCCTTGGGAATTCGCAGGGATCCTCAGACTCCAGGACCACTCAGGGCAGCTAGTCTGAGAAGAGGAGCCTGGGGGTTCACCTGTCCCCATGGTAGGGAGGTGTCTAGGATCAACTGCTGTCATTTCTCTGGCCTTGGGAGGGAACCAAGGCCTGGGAAGGCTCCTGAGCAGGATCTGACACACTACTGCTCCAAGAAGCCCCTGGAAAATACCTGAAGGTCTTGAATTCTTTTGCCTCCACCTCCTCTCCCCACTGCACCTGGGTTAACTCGACCACCCTCACCCCCATTTCCAATCCAGAGGGTTAGAATGGGGTGCCTCCCAGGCTCTAGCCCCAGGAGCCCCAGCCCACAAGCCTCTCCATTTCTCTCTACAACCTCCCCTCCCTCGGCCTCCAAGGGGAGGCGGAGATGACTAGGTAGGAAGGACGATGGGGCCCTGAGGGACCTATGGAGGAAGTGGTGCCAATACCCTAGAGACAGATGTGTTTCAGCAGCAGGACCTTCCAGGCCTTCTGAATGGATCTCTTTTTCAAGTACTATCTCAGAGGAGAGGCCTGTCTCCTTCAGGAACCTTCATTCTGATCATGTCACTTATGGCTTGGTCTTCTCCCAGGCAATCCGCATGGCTTTCCTGAGTTGCCACATCCTCCGACCCAACTCTCCCAGGAACCCCAAGACCCAAAAGACGGGGGATGTGCTTTTGGGCTGAGTTCTCTGGAATGCTATTCCCTCCCTCAGGGATAAGGGGGAAACAGAAGCTTCTGAGGTTTGTTCTGGGTTTCCACACTCCTGCCTCAGTTTCCCAACCTGTTTTCCCCAAACCCAGACGCAAGGAACGGGGAGGCCGGGTCGGCAGCCAGCGCACGGCGTGGAGCTGAGGACGCAGACCGCCAGGAGCTTAACGTCCCCCGGCCTCCTCTCGGCTCCCCGCAGCGCCCGCTCCGCTCCGAACCCAGAGCCCGGAGCCCCGGGCTCCATCCCGCCCCGGCGGTGCCCACCTGCCTCTGAGTCCCGCGCAGAGACTCCGACAGGCGGACCTCAGGCGGGAGCACTGGGCTCGGGTGCTGTCGAGTCAGGAGCCCCGGGTCCCTCGCCGAGGTGCGGCGTCCCTGAGACCCGGGGGCTTGGCCAAACCCGCATCACGGTCCCTTCCGGGCCCGCTCCCCGGGGCGCGGCGAACTCCGGGCCCGCCCGGCCAGCTCCGCAAGGCTCAGCGGGGTCCCTCCGAGGCTCCGGCCCGCAGCCCAGGGAGCGCGCAGCCGCCGCCGCCGCCGCCGCCGCCGCCTCCGGGCCGCCCGCCCCCCTCGCTGCCCCCGCTGCCCCCGCTGCCCCCGCTGCCCCCGCTCCCCCCGCTCCGCCAGCCCCGCGCGGCCGCCCCCTCCCGGACCGCTCCCGGCTCCGCGCCGAGCCCTCCGCTGGGCGGGCGGGCACAGACCCGCGCAGCGTCCCCTGGCGGCCGAGGCAAGACGAGCGAGGGGAGCCCGCCCCTCTCCGCGCCCCCACGGTCCCTCCCCGCGCCTCCCCGCGTCCCTCCCTGTCCCGCCGCGCTGTCCGCGGTCCCGTCCGGGTGAACCTCTCCCTGGTGCGGGCCGGGGTAACCCAAGGCATCCCTCTCAAAACACCCCGTCTCGGGGATCCCTGGGTGGCGCAGCGGTTTAGCGCCTGCCTTTGGCCCAGGGCACGATCCTGGGGTCCCGGAATCGACAGGCTCCCAGCATGGAGCCTGCATCTCCCTCCTCCTCTGTCTCTGCCTCTCTCTCTCTCTCTCTCTCTCTTTCTCATAAATAAATAAATAAATAAATAAATAAATAAATAAATAAATAAATAAATAAAAAATGAATCTTAAACAACAACAACAAAACTCCCCGCCTCGTGGCTTCCAGGGTGGGAGTGGGCTTGTGTGTGAGGGGGAATGACCAAGACCCCAAGGGGTTTTGAGTCTTGAAGATTCTAGAATTGCACTATCCAGTAGGATAGCCACTAATCATATGTGGTTATTTAAACATAAATTAAATAAAATCTGGGGTGGCTCAGGTCATGATCCCAGGGGCCTGGGAGTCCTGGGATGGAGCCTGGCGTCAGGTTGCCTCTCTGTAAAGGGGGTCTGCTACTCTCTCTCCCTCTGCCCCTGTGCTCTCTCAAATAAATAAATACAATATTTCAAAAAATTAACTAATCAATTAAATTAAAATCTAAAGGTTGTTTCTTATTTGCACTTGCCACATTTCTAGTGCTCCTCAATAGCCACACGGAGCTAGGGACTACTGTATTGGAAAGATATAGAACATTCCCATCATCATACAAAATTATATCAGACAATGCACTTCTAGATTCACTTCTAGATGTGAAAATGTTAAAATCCAGGAGGAAAGAGCAAAGAATCTCTGCCCTAGGTAGGAGTGGTGTCACCAGGGGCAGGAAGGACTAGAGGAAGTATGAGGGTAAAGGCCAAAGCAGGCAGGAGGACCCCCGATAGGCTGATGACTGGTCCCTGTGGATGATGGCTGTGAACCCAACCTGAGAACCCAACTTGAGACCCAATATCTTCATTATATGAGTTGCAATATAATTGCAATTTTATAATTTTTACAGGGTAAGATTTTGGAAGTGGAAGCATTAGAAAAATGGGAGAGAGAGATGGCCTGTGAATTTGTCTCTCAGGAGGAAGGACATTCCTCTTAGTTAAGAGGGCTTTGGGATTGGAGTAGTGGGGTGGGTAGAGGTAAGGGTGAAAAGCCTGCATCTGTACTCTGAGCCACTGAATGTGGCCTAGGTTAAAGGGGTCTATTCTGACTCCTCCCTGGCTAAGGCCACACACACCCCTGGCAGGGTCAGGCACAGAGCAGTCTCAGTTCTCAGCAGAGAAGACTATCTCCCAAGTCTGACTTCCTACCACACCCCCTTTTCCTTCCCACTTTCTGCTACCTCAGGGATAAGTAAAGTGATGATTTTCTTACCAGATTCTGGAGCAGTCGGGGGATGGAGGAGGTGTGATGATGCCAGGAATCAGAGGTATGATTTTCAGAGACAGGAGAGCCTTAGGATTTAGGTAGGGGGGCAGTGTTCCGGAGCTCAAGGGCACCAATGACATCCCCACTGGCCACCTGGTGCTGGATCTAGGGTTCTCTATGTCCTGGTTCTGTGGCTTATTTGCAGCCACACAATGGTGGGTGTTGTGAAGAGCAAGTATTAGGGAGCAAGGTGACACAGAGAAGTGGCAAGCCAACTGCCCCAGAAACACTGAATAATAATAGCCAGGATGTTATATTTTTTTATCAGTCTTTGCTTGCTGCTGTTGTTTATACCATTTATCTGAAAGCTGATTCCAGTTTTTCACAAATAAAAAGGAAATACCCATAGCAGCAGCATGTTCTTTACTTCCATTTGCCTTTGCCACTCTATATGATTTGCGTCTGATTTTACTTTTCTTGTTACTTCTATTTTTCTGGCTGTCTCTGCCAAGAGTGTAGGTATAATTACAGCAAATTTAAAGACCCGAATGACCATTATGAGATTTTTTAAAAAATATTTTATTTATTTATTCATGAGAGACACAGAGAAAGAGGCAGAGACACAGGCAGAGGGAGAAGCAGACTTCCCGCAGGGAGCCCGATGCAGGACCCCGCATCACATCCTGAGCCAAAGGCAGACACTGAACTGCTGAGCCGCCCAGGTGTCCCACCATTATGATATTTTTATTTGGAAACTGCTAGGAAAGCTACCCCTTCTGTGGGCATACTTTAGCTCAGGAACAAAAGGGTTATGTTCAGGAAGCATTCTGCCCACAGAGCCCAGAGACAGAGTCCCGACCATGGACTCCATGCCAGTGATTCTTGAAGGCTACCCCGACTTGCTTGAAGGCCACAGGGCCTTGTCTGTATTTGGACAGTGCAGGGGGTAGGAGATGTCTCTGGAGATCTACTGATCAATTCTCTGATCAGGGCTCTTGGGCATTCAGTGAGGACCACGGTTCCCTTACACGCAGGCGCTTAGTCTGGCCTCTGCCTCCCCCTGGCGGTACCCTACAGATCTTTGTTCAGCCTCTGCCTGAAGAGGAGGAGGAGAAAGGTGGAAGAAGTAGAACCCCCCCCCCCCACTCCTCTCTCTGCCATTCACCTCCCTTTAACCCTTTCTCCACGATCCCGACAAATCAGCTTGGTTCATCACAGCCAAGTTCGGGCGCCCGGGGACTGGCACAGATGTGAGTCTCTCATCGACTGTGTGACCTCTTGAGGCAAGTCCTGTAAAATGACAGACGAGTGATGGGTAACAAGAACCTAATAAAACCCAGCTTGAAGGGCTGCTGTTTGATATAAAATGGTCTAATATATGGAAAGTGCTTTGTAGCGGACCCACTATCTGGTAAGTTATTGCTGTGGTCAGAGGAGGTGTAAATGTGGGGGGAACTTGGGTGCTGAGAAGGAAAGTGGAGTCAGAGTGGCAACCGCTCTCGCAGACCTAGGGGTGGCCGTCATGGGGCACAGCGCCGTCAGGAGCCCGGGGAGCCCCCCAGCTCTCTAATTCCGGATGGTCGGCTCCAGCCCGCGTCCTTAGCACCCGCACAGCACACCCAGCGCCTGCCCGCTCGCCCTCACTCTCACTCCAGCAGCCCCAGCCAGAGGTGGTGTCACGCCGGGTGCTTCACACCCAGCTTCGCGGAAGCTACTGGTTTCGCACTGAGGTCAACAGCTCCATCACCCTCCGGGCAGGCTGGCTGCTACGAACCGAGAGCGAGGAGACACCATCTGCCCCGCCACAGAGGGGAAGTTCCAGCTGATGTGTCGTCTCGTACACGGCCGAAATAGGTGTCCTCGCCTCCATCCCCTTCCCACAAGAGCAGACCCCACTTCCCCAAAGAAACTAAGGCGGAGCGAAGTGGGAACCGGGACGGAGCAGGCTGGGAGCCGGAGGGGCGGGGCCAGGGGCGGCCCGGAGCAGGAGGGAGTTTCGCCGGGCCCCGCCCTGCCGCCCCGGAGCCAATGGCCAGGGAGAGCCCGCGGGAGCGAGCTCCGCCCACCGCGCTCCCCAGGGGGCGGGCCCGTCCTCGGGGCGGGGCCACGGCCGAGGGCGGGGCAGGGAGGCAGCATGCTAAGCCGGGTGCGCTCGGCCGTGGCGCACCTGGTGAGCTCCGGGGGCGCCCCGCCTCCGCGCCCCACGTCCCCAGACCTGCCCAGCGCGCCCTCCGCGCAGTCCGCCGCTCCCCCAGAAGCGCCCAGGAGCCCTCCGGCGAGGGCGGGGAGCGGGAGCGCGGCGCCTGCGAAGACAGTAGAGGCTCGAGCGAGCTTCTCCCGACCGACCTTTCTGCAGCTGAGCCCAGGGGGGCTGCGACGCGCCGACGACCACGCTGGCCGGGCTGTGCAAAGCCCCCCGGACACCGGCCGTCGCCTGCCCTGGAGCACGGGCTACGCCGAGTGAGCGCCCCCGGGAACACCGTAGGCAGGATGGGCCCCCCCAGCCCCCAGCCTCTTCCCCAGCTGGGCATCCCCGGCGCCGGGACGCGTGCCCCTGGCGGCGCGCGGCGCGGCGAGCGCCCTCCTCCCGGGACCTTTGCTGTCCTCTGGGCTTCGGGCCGCACCCCCTCCCAGCCCCTTCCTTCTCGCTCGGCGCGGTTTTCCTTAGGACCTCCAGCTCGTTGACCACCCTCACCAGCGCGCCCCCGGACCTTGTTCCCTTCCAGGGCCCGGAGGGCGGAGGGCCCCGTGGAGGATGAGTTGGCCAGTTCTCAGTCGGGGCCCGGCAGTTTAATGGCCAGGGGAGGCGGGGTTTCAAGGGGGGGGTGCGCTTTTAATAGAGGAGATGGAGGCTGGAAAGACTCGCTCCTGGGCTTCCCGACCCTAGCGCCCCAGTTTCTGTCCCTCTTACCGTTCCCCTCCCCCTCCACACCCAGAAATAGCCCGCGACACCAGGCGGCCTCCGGCTTCCCCAGGGGCGGGGGAGGGGGCCGCCCGGGGAAGCAGATGGGTCCCCCTTTGAATGTCCCTCGGCGGGCGGGCCTTGCCCTGGCCGGGCCACGGCGCGGACCCCCCGCCGCAGCGGCGGGAGCAGCCGGCTGGCTCTCAGCCTGGCTACAGTTTTAATGTCTCTCCTGGGAGAGCAGAGCACGGAGGGAGTCGGGGGCGCTGAGGTCGCTGAGTGGCGGCCAGTAGACCCGTGGCCCCACCACCAGCTCCTTGAGCTATTCGGGAAGAGTTGGTGGTTATGCGGCTCCTGCGCAGTCCAGGTGGGCTTCCACCCCTACCCTATTTCAATTCCTGTTTCCCTATATGGGCTGGAGCACTTCCTCACTGCCAAAGCAGCAGAAACTTTCACTGGATGATTTTAAGATAAAGGTGGGTGTGCCCATGAGGGTGGGGCGCCATGGACCAGGCACTAGAAAAGTTGATTAGCAGGCTTCAGGGTGGGATGTAGGATCTTGGCAAGCAGGGCAGTGAGACCTTCCAAGGTCCCTGTCCAGCCAGCTCCTTCCCCAGCAGCCCCGGGGAGCACCCTTTGCCAGGGATGGGGGAGTGGAGACAGGCACCTGCCACCGTGGGCCTTCCTGTGAGGTGGTGGGGCCGGACACCCAGACGTTACTCCTTGTGCCTTGGACTGCCTCCCTTTTCCACCTCTTCCTGGCCTGGATCCCAGGTGGCTGTGACCTTTCTCAGTTTGGCTGGCGGGCTAGAGAGGGTGTGTGTGTCTAAGGTGAGGGTTATTCCAGGACCTGGTCTGGTGTCCAACCTGATGTGGTCACTCTGGCCTGGCAGGGTCATCAACGCTGGCAAAAGCCGGCACAATGAGGACCAGGCCTGTTGTGAAGTGGTGTATGTGGAAGGTCGGAGGAGTGTTTCAGGGGCACCTAGGGAGCCGAGCCGAGGTCAGGTAAGCCCCTACCCCTTCCCCTAGCCTCCGGAGACTGGGGACACCGATTCCCCCTATTGTAGGCATTCAGTTTGAAAACTAAGGCAGCCAACCTAACTCCTAACTCGCTGGCTTTCTACTTCTGGCATGGAAATGGCATTGACCACTTAGACTGTCAGTATAAATGTTCAGTTTGCCACTTAGAACTTGGGTAGTCCCGTATTTATGGATGACTTAATTAATTGCCAATGTTGATTTTTGTATCTTTTATCCTTGGAGATTGGCGTTTTTGATGCTTTACTTTCTGACTCATAATAGGCCCTTGATAAATGAGTGAATAAATCTGATTCACCTTTCATATCAAACTCTGACCTCCTCTCTGATGTTTATATGGTTGCCCGGTCTTGCTTTTCTCCTTACATAAAACACACACTCACACACATACACACATACTCCCTCATTCATCTCCCACTTTTCCTCCACCAGGGACTCTGCTTCTACTACTGGGGCCTGTTTGATGGGCATGCAGGGGGTGGAGCTGCTGAAATGGCCTCCAAGCTCCTGCATCGCCACATCCAGGAGCAGCTAAAGGACTTGGTAGAGATACTCCAGGACGCCTCGCCACCTCCCCTCTGCCTCCCATCTACCCCAGGAGCCCCAGGTTCCTCTGATTCTTCTCACTTGGTTGGTCCCCAGTCCTGCTGGTCTTCACAGAAGGAAGTGACCCATGAGAGTCTGGTAGTGGGGGCCATTGAGAATGCCTTCCAGTTCATGGTGAGTGGGTGACTCTCTGGAGCAAGGGCCTCCTAGGCAGATACTCTGGTCAACTCTGTATGGGAATCAAGTGGCCTAAGGGGCCCTGAGAACCCACATCTTTGAGGGCCTGAGCAGAGATTGGTTCCCAGGGGAAGGAAGGGGGAGTCAGATTCATGTCTTCCTTCCTCTCCTCCAGTGTGGCTTGGCTGGGCAAGTTTACTTCTGCAGATGGGGGGGGGGGAGGTTGTGTGCCTAAAACCTCTTCCCCACTCCCCCCCCCCCCGCTTTGACCCTTCCTCACATGCAGGATGAGCAGATGGCCCAGGAGCGGCGTGGCCACCAAGCAGAGGGGGGCTGCTGTGCACTGGTAGTGGTCTACTTGCTAGGCAAGGTGTATGTGGCCAATGCGGGTGACAGCAGGTATGGGGAGGAGGTGTGTGAGAATGCCTACAGGGGGTCACACTCTCTGAGATGGGGGAGGAGAAGAGAATGAGGTGGTGGGTGTCAAAAAATAAAAAACTGGACAGAGGGAGGGTGTCAGGAGGGATCACAGACACAAGGAAGGGCCTGAAATAGCCACGGCAGAGAGGCAAGATGAGGGTTTGAATGAGAAAGCCCAAGGTCTGAGTGAGGACCCCCAAGATAGAGTCTTAATGGGGAAGGCTTGGTCTTTCTGGAATTTTCCACAAGGAGTCTGAGGAGAGCCCAGCCCAAACGTTTTCTTCCTCTGAGCAGAGCCATCATTGTCCGGAATGGTGAAATCATTCCAATGTCCCAGGAGTTCACCCCGGAGACTGAGCGCCAGCGCCTTCAGCTGCTTGTAAGTAGGCACTAACCTCCCCAGGCCCATTCTTCATCGACTCTTGGTGGTTCCCTTTAGCCTATGTCCCCACCTCCACACACACAGCTCCTTACTGGCCGCTCACTGGAAAGGCTGCTCTGCTCTCCACATGATGGCCCAGCCGGGCCAGTGGAGTGCAGAGCAAGAAGGAGTGTGGGCCCCTCTCCAGTGCTCCCACCATGGTCCCAGCTAAGGAAGGAAGTGGAGTTAGAGGTGGAGAAGGGAAGTAGCAAAGGCCTCTGAGGGGTAGCGTGGTTCAGTGCTGTGCAGGGCTGACTCCCGTGCTGCACTGTCTGGGGTTGAATCCTGGTCTGAGTCCTTTGCTGATTGTCTGGCCTTCAGATGTTTTGCTAATTCACATCCACAGCCCCTTCCGGCCATGAGGTGATGAGTTCCGGTACCTTATTAGCATGAGAACAGTGCAGGGCACTGCCCCTCATTTGCGGTCCTGCTGCAGTTCATGCGGTCTCTAGGCCAGGCCATGCCAGGAGCCTGATGGCCCTCTGCTCTGTCTGGCCGCCCCCAACCCCAGGGCTTCCTGAAACCGGAGCTGCTAGGCAGTGAGTTCACCCACCTGGAGTTTCCCCGCAGAATTCAGCCCAAGGAGCTGGGGCAGAGGATGCTGTACAGGGACCAGAACATGACTGGCTGGTAACACTTCCCTCTGAGCTGGGGCCCGTTCCCATGGCAACACAGCCAGGCCCTTACCAGCCACAGGAAGCTGGAGACTGGGCCAGACTGGGGGTTGGGGGGATGCGTTCCTCTTTAGGGGCATGTGTGAGGAGCATAGGTCCTCAGGGAGAGGGCCTTTGGATGCCTGGGTGATTCCTCCTCTACTCCCCCCTTCCCCCAGGGCCTACAAAAAGATCGAGCTGGAAGATCTCAGGTTTCCTCTGGTCTGTGGAGAGGGCAAAAAGGTAAACTCCATGGTAGAGGAGGGAGAGGGCAGGAGGACCCACCGCAACTTGTCTAGGGAGGTGGATGTTCTATCCGAGGGTCGGGGTGGGAGGGTTCACAGCTTCAGAGTCTGGGAGAGGGCCGGGACAGCACCCACACTCCTTCCCTTCAGGCTCGAGTGATGGCCACCATTGGGGTGACCCGGGGCTTGGGAGACCACAACCTCAAAGTCTGCAGCTCCACTCTACCCATCAAGCCCTTCCTCTCCTGCTTCCCTGAGGTGAGCCGTATGGGGGCTTCCTCAACCATCCCTTCCCTCCTCTGGCGGCCCCAGGCTGGCGTTCTCCCAGGGTCCCTTTGTCCCCAGGCTCCTTCTCCACTCTCTGCTCCCCACCAGGTGCGAGTGTATGACCTGACACAGTACGAGCACTGCCCAGATGATGTGCTAGTCCTGGGCACCGATGGGCTGTGGGATGTCACCAGTGACTGTGAGGTAGCTGCCACTGTGGACAGGGTGCTGTCGGCCTATGAGCCCAATGACCCCAGCAGGTAAGGGTTGCATGGCCATGGGGGGATGACAGTGGGGAAGGTAGGGGCAAAGGGAAGCAATTCTTGGGGGCCCACATGAGGGCCTGTGTATTGATCTTCCCATATACATGTTGGTACATGAATGTGCATGTGTGCTCCTGGCAGGTACACAGCTCTGGCCCAAGCTCTGGTCCTGGGGGCCCGGGGCACCCCCCGGGACCGTGGCTGGCGTCTCCCCAACAACAAGCTGGGTTCCGGGGATGACATCTCAGTCTTCGTCATCCCCCTGGGAGGGCCAGGCAGTTACTCCTGAGGCGCTCAGCCCCGACCCTCCCACCACCATCCTAGCCTCTCAATGCCTACTATCTGCCAACCCAAACTCTGCAGTTGTCCCCCTGACCTTTAGTGGCAACTTAATTGGAGAAGGGATATCAGTTAGATCCAAAATTATAGCTAGTGGCAAATAAACCGGATGAATAAAAATGTGTGTCTTGATTTACTTTGATTAGAAACCAAAAGGCTCTTTTAGGGGGTGGAAGGTATACCAGAGCAGCCCTAAAAATGTAGTGCTCCCAGGTTCCTTCCTTCTCTCCACCCTCGTCCCACTCAGTGCACTCTCAACCGCTTCTGTGGCTTCATACACCTGCTGGCGTTCTCCAAGTTGGTATTTCCAGCCCAGATCCTGAGCTTTTGGCCCACAGGTCCTAGTTCTCTCCTGAACATCTCCTAGACATCCCATGGACACTTCAACTCAACATACTTCGGAGTCCATCACTTCCCTACAAACCTGAGCCTCCTGGCTCACCACATCAGTGGGCACCAGCTTGTCAGCCCAAGGTAGAAAGCTTGCAGTTGCTCACCTTTGACTTCTGCCTCTTATTCAGCAAGTGAATCAGTCCCTATGTGCTGTTGACTCTATATTACAAAATATATTTGATACTTGTCCACCTGTCCCCACCCCTACTATTACTACGACATTAGTCTCCGAACTCTTGTCTCCAGGTCACAACCCCGTATCCCCGAATATGACCTTTTTTTTTTTTTACAGTGTGGATCTGAGTTGGTTATTCCCTTGAGAGAACATTTCAGTGGCTCCCTACTGCACCTTGACCAAAATCAACACTCAACTCTTGAGTGTGGCATACAAGGATATTCATGATTGGGCCACTGCGTCCTCTTCCAGCCCCGTCTTTCAGCTCCAATCCCGCCCTCCCAGGGGTTCCATAACTCTTTGGGCCTATTGTGCCTCCAACCCATTTAACATCTACACATCGCCTTATCTGGAAAACTTCACTTGTCCTTCGGGCCTGGGTATCCCACAGCCCATGCATGCCCCCTGCATAGCCACCGCCTCCTGTAACGTAACTGTCTACATCAGGAATGGGTATGGAGTAGCAGTTAAGGGTAGAAGCTCTAGAGCCCTGCTGTCCAGGTCCACTAGCTCTGCAACCCCTCCAAGCCTCAATTTGCTTCTCAGCAGAATGGAGGTAACAGTGCTACCTCATACAGTTGTTTTAAGGACTAAAGTAGTTTATGCGTGCACGTAGAGTCAGTTGCATGTAATGAGGGTTCAGTAACTTGCTATCTTCAAGTTGTTTTTTGAATTTGGACTGTAGGGTCTTTGAGGACAGAAATCCATCTGAACTGAGCTCATAGCTCCCAGTCCACACTCAGTGCATGTTTTTTGAGCACCTGAAGAGGCTTGGGGACCCAACTTTCTGGACCTCGGCTTACTCATTTATATCAAAAGTGTGGTCTGCACTTCAGAGCTTTTAAGTCTACATGACTTCTGACATTTGTTCATTCAGAGAATATTTCTTGAAAAACGGTGAGATGTGCTACACAGTGTGCCAGGCAGTGGGGATGGACAGGTGGGAAGGGTGTAGAGGACAAGCAGGGAGAAAGCACCAGCTCCAGAGCCAGATGGCCCTGACTGAACTCTCACTTGTCTCATACAGATCGCAAAAATTTGGGCAAGCCACTTCTCTGAGCCTCAGTATGCTTACAAGCAAAAGGAGATGGATATGCTTAACCCAAAGATCCATGATGAGTAATAAGAGGGCTGAGCTATGTAGCCAACAGGTCACAAACTAATAAAACGTTGGTAGGCTTCCTCCTCCTCCTCCTCCTCCTCCTCCTCCTCCTCCTCCTCCTCAGCCACCTGAACAGGAAAAGAGACAGACACGGAGATGAATGCCCGGTGCGACGTGTCGACCCGGCTGAGTCCCCAGCGGCACAGGGCAGCGCCCGGGAGACGGAAGCTGGCTCCCGCGGGGATCCGGAAAGGCTTCCAGGAGTGCCCTCTCGGGGTACGCAGTCGCCGGACCCGAGGAAATGCCGAGCGGGGAAGGAAGGGAATTGTCGAAGGGGAAAGGGAAAGGGAAAGGTGGCCTGGGTCTCAAAGGATCCGAAAAGTCCTAGAGGCCGGGGCGTGATGTTGGACGGCCCCGGCCGCGCAGGGCTTCCCGAGCGAGGTCCCGGGGTGTGGGCGCGGAGGCCGCTCGGCCACGGGGGGGCAGCAGCGGCCCTCCCCCCCCCCCGCCCCCAGCGCCCCGCAACTGTCCCCAAGCCCGACTCCCCCGGGGGCTGAAGGCGCGGCGGAAGCCGAGGCCCCTCGGGGGCCCGCCCACTCGGTCCGCGGCCGCGCGGCCCCCGCAACTCAGCCCCGCAGCCCGCGAACCGCGGCGGCCCCAGGCTCGGGCCGCGCGCAGCCGGAGCCTAGGGCCGCCGCCGCCCCCACCCCCACCCCCGCGGCCCCTCCCCTTGCCGGGCCCGCCTCTCTCCTCCCTCCCCGCCCCGCCCGCGCGAGAGGAGGGGCGGGGCGGGGCGGCCCCCCTCCCCTCCCCTCCCCTCCCCTCCCCGGGTCAGTCTCGGCCTCTGGCCCCGGCCGCGCAGCTGGAGGCGGCGGAGCGGAAGGTACCGGGCCGGGGGTCAGGGTGGTCCCCGGGAGGGCACTGTCGCCCCCGTGCGCTCGGCGGCAGCGCGGGGCGGGCGCGCGGCGGGGAGGGGGCTCCGGCCGGGCCCTCCCTGGGCGGCGGCGAGGGCCCCCACGCAGCCCCGGCCACTGCCCCGCGGGGCCTCTGGCCTCCCCTTCCCGGCTTCCCGGAACCCGCCCCGCCGGGCGAGAAGCCAGGACGCAACTCCGGTCTCGGCGACGGAGCCCCCGGCCCGACGCTCCGGCCCCCGGGCTGCGGAGTGGGTCGCGGCGCGGGGCCGGAGAGAGGTGGGAATCCCGGGGATGGGGCGAGGCGTGACCCGCGGGGCGGCCGCTGCGCGCAGAGGTCTGGTCGCCTCCGCAGACGGCTCCGGAGTGGTCCTGGGTGGGAGGTCGGGAGGCCCGGGAGGCTGTAGCTCCTTTAGGAAAAGGACCTCCTCTCTTCCAGACCCCTCCCTCCGCTGCGCTCCCCAGCCCGGCTGAGGGTTATCCCGTAGCCCTGCGGGGCTGAGTCCCGTCCTCACTTCTGGCTTGAAAGTCGAGGTGGTGTCTGATTTCTTCCCCGGCCCTCAGGGCTGGCCTGCAGGCTGCAGCCCACCCTCGGGCATCTGGAAATTTGGAGCATGATTGAGGAGAGAGGGTGGTTCGTCTTGTCCCAGGGAAGGCCCAGGAGCTGGTGGGCTGCATTCCAGCCTCTGTGTTGGGTTCTGTTGCCCCTCTTAGGGTCAGTAGGGCAGTTCCTGTGGGGCTGCCTTTCATAGGGAGCTGCTTTCCTTGCCAGGTTGGCCTGGGGCCTACTGGCCTGGCCCGGCTTGGCCTAGCCAGCTGCTTTTCTTGCCCAATGAGAGCGTGAAGGGAAAGTCTTTGGATTGAGCTGGGGGCTCCAGATCACTTAATGCATGCCCTTGCCCCTGAATTCTGGCCTCTGTGCCTCCCACCATCTGGTACCACCTAAATGCCCTGCTGCAGGGAGGCAGTGAGTGGCCTGCTCACATCTAAGCAGCCGGTTCTCACTGTGGAGGTGACTGCCCTTCATCAGCACTGCCCATCCCAGGTGCCCCCAGCCTGTTTTGCCCAGCTGGGCCAATGGAACTAGCGGGACTGGGTACGGGGGAGTTAATCACTTGGGCAGAATTTCCAGGGAGAACTCCCTTTTTGAAGGTGGTTTCCATCTTTGGAGGGGACCTGCTGGCACAGTGAGTGCCTTGCCTATCTTTTGGGGTACTAGGGGGAGAGCCCCTTGGTGGTGGGGACAGTGTGGCGGTATCCTCTGAATTCCTATAAATTCTCTCTGACTCATCCATTTCCTCTCATCCCACTTGTGTGTGTGTGTGTGTGTGTGTGTGTGTGGAGGGAGGCCACCCAGGATCCCACTGTTGGAGAGAACTAGCTTTGGGCTCAGACTCCTTGCTTTCCTCAAAGGCAGACAAGCCAGGGCTGTGGGGTGGTGGTGGTCTGTGAGGAGTCCAGGAGCTCAGCCCAGTTTGACAGGATGTGGGTCCGAGAGAAAAAGCCCGGTTTGGGGCAGAGATCAGGTTACCATCCCTTTCTCCCTTAACTGCTGGCTGCCTGGTTGGTGTGGGGACTGGCCCTTTTCTGCTCAGTTTTGGGAGCTCCTCCCAGCTCCGCCTCTGGCCCCCTCCTTCTTCCCTACGGCCTTGCCGCCTCCCGGCTCCAAGTCCGCCCTCTCTTCCTCAGAGGCCGCAGACCTGGGGGAGCCTCAGCTGGCTGGAGAGCAGCTTCTGTCCCCAGGGAGCGAGGAAGTGAGGCTCAGGTCCGGGGCTAGGAGGCTGGGAGGCTGGGGAGGCATGATGCTCGCTCATCTGTGCTGGGGCTGGGACCCTACGGAAACCTCGGCAAACTGACTCCTTGCCCTGAGTCACAGGGAGGGGTGGGCAGGGCCTTGGGGTGAGCTAGACAGAGGGGAGGAAGGGGCTGTTCCAGGAGTGAGTGGAGGTGATTCCCTATAGATTATTGTGTCACTCGGCCATGGTGGATGTGTTGCTCCCACAGTATGGTCATTGTCCCCTGCCTGGGGCTGAGTGACCCAGTGTTGCCGCCAGGGCCCAGGAGGATGGGGAGAGGAGGGCAGGCTGCCCAAATGTGGGCTGTGGGCACCGCGGGGACTGAGCCTCCTTTGTGCGACTGGGGCTAGCTTTGGGGACTGGGATGGGGTGGGGTGGGCTGGGCCGGGGAGGCTGGCTGGCTGCTGCCACTGCCCTCCCTGGGTTTCCCCTCCCTCAGCTCTCTTTCCCATCTCTGAGGTGATACGTAGAAAAGGTGACAGACCCTAGAGTCATGGAGCCTGGCTTCCAGTGTGCCCCCCGCCAACTCTGACACACGAGTCCTTTTTTTTTTTTTTTTTGACACGAGTCCTATAACCTCACCTAGGTTTGTTTCCCGTTTGTCAGAATGGAAGCGCACCCTCTACCTTCCCAGGCTTCTGGGGACTGAGGGGGATGGTTTTTACCGAAATGCTCAGCAGACTTACTCTTACCCACCTGTCCCCTGGTAGTTGGCTGTGCCAGCCTGTGGTCTGGAGAGGGACTCCTCACTGCAACGGGGCGGGCATGACCTGCTCTGAGCCAGGGCCGACGTGTCCATGATAGGGCCCTTGTGATTGCTAAACTTTAAAAGTATCAAAATCCTGGTAACAGAGTGTGACTTGAAGCCCTGGTATATAGCAGGTGAAAGCCAGCTCTTCCAGAAGGGGCCCCAACCCCGGAGCCCCCCTCTAGGTGTTCAGGATCTAACAGTTGGCGGATTGGACCAGAAATCTGTTTCTGGACAGATCCCCTGGGTGGGTGGTCCTTCCACCTCCCACCCCTGTATTCTAATCTGTCCAGGGACACCTGGCCCTGCCCCCGAGATTAGAAACTTCAAGCTCAGTTGTTTGATCAATTGGTCCTTGGCAAGAACGCACACCTGAGTAAGGCCCTCAACCTCCCTTTGTGGAGGCTTCAGTTTCCAGGAGGTCTTGGGGGCCCCAGAGAAATGTTTTGGGATTTACTGGCTTCTCCCCCTGCCCCCACCTGGCCCCCGCTTCCCTCTTGCCAGCCCCAGCCATGGCTGCGATCAGAAAGAAGCTAGTGATTGTGGGAGATGGAGCCTGTGGGAAGACCTGCCTCCTCATCGTCTTCAGCAAGGATCAGTTCCCAGAGGTCTATGTCCCTACTGTCTTTGAGAACTACATCGCGGACATAGAGGTGGACGGCAAGCAGGTGACCATGGAGCCCCTCCTGGTGCCCCCAGGGAACCCACCCCGCCCTAGTCCTACAGCCCTTGGCTGCCCCTCCTCACCATCCATGCACTTCCCTGCTCCAGTCTCCCTGCTGGACTCAGTATAAGTCAGGAAGCAAAAAACTGTAGTTTCAGGACATCTAGAGATGCCTCCTGGTTCTCTGCCCCCCGCCCCCGCATCCCATCCATAATCTGGGCCCCCTCTGACTCCAGACTACAAAATGGGGGTAATGACAAGGCTTCCTTTGGAGGTTCTTGTGACTTACGGTCCATTCCTGGTGCTCAGGCGGTGGCTCACGACCTCCATGAAGATCAAGCACCTGTGTCTTAGCATCTCTAGAAACTCACCCAGTTTATGTTGTGTGACAGTGATGAGCATTGTCCCGGGCACATAGCGAGGGCTTTTGTAGATGGATATTGAGTGAACCTAAATGACCAGTGGTTTCAGAGGACCTCTGGGTGGTAATGGAGGGCCCTGGGACTCTCAGGCCAGCTACTCACTGGCCCTTGGCATCAGGTGGAACTGGCTCTATGGGACACGGCTGGGCAGGAAGACTATGATCGCCTACGGCCTCTCTCCTACCCGGACACTGATGTCATCCTCATGTGCTTCTCCATCGACAGCCCCGACAGCCTGGGTGAGGTGGGGGTGAGGGCATTGGGAGAAGGGCACTGAGAAGCTCTTGGGACCAGCCCGCTGGGGGCAGATCTCCTTGGCTCAGTTTAGCCACCTTCAGAGATGGGGTGGGGAGAGGTGCCATTAGGCTCCTGCCCCTGCACTATGGGGTGGGGACTCTGGCCCTGGGGAGGATCAGAGGGTCTTTGTGGTGGGGAGAAGGGCTCTTGAGCCATGAAAGGGACTGTCATGTTGAAGAGCCTCTAAGACAGCTGCGGGGAGCAAAGGGGGCTTGGGGCGGGGCGGGGCTTTCTGGCCTAAGTGGAGGCAGCAACACCTGTTGGGACACGTCTGTGCAGAAAACATTCCTGAGAAATGGACCCCAGAGGTGAAGCACTTCTGCCCCAACGTGCCCATCATCCTAGTGGGGAACAAGAAGGACCTGAGGCAAGATGAGCACACCAGGAGAGAGCTGGCCAAGATGAAGCAGGTGGGTGGGGCTCCAAGGGCAGGGGCAGGGTGGACTGACCCTTCAGGGTCTGCTGTCCTGCTGACCTCCCTGGGGGAGGTCTGCCTCCGGCTCCCTTCCGCGGAGTAACTAGAAGGGCTCTTAGTCTCTGGTCCCACACCTGGTGAAATTATCAGCAAATGAAGTGATTTATCCAAGGTCACCTGGCATTTTAGTCTATTCATCTGTTATCCATTCTGTTTGGGTTGGACAGTTAAGAGGAGTGAGTATCCCTTTCCTCAGAGACAACCTCTTACTCTAGATGTTTTGCTTGGGGTAGCCAAAGTCGTGCCATCAGAGTATACCTGGGGAGGTGCAGGTGGGCAGGCATCAGACATGGCTGGAAGGCCCGGAGAGCAAGGGAGTTGGCTTACCTGGTAGTGGCTCTCTGGCCAGAGGACTATGTCTATTAAGGAGAGTTGCCAGGGGGATGAGGACTATGGACTACCCTGCAAGTATAATTATGGCACAGTCTTAAACTGGGTCACACCTGTGTGTTAGGATTATTTTGGCAGGCACAGAGCATGGACTGGAAAGAAATGAGAAGGGAGATTGGTTAGGAGGTGCCAGATACTCATTCTGGCAGGAGGAGGGCATACCATGGGGTATGGGGCTGGTGGAGGCAATTTTTAATGGAAGCGTTTGAGTCTTTTGGGTCCTGGCCCAGAAACCACCCGGGGTGGCTGGGGCTTGAGTGCTTTGTGAGGTGAGAGCTGGAAGACGTATTTGTTCTGATTACTACACTTAGGGGTAAAGTGGGGGAGAGTTACAAGTAGCCAGCAGCTTCCTTTGACCTCTGGCCTTCTATCTTCTCAGGAGCCCGTGCGATCTGAAGAGGGCCGGGACATGGCCAACCGGATCAGTGCCTTTGGCTACCTGGAGTGCTCAGCCAAGACCAAGGAGGGGGTGAGGGAGGTATTCGAGATGGCCACTCGGGCGGGTCTCCAGGTTCGCAAGAATAAGCGCCGGAGGGGTTGTCCCATTCTCTGAGACCACTGAGGCCTCCCCTGTTCACCACCCCCTTCATGGGGGTGCAGAAGCTCCCCACTTCCTGGTCCCACACTTGTTGAAGGAAGGCTTCCTTGTCATTCCCTCCAGCCCAGGACTGCATCTGAGTTTCCCCTGCCCCACCAGACCCCAGGGTGGTGGTAGGCTGGCCCTCCCTGCCCTTCCAGAGCAAAGTCCCTTGTCCTGTTGCCTTGGTCCGGGGGTGAGGCTCTTGATCCCTCAGCCTTCCCCAGAGGATCATCACACACCAGCACTTTATATACTTCGGGCTCACAGGAATGTCTGGGGTAGGGGACTTGGAGGGTGTATGTCACCCAGAGCCCCGGGTCCCTTGCATTTATGCTTTGGTTGGGGACCTTGCCTCTGGCTGTACTTGGTGGAAGGCATGAATAAAGGCCACAGGTTCCAACGTGTGTGTGGCAGCTTCCCGTTTTTCTCTCTCCAGGTCCCTGTCTTGGCCATGAGCTAAGAGTCCCATCTCTCCCAAGTTGCTGGCCAGGCTGGCCCCCTGTTTGCAAATGCAAGGTTCCTGGCCAGGCAGGGTGGAGTGTCAGAGCAAGGGATGAGGTCATGCCTGGCTCTGGGAGTTGGAGGCGGGTGAGGGGAGTGGTCTGGAGCAGGGGCTAAACTTAGAAGCCTGTGGGTGGTTTCCTTGCCACCTCCCACTGGGTTTCCTCCCTTGGACCTTGGGGGGTGGGGGGGTTCCTCTCTGGCTAGGAGGGGTATGGCCAGAGGCAGAGTGGGACAGTGCCACCCTCCCTGCTGGGGTCCATCTGGGAGCTCAGGAAGGCCACAAGGCCAGAGGGGGCCAGGCAGAGAAGACAAGGAGGCTTTTGCATAGAACAAGATTTTGTTTTCAGTTTTTCTTCCTCCCTCTTCCCCCAATTGTTAGCAGCTTGGTGTGTCATTCTCCCCAGCAGGGGGGAGGGGGTGGAATGGCTTGGGTTGTAAACTCCCTCCCCCAGCCTTCAGGTCCTTTGGAGGGGCAGTGCCGCTGGGCTTGGGTTCAGACAGGGCTCTGGGGCAGGGGTGTGCGGGTGGTTAAGGCTTGGCTGGTGTGAGAAAGCGGTCTGCGGTGTCTTCAGAGCTCGTTCCTCCACTCGGGCTCTACTTGCAGGGACAGGCCATCTTCTTCCTCCCGCTCCTGGGGGGGGTAGTCATGACTTTGGGGCCCTAGAAAGAGAAGAGGTGAGCCTGTCTTCCATGCCTCCTCCCCTTGTGCTGTCCCCTGCTTGGCTGGCCATACCTGAGGTAGAGGGCCGGAGCTTGCTCAGACCCTGCAGGAGGTTCTGTCCTTGCTGGAGGTCCAGTTTGGCCGGGAAGGGGCAGCCGGTGTAGCCCCCGTTTTCTTTACAGAACTCCAGGAATCTGTGGGTACAGGAACATTCACACGGAGCTGTGCAGGCTGGCTCAGGAGCACATCAGATGCTGGAGGCTAGAGGCCAGGCCTTGGTCCTACTACCTTTGCCTGTGCCTTTGGGCCACTTAAAAGGGGCCTTGCGGGGACCAGGAACAGACCTGAACAGACCTGTGCATTAGCTGGGCCACCAGGATGTGCCTAATAGCGTTCCATCTGCCCCAGGCTGGGAGCTGCGGCTCCTGAGAGGGGTTAAGGGCTGGGAATGCTCACACTTTCCAGTCGGGGTCGTGGCCCAGGAGGAGTGGGTTGCCCACCACGATGAGCAAGGCCTTGGCGCGGGTCACTGCCACGTTGAACCTCTGGAAGGAGGGAGGGGCAGGGTCATGGGAGGGAAGGACCTGTGGAACAAAAGTGCTCCTCAAGCCAGCCCAGCTGCCAGCTCTCGAACCTTGGGGTTCTTGAGGAAACCCAGGTTAAAGTCCAGGTCCAGCTGCACAAAGCTCTGACTGCTCCGCACGGTGGAGATGAGAATGACGCTGCGTTCCTGGCCTTGGAACTCTTCCACGGAGCCCACCTGCAGGGGGACACAGGGCCTGCCACCAGGGTGCTCACAGGGGAAGCAGGGAGGGGGGTGGGGGAGGTGGGGGGGTGTTTCTCGGAGAGAAGTCCTAGGGCACAGGGAGGGAGCAGGAAAGAGCAGGACGCCCTGGAAGCCAGACCTGATGGGTGAATCCAGGGAAATGGGTGCGGGTTGGAAAGGGTTCTAAGCTAAGAAAACATAGTGGCCAGGACTTGCTAACTAGGAGCAGTGGTTTCCAAACTTCCTGAGAGACAATCACTAAGTACTTGTTAAAGATAAACAACCCAGACCTCCTAACCAGGAGGCCTCTCAATCTTGAGGCGCTGGTTTCCAGCCCTGGCTGCGCGCTAGGTCAAGTGAGGAGCCATAAAGAAACCGCGATGCCCTGGCTCTGCCCTCAGATAGCTGTGCTAACCAGCCGGGTGGGGCTCTGGCACGGGCTGCGCTAAAAGCTTTCCAGGGGATTCTTATCTGCCACCAGTGTTGAGAGCCACCACCTGAGAGTCCAAGAACAGACTGACTCAGAGGGTGGAAATGGGAGCAGGGACACTTATCACATGACAGGTCAGGCAGGCTGGGAGTTTGGACTTTATCCCAAGGGCAGAGGCCTCCAACCAGCCTAGAGGGGAGAAGCAAGGATCTGGGGAGTTCTGCTTGGTCCTGACCCAGGCGCACAAGCCTGGGATCTGCTGGAATGAGGCCTGGGGAGAGCCCCCGCTGTGGCTCAGGCAGTGAGGTGGGGCGCCTGGGGAGCTTCTTGAAGTGTGGCAGGTATGGGGCCTGAAAACAGAGAGAGCATCACCTTCAAGTCTTTGATGTCATCCAGTCCTCGAAGCTCCTTGTCAAGTTTGGTGATGCAATGACGGATTTTTTCCACCTGGAAGATAGGGACAGGTTCCTTTCTCTCATGCCATTACCCCAGTGCAAGAGGGAGCCAGGCAAGCGGCCAGTGAGCTGGGGGGCAAAGAGGGAGGGCAGCTGACCTCTGAGATCCTTTGAGATAAGGGGCCAGTAGAGGCCTGAGCTCTGGAACCTCCACTAAGGGTCTGGCTATGAAAGAGGAACCATCTGGGGCAGGCAGGGATCCAACCCTCCACAGGAACGCATGGCCTGACCTGCTTCCGATAGGGAGAGATGACGCCCACACTTCGGGGGCTCAGGCGGGCTTTGCCCTTCTTGGAGGAGGGGGCCAGGAGCAGCTTCAGGTAGGAGGTCACAGTGGCAGCCTCTTCGGGGTTGAAGAATGATGGGCTATTGCCCTCACGCTCGTCCTTGCCCATGACGCCGTGAAAGATGATGGGAAAGCCCTGGATATGGTGGTCAGGGGAACCTTCAGCCAGACTGCCCATCTCCCTTCCCCTCCTACCCCCAAACTCATCCAGGGAATGTGGGATCCCAGGCCAAGGTGACTGAACCTGCAACTTCCACTCAGCTGCCTCCTGCCTTGCACCTTCGGTAGGAGTGAAGCTGGGGTGCCCCACTCAGCCTCACCTGTTGCGGCAGACCCTCCCAGTGGCAGAAGCGCTCTCGGTCCACAATGTCGGCACAAGCCTGCAGCTCCCCGTCGTAATAGAGTTGGTTAGGGATATCCAGTATGGTGGGGTGGGACCTGTGAGGTAGGAGGAGGAAGATGGAGCCCCGGGGCCAGATTACTTTCGCCCCACCCTTGGTGCCCGCCCCCCCACCGCTGCTCTAGGTGCACACACACCGTCTTCTTACTGCACCCCTGCACAGCAGACTCACTGATCCACAGTGCGATGCTAGGCACTGGTAACTGCACAAAGCAGAACCAAATGTGGTTCCCGAGAGCATCTGGTCCACAGATTTCATGGGCCAGTCAAATTTAAAGTAAACCAAGAAACGAGGAACCTGTCCTCAGGTTTCCATTTTGCCAAGGAAGGACAGTAGAAAAACAATTATTGGGCAGCCCCGGTGGCACAACGGTTTGGCGCTGCCTGCAGCCTGGGGTGTGATCCTGGAGACCCCGGATCGAGTCCCACATTGGGCTCCCTGCAGGGATCCTGCTTCTCCCTCTGCCTGTGTCTCTGCCTCTCTCTCTGTGTCTATGAATAAATAAATAAAATCTTTAAAAAAAAAAAAAACAATTATCAGCTACTACTGCCGTTATTTGGTGAAATAACGTGTTCAATCTAAAGCCAGAATTCAAAACACAACAGCAAACGCCAACCGAACTCTTGGTAGTCTTTTCATCTGAGCATTTTAGGTACAGAAATTCCTTGATTAAGGCCAGTTATAGCTCTTTAATTTGAGTAACAATTAGGTGATTCAAATGAAGAAAAAACCCAGATTTTCCTGCCGCTCCTTGGACTGCCTGGAAACCAGACAATCCCCCAACACCCTTAGGGATAAGCACACTGCTCCAGAGTGAAGCCACTTGCAAGGTCAGAGCCCACAAGCAGCAGCGATGGAGTTGGAATGGAGATCACCGGCTCCGGGCATCACACGACTCTGAGCAACAGGCCTGCAGGATGGAGCGCTGGACGGGGGGGCTGCACGGGGCAGGGGGCTGCACAGAGCGGGTGAAAGCACAGATGGCAGGTGCAGTGCAGGGTGGGGGTACCTGTAATTGCGTAGCAGCTTGGTTATGAACTGGGGGTTATAGCCATTGGAGCCCTTCTTGTACAGGGCATTGTAGGTCAGCAGCCGCTCCAGCAGTGAGTACCCCAGGCCATGCTTCTGGGTCAGTGGGGAGCGCAGCACGGGCCCCAGCTGCCTAGGGTCTCCTGCCAGCACCAACTGCCCTCCTGGATTGTCTGTCTCCTTGACTTCCATCAGCCCTGAGAGGCAGGGTGCCATGGGGAGAAAGTTAATAAGCAGCGGGGCCTCCCCAACCCCATGCAGGGCGGCACGCATGCAGCCCACCCCTCACCCCTCACCTGCTATGGCCACCAGACTCTCGGGCTCCATGGAGTGGCCAGCCTCATCGATGAAGATGTGTGTGAAGTGATCGATGGGGAATTGAGCGGAAACCAATCTGGGAAGGGGCAGGTGGAGGAGGGGTCGTACTGGGGCACCCACCAACAAGCCTGAATGCCCATGAAGCTGGCCCCTCACCCCACTGCCAGTCATCATTCTTCCCCCATCTCCCCGGCCCACTACCTCCTTCTTCACACACGTGGTTGACATACACACCCACCTGCTGGCCGTGATGAGGGTGGTAATTAAGACACGATATTCCTGCAGCTTCTTCTTGGCGGGAAACACATAATCCCCTTTCTTTGCATCCCAGTTACAGCAGGGCTGTGGGATGTGAAGGGAGAGGAGGAATAAGCCAGGCCCACCCAACTTCACCCTCACTCTGGTTCGGGGTCTCCTGGACAATCTCCTTCACCCCTCTTTGCTTCCCTGGCCACAGATGGGTCCCAACCCACCCAGTGTCCCGCAGAGAGTATCAGAATCCAGGTAACCTCGAGTTTCCTGGCTTCGGCATTGACCCGGAGCCTCCCAGCACCCGCCACCCCTCAGCCCTCCACATTCCTCCAGGTACCTTTATGTCTTCGGGCACCATGCGAATGTCCCTGCTAGGGGCCAGGAGGCGGTAGATGGAGCTGGGCAGGTGGACCCGGAGCCGCTGACAGAGAAGGTCAGCTCCTGAGTTGGATGGAGCGCAGGCCAAGATGTGGGCTTTGGGCAAGTGCTTTACCACCTGGGGGGGTGATAAGTTGTGTGAAGTGGCTTCTCTGGTTCCAGAGGGAGGGGTATGGGACAGACTTGGTTGTGACTCGTGTTGCACAGGGTGGCATTTATCTCCCAGACCTGAGGGAAGCAGTGACACAAACGGCAAGTTCTGAACGTCCCTTGCCAGCCCCCTAGTCCAGGGAGGGATACACTTTCCTGCGGGAGTACTGGTGTAGTAAACACTTGGGTCTGTGATGGCCGAATGATCAGTGACTCTGAGTTGTGCACCACCCAGCCTACAAAACAATGCTCAACGGCCACCCTGGCTTCAACGCCAACCCAGGGGTGATCAGGGAGCTGGGGGCACCCAGAATCTGAGAACTACTTGGTCCCTGGGGCTGGGAGTGGGGTGTCGGCAAAGGCCCCAGATCTACGCTCAGGCCCTACCTGCTTAATGGCTTCCACTAGGGTGACAGTCTTGCCAGTGCCTGGAGGCCCGAAGATGATGTAGGGGGCTGGGCGGGTAGTGCCCATAACGATGTACTTCATGGCCTGCAGCTGCTCGGGGTTCGACTCCAGACTGCGGTCGTACAGCCTGGCAGAAGGGCCGTAAACATGAGGGGGCCCTGTGCACCAGAGGCCTTCCCAACTCCCATCCCCTGTGCCCCACACTCCAGGCAGCCCTAAGGCACCCCTGCCCGGTCTCACTTGAGCTTCACATCCGAGGGCAGCAGTGGGACCCCACGGGAGGCCACAGGAAAGAGCATGGGCCACAGCGGCCAGCGGCCTGTGAGCTCCAGGGCGCGGTGCTGCACGCGCAGGGGCTGGCGGTTGAAGGTGAAGTTCACCTTGAAGGTCAGCCCATCCACAAAGCGGCTCAGGAGGCTTTGGGAAAGAAGGGGGGGAAAGAGCTCCAGTTAGGGGGCCGTGGCTCTGCATCTACCCTGATACCATTCCCACTTCTCAAGACAGCCATGCAATCCATCCAGGAGAAGCTGCTGCTGAGGCAGCTCAGGGTCCCCCTGAAGAATGAGCTCTGTCCTGGGGTCCCACTTCTCTCTCAGGGAGAAACACATCCACTCCTTTAGCCTGAGAAATATCTGCAGACCCTTGTAGCAGCTCATGGGTCCCCGAACACCTACCTCGTGGAAAAGCTCAGCTTGACACGGTCCAATTCCACCTTGTGTACAAAGCCCTTGTAGGTGACAGGGTCCTCCTGATGTGTCTCAGAGGACAGAAGTGCGAACAGGTGGTCACCCCGTAGCACTGAGGGGCGGCTCTCGGTCACCCCGGGAACCTATGGGGTGTGGACACAAGCAAGCTTCTATCCCAGGGATGGCTAACTGTGGGTCCCAACCCCTGGGCTCTCCAGACCTCCTCTGAGGGACAAGGACTGAGGCTGTCCTTCTACCCCAAAACCCAGGGAGCTTTGTTTCTTTCCTCTCCACCCTGCCAGGGCCAAAGTCAGGGGGTGAGCAAGGAGACAAATTGGCCCAGACTGCAGAGATGCTGAGCAGGGCAGTCCTGGAAACCCTCCCTGCACACTTTCAGAACTTGAGAGCCGACTTCCCAGCTCATCCACTGGCCCTGTTGGCCAACTCAGTTCCTGTGCTGCCCTTGAAATCTTGCTCACAATTCAGTTCCTGTGGGAATCTTTCTCTGATCACCCTGCCCCAGCCCCACTGCCACCGCCGCCCCTGTATGCAGAAATCTACACTCGTGTGTTACTCTGGGCTCCAGTGCACAACACGCAACATCTGAGGGCCAGCAAAGGGCGGATGAAGTATCTAGCCCAGCTCTGTACTTTCCAGATAAGGGAACAGAGGCCCAGAGAGAGCCCTCGCCCAGTGGCAGCCCTGTCTGGACTACAAGCTGGGCCTTGCCTGCCCACTGCCCTGCTCCGACACCCATTTTGGGCACAGGAACAAGTCCATCCTTAACTCATATTTTGCCCTGCCATCAGGAAGAGCGTTTCCCCCTCCCCACACCACATCAGGGTGCCCTGACCTCCAGTGTGAGCAGCCTGGGGTTCTGGTCTACGGGGTCCCAGGTCATGGGCACTGACTCCAGGTCATAGTGCCGGATGTCATGCTCCATCTGCAGCTCCTCCAGGTGCAGCAGCAGCCGGAGCTTCACTTCGTAGCTTCTCCACTGCAGGGCTGTCTCCAGCTGGGCCCTGGCAGGGGCAGGACTAGTCAGGCACCCCCCATGCCCGGGAGCGTCCTCCCTCCCACCCACAGCTCTGGGGCTCTGAAAGCACCAGGAGATCAGGGAAGACTAGAAGGGCAGAGAAGTGGGTAGGGGTCAGAGGCCTCAGAGCATGGAGCCCTGGCTCTCCATTCCTTCCTCCCAACGCCGCTGCCCCCACCCACTTGGACCAGACCTGGCATCTGCACTATGGGTCCTTGGGCCTGGACCATTCTCCCCCCAAGATGCCCTTGAGACTTAACACCCTTGCCTCATCCCAATGTCAGCATCTCAAAGAGGCCAACACTAACAACTGCCCTCCGCAAGACTGCATGTCCTGTCCCCTTTCGCTGGAAGTCTGGCTTTACCTCATAGTACTTAGCACGCATGAAACTGTAAGATACATGTTCCCTTCTCCCCACTGCAATGGGCAAGGCCCTCATGTGAATGATTCGCCTTGAACAGTGCCTGGCATGTGATACGTGCTCAGTAGAGGAAGGAACAGAGCACAGGAGGCTGGGGGCAGAGCTATGGGGCAGTCCGAAGAGACATAAAGCAGCGGGGGTGTGGGGGTGTGGCTCTTACTTGATCTCAGCAATCTCCTTTGGGGCAGTGAAGATACTTGTGTCCTGAAGTAGGATTGGGAGCAGCTGCCGGAGGCGAGGGGGTGGGTAATAAGTCCCCAGCGCCATACTCAGCTCCAGGTCATAGCCCTTAGCGCTGCAAGAACAGGGAAAAGAAAAGTAACCACAAACTCAGAGATCCCTGCAGCTTCAGAGAGGCAGAGACGGCCCCTCCCAGGAAGATGCAAGAAGCCCTTCTAGAAAACTATTGCTGGAGAGGGGAGGGAGCTTTTGCCCAAGGAGACAGAGCTCACTACCCCCATGAGGCTACTCGCCCCAAGGCTCCATTCTCCTTTTTGGAAAGCTCCATCGTTGGAAATGTTCAAAAAACACACAAGCAACACACATATATGTGAATAATATGGATATAAATAGTCTATGTTCCTTAGAGAAAAAAAATCAGAAAATAGATAATAAAGGAGCAAATAACACTCTCATCATCCAGGGATAACCAACACCTAAGTTTTTGGTAGGTAAACTTCTAGACTCTTCTTTGTCAGTATGTATTCCACATGTGCCGTTTTAACAAAAAGAGTGCAGCTGAGAGTTTGCTTTTCTAGATTAGTAATCTGTGAACCTCTAGCCATATTAGAAAGAGAGGTCTACACAAATTATAGGATTCCATTCATATGAAATGTTCAAATAGGGAAACCTATAGAGACAGAAGGCAGATGAGTGGTTGCTTAGGGCTGGGAGAGAATGGGGAGCAAATGTGATGATAGCTAAAGGGCATAGGTTCATTTCTTGGCTTTTCTTCAAGACTACATTATTTATTTACTCATGAGAGACACAGAGAGAGGCAGAGACACAGGCAGAGGGAGAAGCAGGCTCCCTGCAGGGAGCCCGATGGGGACTCGATCCCAGGACCCCGGGGTCACGCCCTGAGCGGAAGACAGATGCTCCACCCGCTGAGCCTCCCAGGTGTCCCTCTGGTGAAGTGCTCTAAAATGGATTGTGATGGCAGGTGCCCTTCTCTGTGAATATACTGAGAACCTGCAGTGTATACTTTAAAGGAGTGAACTGTATGGTATGTGAATTAACTCAATAGAGTTGTAAAAAGGAGAGAGTGAGGTCTACCACAGGCTGCCTGACAACCTGTCATATGATTGAAAATATTTAGCACTTTTTCTGAGTCACCTGCAACTTCCGTCCTCACCAGAAAAGGTCTCTGAGGCCTAGGAGAGTTACAAAGGCACTTGGAAAGGGGGCCCCCACTATTGCACTGGGCACCCCGGCCCAGACCGGGTGGGAGGGAAAGGCGTTACCGGTCAGGTCTCTCTCCTTCCTCTATCCGGCTGGTCACCACAGGGTTTCCAGTGATCCGGGTCCGCTTGAAGGGAGTCGTGGGCTTCAGCTGTGCGGCCAGGGGGCTGTGGGCCACGGCAGCCAAGAAGCGGGCGATGTAAAAAGTGCCAGCTCCTTCTGAACCCGGCTCCCCGGGGCCCAGCAGCTCCCAGAGCACCGTGGCCGGGAAGTAGCCCACGAAGCTGGTCTTGCAGTGGACGTGCAGCTCATAGCAGTCGCCTGACAGAGGAGGTGGAGTGAGGGGGCGCAGGGGAGGGACCCCCAGCAGCACCTGCCCGTACCCCATCCCTGAGCCAGCAACAGAGTGGCTGCAGGGGTGTGTTTCCGGAGGCCCCAACCCTTCCGGATGGGCAAGCCCGAACCCCTGGTGGTTCCTGCCCGCCAAGCCCCACTCACCGGGGCCCAGGGGGCAGGGCAGCTCCTGGTCCCCATCGTAGAAGGAGAACTGGGGGGTCCGGCAGAGCGGGAAAAGGTGAGTGAGGGTGACAGGCTGGGTCCCTCCATTCCGAAGCCTCAAGGTCAGCACCTCCTTGCGGTTCAAATCCAGGCGGATAAGGAGCTGCCCATCTCGGGCTTCATGGGGCCCCTGGACCTCCACGTCCACCCCATGTTTCCCGTGAAGATACTCAGCCCTGGGGAGAGTGGGAGTCGAGGCGGGGCTGGGCCGGGGAGACTGGCACAGTGCCAGCGGAGCTCAAGGACAACCCCCCTCCCCGCCCCTCCCCCCTCCCTGAAGAACAGGGCCTTACCCCAACCTGAGGCGACCCACTCTTCCCTCGGCCACTTGGCGTCCCCCCCACACCCACTCCCACCCACCTGTCGTAGAAGATCTTGGCCAGTAGTGACTTGTGGTGTTTGCTGACGTCTGACCCCAGCCTCACTCTCCTCTTTTCTGGGAACCACACATTGGCCCAGCGGTCGAGTCTGAAGAACCTGACCCGAGTCTTGGTGACATAGGCCAGATTTGCGATCTTCATTCCATACAGCATGGATGAGAAGCCAGGGGCAGGGGTCCCGAAGCTGCCAGAAGCAGAGGAGACTGGGAAGTGAGGGAAGGCAGGGCTGGCTGGGGGTGGGGGTCGGGGTGGGGTGGGGGCAGTGTCTAGCCCGGAGGCCGGAACAGGACAGGGCCCAGGGAAGGAGACCAAGGACAGGGGGCAGGGGTGGGAGGCAGGGGGGTGTCACAGGAATTGTTAACATTTTAGGGGAATTCAATAGGACTTCCTAAGACAAAATCCGATTGTTTAAAACAGCAGGTTGCAGACTGTGCATTGCTGAGGAGGAAAACACAGTACTGGGCTGGTGATTCGGAGGACTAAGGGAAGAGAGAGAAAGAAATGGAGACTTGGGGGGCGGGGGGCGGGAGCTGTTTGGGACAGGAAAATACAAACAACCCAGAGCTAAGGCTAAGGGGAAGCCTACGGCTAAGGGGAAGCCAAAGGAGCTGATGCAGAGGGTGGATCTGGGGTCCTGCCCCACGCTGAGGAGGGAGAGGGGTCAGAGAGAGCACAGATGTCCAGGGTGTGTGGGCAGGTGGCTGATGAGACAGCGTTTCCACCCGAAGTCAAAGGGTGCAGATGGGACCCAAGCAGGAAGGGAAAGGATCCTTCTCCAGAGATCAAATAGCTTGGTTTTGTGCCTAGAGAAGGTGAAGACAGGGAACACTGGTCAGAAGGACAAAAACCTTTCGGGTTAGTGCCTGGAATTCAGTTTAGTCAACTCAACTTTTACAGAGATCTGTCATGTGCCAGACACTGCGCTAGGGCCTGGGGGCTTCAATGAGACAAGAGATCCAGGCCCGCCTGGAGAAGCCCAGCACAGACCCAACCTGTGGGTTCCGGCAAGCCGCCAGGGGCACAGCCATGGAGGTTTCTCCAGGACTGGGTCCTGAAGAACGAAGGGGTGTCAGCCAGGCACAAGAGGGAGGGCCAAGTGGAAGCCAAGGTGGAGGGGGTGCAAGAGCAAGTGCTGGGGCTGGGGGCAGCCTGCCACCTGGCTCCCAGCTGGGCTACCTCAGACGACTTCCCTCAAGAGCATCACTTTCCTCCCACACAGAACAGGGATGATGCCAAGGTACCTTGCAGGGTTGTTATGAGGCCTACCTGAGGGCCGGGCACCGCGGTATCCTTCTGCCCAGTGCCTGGCACACAGATCTCTGTAAGGTATGCTAGGATTAGTAATCTCACACAGTCTGCTTGCACTATGGTGAGAAGTGCAGGACGGGCGTGGTGGGAGGCAGCAGAGGCGGGCAGGGAGCAGGTCTTGGAGTTCGGCATGCCGGGCCACGGAGCCTACACTTGACCGTGAAGGCCAGCGACTCCCCTCCGTTCCTGGCAACTGGGAGCCAGAGGACATCCCCACATGTGACACAGTCGGGGTCTGGCCAGCTGACCACCCTCCCTCAGTGCGTGACAGGGAATGAAAGGAAATCCTAGTTCCCGAGAACCACGGTAACTATGAAGGCTAGAGGAGCACGGTCACTCACTGGCATATTACCAAAATCATTTCCGGTGCAGACAATTCCCTGGTGCCCCCTCCCCTGCCTGTCGCTCTGCTCCTCAGCCTTCTCACCCCAAGCAAATGTTTGGAAAACTTTGAATCAGCTGTTTTGTTTTAAGAAGACAATAAATCTTTTGAAAGCATGGTAAGAAATGAGCAGTAAATGTCACCTACTATTATTAGTATTCTTATTAGTAGAAATAGTAGTACTAACAGTAGCAGTGGTAGTAGGAGTAGTAACAACTTACTTTCAGCCCACGGCAGAGGCAGAGGCTACACTGGTTACAGAACCCCCTCGGTTGGTGGGTTTTAAGCAGGGGAGTGGCAAGATCATATTTGCATTTCAGATCACTCTGGCATCAGGATTGGAGGATGGATTTGCTGGCGGCAAGACTGTAGGCAGGGACACCAGTTAGCAAAGGGCCATTGCAACAGTCCAATTAAAAGATGACAAGGGCCTGAACAGGGTGGTGGTGAGGACAAAAGAGGGGGCCAGATCTGATAATATTTAGAGTGCAAAATTAGCAGAACCTGGTGACTGACAGGAAGGGGAAGAGGGAGGAGTCTGGGACAGTACTCAGATCAATGGCTCGGCTTCAGGGGTCACTCCTGAGATAGGAGGTAAGGACAGGAGAAGGACAAGGAGGAGGACGTGGAGGAGGTGGGAGGGCTGACTAGGACATTTGGACTTGCAATGTTCGGTTGGAGGTTCCTGTGTGTGGTCCAGTGGCAGCCTGCTCCATGAGTTCAGAAACTGAGAACTCAGGCCAAAGCCAAGCCTGAGTCTAGCCTAACACTCAGGAGTCCTCAGGTTGTAGTTATAACCATGGAAGTGTTCAGGATTTCCCCAGGGAGTGTGAGCAGCATGAGAAGGGTGGAGACACAGACAATCTGAGGAGGAGGAGAAAAGAGAGGGAAGCCCTGGGGGACAGAGGGGAATCAGCAGGCAGTCTCAGCAGCAGTATCAGGTTCAGATGCTGCTGAGGTCACAAAGGGCTGAAAATCAGGAGTCACTGTCATTTACCAGGGCCCCTTGCTTAAGTTCCACAGATCGAGCACAGCCTCAAATACCAGCAGAAGACAGGCTCCATGGGCATCTTCGATAACCTGAGCCCCGTCAGGCACCCGGAGAGTCCCATTTCTGAGCCATCAGTGGAAGAAGGACTCACATTCCTCCTAATTCCACTTAAGAAAACAACAGCGCAGGTGCCTTGAGATGTGGCCAGCTCTCAGCTTAGTGCTGGGGAGCAAACAGGGCTCTCAACAAAGCTGAGAGTGAATGCCTTGTCTCAAGAGGGACTCAAGGGGGGCACCTGCTTGCTACTCATCTCCAGACGGCTGTGGCTGGCAGGGAAGAGAGCCCCAGGGCGGCCAGATCTTCTGGCTTTTAAGAGAAGCCCAAATCGGGGCGCCTGGGTCACTCAGTTGGTTACACAATCGACTCTCAGTTTCAGCTCAGGTCTTCATCTCCTGCTCTAGAGACAGAGCCTCATTAAGTTAGTCAGGCTCTCGGCCACTCCTCTGCTTCCCCTCTGCACTCCCTCTCCCCATTTGTGTACTCTCTCTCTCTCTCTCTCAAATAAACGAATCTTTATAGAGAGAGAGAAAGAGAGAGAGAGAGAGAGAGAGAGAGAGAAGCCCAAATCATAATTTGAATGTGAAATCTCCTATTTTTGGAAACTTCCACATGGGCACACAGGCAGGAAGGACCTCAACTTTGCAAATTTTGCAACCTTTACCCTGGATACTACGATCTAAGTATTTCTCAAATTATTCCCCATGCCTATTACCACTACCCCAAAATTTCCTAACCTTGGTCTAAAGCAACAGCCATCACACACACAAAAAAATCTTTTTTCATCAGAAACCTAGTACATACTTGTGGGAAAAGGTCCCAATTCTTGTATTCTACATCTAGTCACCCAGATTTCTAGAAAAAAAAAATGATGAACACATCCAGATGACCAGATGAAAAGATGTTCCTAAGGCAGAGAAATGCAAATTACAGTCAGAATGAGACACCACTTTACTTCCACTGGGCTGACAAAAGGAGGAAATAGAGCATGTATTACTCTTAGGCATATGTGTGGAAGCGGGCTCTCATACATGGCTGGTAGGAAAGTGAAGTATGATAACCTTTCGGCAAATAATCTGGCAATGTCTCCTAACATGTGAAGTGTAGGTATCCTTTAACTCCGACATCGCAAGCCTGGAAAGGTTTCCCACAGAAAGAAAAGTGCCTGTGCAGGAGGATCTGATGGGATCTGATCATATTTACGATGTAAAATTAATATAATTAGCGTAAAGTAATGTAAAATTAATGTAAGTAAAGTGAGCATGCACACTACAGACTTAGTCACAGCAGCCGAGAACTGGAAACAAAAAATGTCCATCAACAGGGAGACAACTGAATAAATTGCCAATGCCCATAACATGGAATACTAGGTAGCAATGAAAAAGAACACATCACACCCACCCAGATGGCTAAAATCTAAAAGGCTGACAACACCAAATATTGACAAGGACACAGACACACCGGAACACTCGTGAATGGTCAGTCAGAGTACACTCTGGTACAATCACTTTGGAAAAAGTTGCTGTTTCATATAAAACTAAGCATATGTGGCAATGTTCTGATTTTTAACCAGGAAGAATGTTATATGTAGAATAAAAATTCATTAGAAAACACAACTATAACACCTAGTATGGACCTAGCACTGGTATTTATTCAATACTTGCTGGGAGAATGAGAGAGAATTTATCAAATAATTGCAGACTGTACTTTTATAAATAATACAGATGACAGTGCAAAATGAACCACCGGGTGGCACAAAGCACTGCTGTGTGTGCAGTGGTTGGGATGTTACCTGTCAGGTTATACATACATGGTCCAAACTTGGATGTTTATATAATATCACATACCATTATAAATATAATAAATATGTGATCCATATAATCCTTTACACATTTTGTCCAAACTTAGACACACATATAACAATACATATATATACACATATAATAAATAAACATATAAACAAATATAATACATATAAAGGAAGGTAGGTGGTGGAAAGGAAGTAAAATCCTTGAAGACTGGGGCACCTGGGTGGCTCAGTGTTGAGCATATTTCTTGGGCTCAGGTCATGATCCCAGGGTCCTGGGATTGAGTCCTAACTCAGGTTCCCCAAAGGGAGCCTGCTTCTCCCTCTACCTCTGTGTCTCTTGTGAATAAATAAATAAAATCTTAAAACAAACAAAAAAACAAACATGAAGACCAAGACCCATTACTTTTAGACAAGTACGTACATTTTGAATTATTAGTTATAAGCAAAAATAATAAAATTATGGCTGATTTAAGTGAAAAGACCTATTTATCAGCATGTTGCTGGGAAGTTGAGGAATGGGCTCAGGAAACCGGCAGGAACTAGGCAAAGCTGAGACAGCCTCACCCTAGATAAGGTCACAACGAGTGGACTTTGCTGCCAATCACCAAAAAAGAGGTTAAGCAATTTGCTTAAAATTTTAAAATAAGAATAAACACCTATCTACCCTGTGATGCAGCCATCCTCCTCCCAGGTGTATCCCTTGATGAAACGTACAAGACTCTTCACAGCAATTTTATTCAAAATAGTCCAGAACCGAGAACAACGTCCGTGAACACACGATAAAAGGCACTGTCACTTGTATCTGGGTGAAGTACAGTACCCAGTGATAAAAATAAGCTGCAGAGACACACAACATGGATGAATTTCAAAAACGTTATGGGGGGGGGGGTGCCAAGCTGGCTCAGCTGACAGAGCATGCGACTCTTACCTTGGGGTCCAGTTTGCACCCCACGTTTGGGGTAGAGTTTACTTAAAACAAACAAAACGTTATGCTGAGCTACAGATGGCTGAGCTCAGGCTCCAGAGCAAGCCCATGTCCAGGCTCCACGCTCAGTCGGGAGTCTGGGGGGGACTCTATCTCTCTCTGCTCCTCCCCGTCCCATGCTCTCTCTAAAATAAATAAAATCTTTAAAAGAGCAAAACAAAAAAACCCCCGAGTGCATATCCCGATTCTATTTTTTTAAAAGATTTTATTTATTTATTCATGAGAGAGAGAGACAGGCAGAGGGAGAAACAGGCTCCATGCAGGGAGTCTGACGCGGGACTCGGTCCCGGGTCTCTAGGATCATGACCTGGGCTGAAGGCAGCACTAAACCGCTGGGCCACCCGGGCTGACCCCCCCACCCCCACCCACGATTCTATTAAATGAAGTTCCAGATAAGCGCAATCTCGAAAAAAACCAGAGCAGTGGTTTTCTCTGGGCGGGTATGGGTGAGGACCAACCAGGAAAGGTGAGGGAACTTTCGGAGATGATGTCATCTTCTAGATGTTGATAGGGAAGACACACAATGTGTGGATTTGTTAAAACTCATAGAACGGGGAGGTGCAAGGGTGGGTCGGTTGGTTAAGCTTCTGCCTTTGGGGCTCAGGTCATGACCCCAGAGTCCTAGGGAATCAAACCTTGCATACAGCTCCCTGCTCAGCAGGGGAGTCTGCTTCTCCCTATGCCCCTCCCCCGCTCTTTCTCTTTCTCAAATAAATAAATAAAATCTTAAAAAAAAACCTCCATAGAATGGTCAAAATGTGTCCAATTCATGGTTTATACGTTTCATTTAAAATTTGAACTCCTATAGTTAATAACAATCATGCTGAATTGTTTGGGGTGAGGTGCACTGAAGTCTGCATCTGGGCCCCTGGGTGGCTCAGCGGTTGAGCATCTGCCTTTGGCTCAGGTCGAGATCCCGGGGTCCTGGGATCGAGTCCCAAGTCCCACATCAGGCTCTCCGCAGGAAGCCTGCTTCTCCTTCTGCCTTTATTTCTACTTCTCATGAATAAATAAATAAAATCTTAAAAAAAAAAAAGAAAAAGAAATGCACTGAAAACACGAAGATGGATCAGTGGGCAGGTGTGTAAAAACACTAAGAAATCTAGGTGAGGGTATATGGGTGGTGTTCACTGTACAATTATCTCAACCTTTCTTTGTATTTGAAGTTTTTCATAATAAAATGTTGGCAGGAGGAATCCGAAATGTATTTGAGGTCTACACCAGATGATCAGGAATGATTTCTGTAATGTGTCGTTGAATAAGAAAAAAGCAGGATGTGGGAAATGCATACAGCCTGATCCTTTTTATTTCTATTTATTATTTATTTATTTATTTATTTATTTATTTATTTATTTGTTTGTTTGTTTGTTTGTTTTAAATACTTTATGCATGAGAGACACAGAGAGAGAGAGGCAGAGACATAGGCAGAGGGAGAACAGGCTCCCTGTGGGGAGCCCAACGCAGGACTCGATCCCAGGACCCTAGGATCAGGCCCTGAGCCAAAGGCAGAAGCTCAACTGCTGAGCCACCCAGGCATCCCCAGCCTGATCCTTTTTAAATAAAACAACCCAAAGAACACCCTGGTTGACAGTATGAGTTTCCTGAGCGTGGGGCAAACAGTGGAAATGGAGGGGGGATACTGCTATGGGGATGGACCCACAATAAACAAGGATATATATATTATAATGATCCCAGAGGGCCAAACTGACAGAGGTGTGATGACAGTATGGGTACTTAAAGAGATACATGAAGGGGTGGACATCCAAAGGATCAAAAAACTTTTAAACAACACAAACATCTAACACAGAACATTAGGGGCCCTCACTCCCAACTATCAGCTTAACTGTTCAGGGTATATTTTTCTATACATATAAAGATCTTTCTTTCTTTCTTTCTTTCTTTCTTTCTTTCTTTCTTTCTTTCTCTCTCTCTCTCTCTCTCTCTCTTTCCTTCCTTCCTTCTTTCTTTTCTTTTCTTTTCTTTTCTCTTTTCTTTTCTTTCTTTTCTTTTCTTTTAAAGTAGGCTCCACACCCAACATGGGGCTTGAACTCACAACCCTGAGATCAAGACCTGAGATCAAGAGTCGAACACTCCACCAACTGAGCCGCCCAGGTGCTGTACACACTCTCATGTTGTCAGGCTTCTTTCACTACCATGGGCATCCTTCCGGACATTGTACCAGGCCACTCCCCTCTTTGGATGGCCACAAAGGACAGCGTGGTATGAACGTACGTGGTATGTTAGCTGTTTGTCCAGTGATAGACAGTCAGGCACCTACAACTGCTGGCTATTTCAAATGTCATAATAAATAACCATCCATGCACACAGACGCCTGTACTAGCAGGAGATTTATGGGACAAATGCCTTCAAGGAGAACTTCTGGGTCACATAGAATGACTCTTTACAACTTCGGGAAGTTCTGCCGAATTGTGCTCTAAACAGGTTGTATGAACTTAACATTATTACTGACAAGAATTTGAGAATACCGTTTTCCCAGACCCTAACCTCAGAAATCTTCAATCTTTTCAATTTTTTGACAATCTGCCAAACCAGAAAATGGTATCTTTTTTTTTTTTTCTTCAGAAAATGGTATCTTGCTTAAACCTTCATTTCGCTGGTTAACTGACATAGTCAAAGATCTTTCCTTCTGTTTATTAGTCTTTTGTGTTTCTTCCCCTAAACTAGCAGGAATTACCCCCGGAATATGGGATCATGGCCCCCATTCATGACTCCATGGCCTAAAAGACGGTGTCTAACCTTTTAACACGACATCTGGGATCCTCTGCATAACAACGTTCATGCAAACACAGCAACACCATCAAAAACAGGAAACATTTATTGAACACTCCCTGTTTGCCCCTACAAGTACCCGCATGCATTATCTCACTTAATCATCACAATCAGATAGCAGCTATTATCGTCCCATTTTAGAGAAGAAGAAGCTGAGGCTCAGGTCCTCACATGGATCCCTCCTCAACTGGTACCTGGGCCATTCACACCCACTCGTATCCCTCTGCAGACCTCCCTGTGCCTGTGGGCCTCCTCAGTCTTTGATGCCCTCCCTGCCCTGGGTCCCTGTCATGTGTTTGGTGAACAACAACAAATCTTTTTAAGATGCAGTGCTGGAGGATCTCAGGACTAGAGGAATGGCATTTCAATCTTTTTTTTTTTTTAATTTAATTTATTTATGATAGTCACAGAGAGAGAGAGAGGCGCAGAGACATAGACAGAGGGAGAAGCAGGCTCCATGCACCGGGAGCCCGATGTGGGATTCGATCCCGGGTCTCCAGGATCGCGCCCTGGCCCAAAGGCAGGCGCCAAACCGCTGCGCCACCCAGGGATCCCAGGAATGGCATTTCAGAACCAAACATCAAGTTTGGCAGCGATCTTGAAGGGACATCTAGTTCTGTGTTTTTACAAACTGAGTCGCAGCTCTCATTAGTGGGTCAAGACCAGGATTTTTATAACACTGAAGTAGAATACAATAAAAAATAAAGAGAGCAGGGAGTGAAGCTCTGTCCCGTTTCAAGGACACACACTGTTCTCTGAAAGCAGCGTATCACCAGGCTCCGGAGTGAAATGTGTTCTTCACTGTGATAGCGGTCTCACTGGGCCGGCCGTCCTCCAGGCCAGAAGGCAGAAAATCTCTCTAAAACCCTGAATCCATCAGCTCCTAGTCTGAAACTTTCTGGGCTTTCTTATTCCTGTTAAGATTAAAAGTAAGCCAACACACCAGGCCTCTGGGCAGCTGGCAGGGTCCTGCCCCATCTAGCCCCACCTCCCTCAGGCCTCAGTCACCATCATGGATTCACTCCTGGCTCACAAGGGTGCTACTCCCTCTGGGCCTGGAATGCTGTCCCCTTGCCCCTCCATCTGTGCACTCCCATTTCTCATTCAGGATTTGGTTCCAACATCACTCTGGCCGAGAAACCTCTGACTCCTCTATAGGGTCGGGTCTCGGAGTTACACTGGCCCACCGCGTCCGGGACCTTCTGTCCGAGGACTAATCGAGACGGTAATGAAATAGTTGTTTCACTGTCGCCTCTTCCTTAGGCTGCTTCTGGGCATCTACAGCAACTCGCAGTTTTGCTTTCTCACAAGCAGTTGGCCGCAGCTGGTTGAAGGAGTCTCCTGTCCAAGGCAAGAGCAGTCCTATCTCGAAACTTCTCCTGACCCTGGCCACTCCTCCAGACAACCACCAGCCTCCCAGCCACCACTGTACTAAGGCCAGCTACCCCATACAGAGCCCACGCCGCTGCGTGGTAAAGAGGTTAACTGGGATAGCGGCTTTTGGCCTCACACCACCTTGAGAGGAGGGCATTATTCTACACACATAACAGGAACATTTAGATAGTTGTTCAAAATCCAATGCAACTCATTTAAGTGGCTGAGCCAGGATTTGAACTCCAGCTACCCAGACACTATCCCAGCCTCAGCAGCACTCTATTATGTGTTGGTCTACACATCTGCCACTGCCACTGCTACCGCCCCAGACTACGGAGGCAGGAACCAAGGCCCGGAGCAGAGCCTCATTAAATATGTTTGTTAAATAATGAACGATGGGAAAAGGCAAAAAGTTGGCAGCAGAACACCACAACATCCTGAAAGAACCGAGCTAGAAGGCATGCACCCTCCCCAGTGTAGGGAAATCTCCCGAGAATTCCTGCGGGGGGGTGTGTGACCTGCTATGGCCCTCCCGCAGCTGTCTCTCTTGTAGATCAACTCGACTTAATTCAATTACATCCTGCCAGCAATTACAGAGCATCAACTACCTGCCAGGCTCTGGGCTGGGGACGGAGGGAGGGTGCCAATATTGACAAAAAGACTGTCCCCACCTCCTGAGGATCCAACAGTCCGGTCAGGAACAACGCAGTACCATTGAGCTACAGCCTGGGTGTGAAGAACGAGCTCTGAGAGCCCAGAGGAAGGAGCAGTGAATGCTCACCGGGAGGATGGGGGTTGATGTCACAGCACTGCAGCCTGGGTTTAAAGGATGCGTTAATAAAGTTCTCTGTAATCACAAAAGAAAGCTCCATTTGCCTGGCGTGGGGGCATGGAGAGTGTGAGGGGGGCATATTGAAGGAAACTAGTTCTGCCTTCTGGAGTGACAGGGAAATATAATCCGCTCCACTGTGACAGTCTTCAAAATATTCAAGGATTATGATCTTGCTTCTCTCCAATTTCCCTCTTTTTCAAGGCAAACATTTCTCAGGTTTTTTTTTTTTTTTAAAGAATCTCTACACTCGGGACACTTGGGTGGCTCAGTGGTTTAGCACCTGCCTTCTGCCCAGGGCATGATCCTGGAGTCCCGGGATTGAGTCCTGCATCGGGCTCCCTGCATGGAGCCTGCTTCTCCCTCTGCCTATGTCTCTGCCTCTCTCTCTCTCTCTCTCTCTCTCTCTCTGTGTGTGTGTGTCTCTCATGAATAAATAAATAAAATCTTAAAAAAAAAAAAAAGAATCTCTACACTCAACACGGGGCTTGAATTCACGACCCTGAAAATCAAGAGCGGCACGCTCTACCGACTGAACCAGCCAGGTGCCCCTCTAAGGTTTTTTTTTGACTGGGTCTCATGACAGACTATGAATCAACAAGTAAGCTTTATCTCTTCCTTCTCCTCTGAGGGCTGAAACTACCTTAAGTCTTCAAATCCAAAGCCCCGGTCAGTGCCACCTTCTCCATGAATTCCCTAATTACAGAGGGGTGGTACGGTATAGCATAAGAAAACATAAAATTCTCTAATAATCATGAGGGGAAGTGGTATCTTGTTTGCATAAAAAACAAGCGCATACAGTAAAAATAACTTTTGAGACCCCTTGAATTCAGCCATAATATAGATTTTATCTCGTTTTGGGTATGCAGTGACCATACAGCCTGTTCTTCCCCAGGGCTGGATACTACGTATTGTGTAGCTTTAGTTTAGTTGAGAGATGATAAGACTCTCTCCTTGGCCAAACTTTAGTCAGGCTCCTCTGAACCCCTGTCTCCATTAGGCCTCAACCTTGTCCCCAACCCACCCCTTCGCGTGTCCTCTTGGGAACTTCCCATCCACTGACCCCTCACTCTGCTGTTGGCTATCAATTCTCAGCGGTGTTGCTGTGTTGGGAGCAGAGCTCTCTCCTCTACTACAGCAACCCTACAGCGAGAGTCTGACATCAAGTCTTCTGCACAGGTCTAACAAGCATCCAAACTACACACTCTCTCACAGAGTCAGAAGTAGTAGTTGACTTGCGTTCAGAGGCCCGCGGGACTTACATCCTGTGGACAGAAGTGAATTCAAGGATGTGTAGAGCTGATACCGTGTCTCAACAGTAATTGCTCTTTCCTTACTCTTCTGCAGCAGTTTCTTACCTCTATCATATTCCTGTTATTCTACCATTTATGATAGTATATGGTCTGCAGCAGACCCCATGCTCCTTGCCGCTTGCTCCCCTGGGCCCGGTGGTGTTCTTCATATTCCCCACGGTGCCCAGCCCAGGGTGAGGGCACCAACAGGTTACAATCGTTGCCCCTTCCCCCAATGTTGCTCCAGCCTGCTAACGCCCCTCTTAAAATGTGACACTCATCCAAAAAAAAAAATAAAAAATAAAAATCCAGATATGCTCCGATCACTGTGGGGTCACTCCGTCCTCCCCGGGCCCCCTAAGCCACCTCCATTAACCCAGTCTAGCACTTCTCTGAGTCTTTAGCAGCCAGACCGTCCTTTGGGTCTGCTTAAACCCAGGGCCTTCCTCCGGGCGTCCGCAACGAAGCCCGAAGCCCGAAGCCCGAAGCCCGAAGCCCGAAGCCCGAAGCCCGAAGCCCGAGCCCGCCGCCCGCGTTCACTCTGCGCGCGTCCTCACACCGATCCCCGCCGAACTGCGTCGTGGTTTTCGGCCCACGGCCGCAGCCTGTTGATAGGTGTTTCCCGCACTACTCTGTGGTCCGCCAGAGAGAAGTGTCTGGTGTTCACTTGGATGCTGAGACAGGAAAGGGGCCCCCGACAGCCCGCAGCTCCTCCGGGAGCTGGCCCCGGGGCTCCACCGAGAAGCCGCAGGTGCTAACGGAGGTCTGGCGCGCACGCAGCTGACGCCCCGCGGCCCTCGGCTCCGCGGGGGAGCGGCCCCCCCCGCCGCAGCGCCTCGCCGGCGGGGCGGGGGCGGGGGCGGGGCGGGGCGGGGGTCCCCGCGGAGCCCGCGCGCCGGGGCCGGCCGCCAGCAGCCGGCAGCTCGCCCCGCGGCCCCGCGATGCCCGGGCCCCCTCCCCCCACCGCGAGCGGCGCGGGAGCGCGGGACCCCGCTGTCCCCGCCCGGGCCCGGGGCCGCCGGGGGGCGCGGGCGGCTGTGCGCGGGGAGACGGCGCGGGGGCCCGGCCGGGCGGCGCTGGCGGGGCGTGGGCACAGCGCGGGAGGGAGGTCTGCGCCGCCCCCGGGCCGGCTCGCGCCGCGGGGGAGCTGCTCCGTCCGCGCCCCGGGGCCGGCGCGGGAAGGGTGGCCCCGCGGCGGGGGTGGTGGCGGCGAGCTGGGCCCGCGCATCGGGGCCGGGGGCTGGGCTGGCCCGTACCTGATCTTGAAATCCCGGTTATAAACGGTCCGCAGCCGCTCGCGATCCGTCTCCAGGTCCAGTCCCCGGTCGACCAGGAAACTCTCGAAGCACTGGCCCGCCTCCCGGAGCTGCCGGCAGCTGAACTTACTGGGCATCGCGGCGGCGGCTGCGGCCCAGGCAGGAGGGTCCGCGGAAATGAAACTGAAAGTCGCCGCCGCGGATGTAAGTTGGCGGCCCTGGGACGAGGGTGCAGCGGGGGGAAGCCCCCCAACTCTGACCCCCGGTCCCGCAGGCTCCCCTCTCCCAGCGGGCTCCCCTCCCTCCGTCCTCCTCCTACCTGAGCCTTCCCTCGGGTCTCTCCGTCCTGTCCCCTCCCCCTCCCCGTATTAACTCTTTCCTAAGGAGTCTGACCCCTCCCTCAGGGCCCTCCCCTTACCCCAAGCTCCCTCCCCTGGCTTCTGGCCGGAATCCGAACGTGGCCACCGCCTGGGGCCCCCCGAGCCGCCCGCGAGGACTTCCGAGCCTCCGCCGGGGCTGCTTCCACGCCTGCCCCCCGGGGCCTCGGTACTTCTGCAAAAGCGGGAGAGCAAAGGGCAGGGGCCGGGACCCAGGGTGGCCGCGGCCGGGCCGGGGCAGGTCCTGCAGCACCTCCCCCAGACAGCCGGGGACGGAAAGCAGCGCGGAAGCGAGCGGCACGCCCCCTCCCCCCTCCTCCCTCCTCGGGCTTTCAGACGCGGGGAGGAAGGCTTGGGAGCCGGGTAAGTTCGGGGTGGGGGTGGGGGTGGGGGGCGAAGCCAGTGTCTCTGGGATAAAGGTGTGTACGTGTGGGAGGCAGGACAGGGGGCTCCGCCGGCGCGGACAGGCATTATTACTTTTTCCCAGGCAGCCCCACAGGTTTCGTTTCAGTGGAAGGGCTGCTGATCCCTGCCCTTGAGCTACATATTTGGGCACTTAATTACATTCCAGTCGGTGTTGCTCTTTAATTGTTACTGGTATAGGAGCAAGGGTTGCCCCAGTCATCATACCAGCCTGAGAGCAAGGGGCTCTTCCGTGAGGCAGTAACTGGTTAATACCTACAGCACCAGTACCAGGAAGAGAAGTGAAAGAGCAGCGCGCTTCGGAAGACAGACTGTTAAGCCAACTAAAGGGGGTGGGGCTCCTACCAGAAACACAAAACAAGCCTCAGCATCTGTGTGTGCTCCCTCATAACAAAAACACACACACTAGAATGGGGCAAAGATAATAACAGTTATATAAAAAAATTTTTAAAAAATATACTAGAGTTCCAAATATATCAAAGGTAGTGTTGTCCTCCAAAGTAGTGCCCGGTGGGAGGCCACACACTCAACCTAACCTAGGGTGTGGAATGTCCAGAACCCAGGCCACGCTCCAGCTGGGCAACTCTTGTGCCTTCTCCCAGGCCAACAACCAACCAAAGCCAGGAATAACAGATTTTAGCAACAGGAAATGCAAAGTCAGTAGGAACCAAAGCTAATGGGGAAGTTCTTAAAATTTCTGTCTTAGAAATTGTGCAAAGTAGAGGAAAACACTAGGAAGATAGTCCATTTTTAACCCTTTTTGTCTGCAATTACCTGGTGGGTCTGAGCAGGAGTTATTTCAAAAACCTTCCATCCACCACACCCACACTGAATGTCTAGCTCCATTCTGATACACAAATCTAAGTCCTCATTACTCCTGGATCCTGAATGCGCCCCCACCCCTCCGCTTCCTGGTGAGGCCCATGTCCTAGACATTACCAAAATAAGCAACAATGCAAACAGCCATAGTACATAACCAACTTGAGTAAAAACGTGATGTGGTTGTGTTTACAGTGGAACTTCTCTAAACCAGTCTCATCTAGAAAACTACAATTCACACATGGGGTTTTAATTATTTTCACACATGGCTGTCTAGATGTCTAGAATGATCTTGCTTCCCACGTTTCAGATACAGCTCAGGTCTCACTTCCTCAAAAACTTCCCCAAATCTATCTGCACTTATAATTACGAGTGTGACTTCAAAGTGGTTGATTTTATTATGGGTCCAAATAACACTGAAGGCAATCTGAGAGTCGACCATGGTCAATGACAATGTGTGTGAATAAACGCACAGTAGTTCCCAAGACAACTACTTTGGAGAATAATAAGAGCTTTGTATTTTCTTCATCACTTCTCATTATTTTGTAGTCACCTGGGTTCTACAATTTGATATTTGAATGTTCTGTTTATGTATTCTAAGTAGACTGTAGTCCTCACGGCAACTGTTAAGTCGCCCTTCAATTGAATGCTGACAGCGGTGACAGGCTGTGGGAGGTTGCTACAGCTGATTCTAATTATTTGCAGATTGTGTATTTGCAAAGTCACCTAAGTTTATCAATAACCCCCAAATCAGTACTTGCAGTATCTGTGTAGTCATTTGTGCACATGTGCAGAACGACAAAACAAACTCGAGTTACCCAATGGACATGTTCCTAGCTGAAATGGAACAAGGTAATGTTCTGCCTTCTTGTTTCAGCTTCTATTATAAACATCCCTTTCATTGTCGTGGCCTATCTTAGGGTCACATTTTTGCATTTTGTCCTTTTTTGTTACGCTATTGCTTAAAATAGCCCCCATGCCTGTGTAGTGCTTAAGTGCTATCTGGTGTCCTAAGCACAAGGCTGTGATGCGCTTTACAGAGGAAATTACGTTAGATAAGCTTCATTCAGGCACAAGTTACCATTGAGTTCAATGTTGACTGTTGAGTTCAATTTAATGGATAAACAATGTATATTAAATAAGGTGACTTGAATAGAAACACATATAAAACACTGCATATATTGATCTATTGACAAGTGTTGTGGCCAGAGGTTCCCAAGAACCTAACCCTGTATTCCGAGAATAGCAATGTGTATAGTATTTGCCAACTCAGTGTTTACTGGCAACTCTACACTTACTGTGAGTAAGGAGAATCAACAGTATATTCTGTGTAATAGTGCTTCTTTGATATATTGGACTTGAAGAGGCAGATTGGTTTCTGCCCTCAGAGAGCTAAGATCTACCATCTTGTTATACATAAGCTGTTCAAGAGAGAATTTTAGCTAGCTCAACTTATCTTATGGAACCATCCAGTTTTGTTCTACTTACCAGTCCTTTCTTTGATGTCCCAAGCAAGCAGGAGGCAGCTTAGTAATTCTATATATGATTGTAAATTTATAAATTGACATTGAAATATGTCTCTTTTGTGAGTTCGCAGAAAATGTGCCATGGTTTGCCCAGTATCTCTGAACCCAGATGAGTCCAGCATCAACGTTCTAGATTATAAAAGAGAACAGGCACTGGAACTAGGCAAGCAACAGCAGCACAACCGCCCAGGCTCAGATGAAACATTGGTTTTTAGCAGTGTAATTTCAAATCCAAATATACGAGTGCGGCCTCACAGAAAACTGCTTTCCATCTGGCTGAGAAACCTCTGCCCTAAGATCTCACAGGCTGATTGGAGTAGTGCATGATAAAATATGCAATTCAAGCAAATATTCCACTGAAGGAGGTTAGGTTAAGGAAGGCAGATCTCTGCAGGACTTGGTAAAGAGGGCTGACCTCTTCCCAATTATACAAGTAACCAAGGGCTTTAGATGGCCAAGCGATTAAGAGTTTTTACAAAAGTCTATATGGGCTAGGGAAATGGGATAGGCTGGGGACAGGCTGACCGAGTTAATAAGTTAAAGGCAAAGGCAAGAAGATTTGATTCTGTTTGCACTACAAGTACAGAGTATAGTACAACAAATGTTCCCCCAAAAGGTGGGGAATTTGAACTGGCCTCAGATGGAATGTGAATCACTGAAACTCCTCTGGTTCTCTCGGGAACCAGGAGAAAAGCCTTTCTCTCATGTCTGTAGCTAAGTCAGATTTGGAAGGAAAGCTGCATTTAGAGGTTAAGTCAGTGTAAAATCTCATCCAAGTTCAAGGTACAGGGATTCTTTCATTGCTACTTCCTAGTGATTACAACCATACTTGGGCCTTGCTTTCTCAATGACAAACACAGAAGATACCTAGAAATGGATAACCAAAACAAAAACTTTGGGGTGCCTGGCTGGCTCAATCGATAGAGCATGCAGCTCTTGAACTCAGGGTTGTGAGTCTGAGCCCCATGTTGGGAGTGGAGATTAGATTACTTAAGAAAACAAACAAACAAAAAAACCACACAACAAACCCTCTGATTCATCCATAGCCTTTAGGTGAAGAACAGTATTATCCATAGAGACAATGCTCAAACTTAAAAACAAACAAAAAAGCTGTTCTTTCCAAGTCTTTGGATAATCACCGAATCTGTAATAGGTAGGAACCAATTTCAGAAACCCTGAACATCCTCATCAAATAAGACTGCACACAGTTCTATCTTACCTTGAGAACAAAAACTGAAGAGATGGATTGAAAAGGAGAGACTCAGACAATTTAAGAACAAAACAGGTATATTTCTATTGGACTACCTGATACAGAGGATAGTGTGGTATGAATGGATATAGTATGAATGACACATAATACAAATATATTTTATTTGAAATAAACAAAAAAGCTTACACAGCTCAACAGGTCACTTGGAAACAAACTTGCTTGACTGTATTACTGAGCAAAAACAAAGCTGAAGCACAAACACCCTTCTTTTTTGACATTTATTTGGAGATAGGTAGGAAGACACTACTTGGTTTTTTAAAAACTGACCTTCCCTTAAGGCCTGGTCATAGAAGTGTAAACAATGTAAATGAATCCACCATTACCAGTTGTCATATCATATCTATGTCACCTGTGTATTCTGAGATCACACATTTACCTGCCAATACACCTGGGAAGGGTTGCTATATCACAGTTACATTTGAGCTCTTGGCAGGCAGGACTGAGGAAGAGTAATTTGGAACAAGTTTTACATCCTATTTAGAACGAATCACTAGTATTCCCTTAAATAACAGGTTACAATAGAAAGATACTGCCTGGAACATATCCTTTTCACTTTGGTTCATTTTTAGTTTTTTTGTTTGTGATTTACATAGTTGTTTGACTCATCTGCTTATAGTATAATCCTGCCACAAAGTATTAAAGCACAAGATACCTAGTATTCCTTCAACATCTGCATTTTTTAAGTTTTATACTCTACTACACCCCTAGTAGGTCAGCAGTTTTTGAATAATACAAAATAATAATAAACAGGTAAAACTCTTCTAAAAATGCAGATGTCTCTAACTATAATGGTATTAGATGGGAAGGAGACAATGAGGGAAGAGAAAAAAACAAACATGTTCATGTGTAGGGAATGTGGTTCAAGTCTTTGGATTTAAAAACAACTTCCCCAGAGAAGCTGGCTATAATGGAATTTCCAGAAAACTTCCTTTGCCCTCACAAAAGGACCTGAAAAGCCCAATCTAAACTTTCAAAACTACAATTATGAGATGTTATAAATGATGATCAAAGCAGTCAGAGGGAGAAGGATGAGTGTGTCTTCCATTCAGCTAGTTTGCAGCATAGCCTCTTTAGCTGTTCTTGGTGGATCAGTAAAAACCGCTGAAGTACCAGAAGTGTTTTGAAGGATAGCGGTAGAAAAGTACTGAGCATATTACCTGTCTATATCAGTAACAGGGCTTCATGGCTAGGAAACTTTTCTAAACAGTAAAATGACTCCAGGATAGGTCTGTCTGCCTGTCTCTCTCTCCATCATTAAATGTGGCAGAATTAAAAAAAGAAAAAATTTACAAGTAGATAGAGTGAAAACAAAAAATTACAAGGCAGAGAACACAAAAGAATCAAGACAATGCTATCGGTTCAACAGTATTCCATGAGGCTAGAAAACCTGTTAACTCTGAAAGCCCTAGCAAAATATCACTCTTGTTTATAAATCACTTATTTATCATATGACCGCATGTTGAATCCTTTCTTTCCATGTACTGAAGAATCCTACATTCAGCTTTTAAGCATTCTGCATTTCTTTGCCAATCTTGTAGCTGAGTATCTTGTTCCAGTCGATTTTGGTGCGGGTAACTGGAAGCTGCCGGCGCAAGGCCTTGAATGTGGTGTCTGACATGGTTTGATAGTTCTCACTAATTGCTGTCTGCAACAGAGAATTGAAGATAAGTTGCTTGAACAGAAAAGGATGGTTGTGATTAGGAAAGTAACTCTGTAGTCAAAGAACATGCCTGAGTCTTGTAAGGATAGACAGGATGTAATATTCCTAGTAAGCTCCTCTCCCATTTCTGAAGTGAGTTAAGAAGCCCACTTACAGTATTTCTAAAACTAGAGCTATAATCCCTTCCAATGTTGAAACTTTGTAAGCACAATGCCAAATTGCAAGGTCTATAGTCTCCACACTTACACTGATTAACACGTATATTTATGTTAAAAGGACAAAGAGAAGTCTAACGAAATGTGTTAACAGCAAAATAAGGTACTAAAGATCTAGAAAAATTAGTTCCAGATCTTACCTGATACTCATTTTCTGCATGCTCTATGATTTTAATAAATTCCTTGGCAGTCTGGACTTCATTCTAATGGAGGAAGGGGGGAAATAGGAATTTTTTAAAAAGGATAAGGAGTGAATAAAAAGATATTGAAAAGACCATCTTAAAGAAATCTGAATATTTGTATAACAATTTATAGTTGTCAAGTGCTCCCTTGCATGTTATCTTTTTTGATTCTTAGAAAAACCCTGTGAAGTACACCTGTTATTAGCATCACCTCCATTTTGCAGATGAGAAAACAGAATCCTTGTGACTAGACCAAAATTATACAGCTCTTGAAAGATAAAGATGGGGTCTGAATCCCAGTCTTTGCCAGGAGACCCCATGCTCTTTCCATCTACCATGGTATGCCCAAAAAGACATCATCACAGTATCTTGAAATGTATATGCCTTGAAAATATCTCTGCTTTCAGATGATATAAACAATGCCCTCACCACTATTAGCCATATATGTTAAACTTATATACTCTTCTATTTGCTACTTATGTTAAGCCAACCAATCACATTTTGCTTTATGTGACTCAGGTACAATATTAACTGAACATATCCTTTTCACTTTGGTTTATTTGGTTTCATTCTCTCTCTTCCTTTCATCATTAAAGTAGAACACAATTAAAGGTAAAAGGTAAGATTTTCTACCTAAAGCAGCAGTCCCCATTTTCTTTCAAATAGTCAAAACCATCTTTTGTTTTTACAATAACACTAAGACAAGTCATTTGCTTTTCCACTCTCCTTCTCAAGTGTGCATAATGCAGGTCTCAGAAGCTACATGTGCGATGGCTTCATCACTCTGACAGCTAATGGAATGTGTGGGCACATAATGAGAATCCAGTGGTCTTTTATTTAGTCAGACACTATACAATTTGTAAAAATGTCAACCACTGCCATTCTTTGCATAATTTTTTTTTGGTTTGGAAAATATGGTTGTTGTTCATGAAAATGTTATTTAGGTTAAAAAGTAATGGGTTTGTTATTGTATTTTTAAATTAAATACATTTAACATTTCTCAGTTTTAACGTCTAATAAGGTAAATATTGTAGATATACATAAACAAAAGCTATCTGGTTATTTTATTTTTCTTAATTATCTTTTATTTTATTTTTTAAAGATTTATTTTAGAGAGAAAAAGAGCATGTTCCTGGTTGGCAGTGGGGGGGGGGGGCACAGAGTGCAGAGCTCAACGTGGGGCTTGATCTCACAACCCTGAGATCATGACCTGAGCCTAAATCAAGAGTTGGATTCTTAACCAACTGAGCCATCCAGGTGTCCTTTTTTTTTTTTTTTTTAAGATTTTCTCTCCCAAAATATAAACTCTGCAACCAACATGGGGCTTGAACTCATGACCCTGAGATCAAGAGTCACATGCTCTACCAACTGAGACAGCCAAGCACCCCAAACAATACCTATTTGAAGGTGCTCAATAACTTGTACAATATAAAGAAGTACTGCGAATGTAAAAAAAAAAAAAAAAAAAAATTAGGCACAATACTTTTAAATTGGATATTCCTAAAAATGTTCAGTTTCTTTAGTGAAACGAATGCAGCTCTACAGGTTTTGTTGGAAAACTTTCCTTCTTTCTGGTATTTACTGATTGAAGATTTTGCTGTCCTTGAGCAAATCCACAATTGAGAAAGAGAGAAAGAAGTTTGGATTCTCTAAAGCTATTATCGCTATTTGTCAATATATCATGTTATGTTACTTTATGTTATATATATACACATATATATATATTTTAAAAGATTGTATTTATTTATTTGACACAGAGAGACAGAGAAAGCACAAGCAGGGGGAGGGGCAGAGGGAGTGGGAGAAGCAGGCTCCCCACTGAGCAGGGAGTCCAATGCAGGACTCAATCCCAGGCTCCTGGGATCATGACCTGAGCTGAAGGCAGATGCTTAACTGACCGAGCCACCCAGGTGCCCCACATTATGTTATATTACATAATTATTTATTATATTTAGTCAAACACCATGAACTAATTATAGCCAGTTGATTGCATACTTTTATCAACTGCCAAAATCAAAGCACTGAAAACAAACTAAATTTCTAGAGACAGAATCAATACTCAGGATCAAAATCAAGTTTTTCAAAGAAAAGGCACAAATGAGATATTAAATATTCCACACTCACCGAAACAGTTACTGAGTCCTGTACATCTTTATGACTAACCAACTGAACATTGCCATCTTCATAATAGTGAACCTGTGTGAGACAGTGGTTGAGCAAGTTTATGTGTAGCTCATATGGAAACCCATTGCTAAGGTACAAATCCATGTCTTAAGCCATCCTCAATCTTTACTAACTCTGAACAAAATATTAATATGAACAATTGTAAATTAAAATGGTGGTTAAGTTCACAGAACACTTCAAATTTTAAGAATTCTCGCTTTTCTTAGCAGGGGAAACTGATTAATAAGTTAGTTCAACAAAATATTTATTATTTGCTCCAGGCATTGTGCTAGGTATTATGAATACAAAGACCTTAAATAAGATTTCTTAATAGTATTAAAATAATCACCATAAAATCTAAACATTAGTTTTTCTCTGTGAAAACCAAGGGATTTTAATTGATCCTAATCCCTTACCCATCTCTCCATATATACAATCATCAATATTGGTAAGTAGATCTGACCAAGGGCAGGAAAAACTTAACTGAGGGTTAAAGACAAATTGAAAAAACAAATATGCCACTGGCAAATTAAACTACAAAAAAGCACAAGTTCTGAGGATGTATGATAAAATGGGGTGCTACAATTATGAGACCAATTAGCAAGAAGGAGTCATACACAAGAGACAGACTAATCAATGACATATCAGGAAGTTTTGGCAACTTACAAGATAGGTTCAGTCAAAAAAAAAAAAAAAAAGATAGGTTCAGTCACTTTAACATGGCTACAAACTGGTTATACAAAATAGGATGAGAGTACTCTTTTGTTAAGTTCATTTGAACAGGGTCTTGCAAATAGGAGTTACCACCTAAATGGACAAGTGGAGAAGAACATCTAGCAAGGGGGTAAAAAAAAGTACAGAAGAATGGTTTACTTTAAAAGAGAGAAGAATAAAGAACTCACTGCGGAAAGGAGTGTGGAAGGGACTGTGGCAGGAGATAGTGCTATGATGCAAGCTAGATACAGTCTGTAAAAAGCAAACTGCTTTATGAACCATGTTAAGAATCCAGACTTTATCCTATCAAAGGTGATGGGGACTCAGGGAAAGGGAATGTTTTAGAAATATTATACTTGTGTTAAGAAAATCAAGTGGAGGGAGCTGAAACTGGGGGCATAATGCTGGAATGGTAGTCTAGGTACTACTGCCTGTTTCCTTCATCTAGACCAGGCTACCAGGAGATGGCTACACAAAAAGAATGTTTGTAGAGATAAAGCAGAAAAAAAGAAGAAAGGAACTATACACTATAGTACTATAGGTATTATTTATTGAGTCCTTACTACATGTTAAACACTGTGCAAAACCATATAGTTATTATTTATCTCATTCAATCTTTACAAAAACTCTGAAACAGGGACCATTGTTATTCCTATTTCACAGCTAAGAAAACTGAGGCTTGAGGCAGTTTAATATCTTATCCACATTTACATATCAAGTAGGAAGAAGAGCCAGAATATGAATTAGGTCAAATTCCAGAACTAAAACTATATCCAACATGCATAATACCTCTCACTGTTAAGTTCTGTCAAAAAATTAGAAATTCCCTGATCCAGGTATAAGTAATGTGTCTCATTAGGGACCTAACTCTTGTAAGATATCATTAGAAGGGGATTAACACAGCCATGCCTTCATCTAAGCAGAAACCATGATCCTATTAGCAACAAAAGGACTTCCCTGAGCAATAGAAGCCACCACAGAGCCTTGTTTAAGGGGACAAAAATAGCTGGCTCTGTCCAGATGGGCAAGACAAAACTAGACTTTCCATGCCCTCTCCAAATCCTTAAATTTCATCTTTTGGCTTTCTAAAGGAGTTTAAAGAGAAAAAGACAATTTAATAATACACTGGAAAAGCAGAGAGTGGATAAATGCCTGTAATACCAACATGTAAGAATTAGAACAGCAAAGATTTGGACAAAAAAGATTGGGCTAAGTAATGATGACATATAAAGGTTCAAATTCCAACAGACAAGTGAGATAGCAAAACTGAATGGACTCCTTTCTAGAAAGGCTCTATTTCTCTGCTAAGTTCTCATACTTTGCATCTGAGTAAACCAAAGAAGCTATGTTCCCACTCCAAGGGGAGACAAGAAAGTTAATCATTTTCTAAGTTTCATCCTAGGCCCCCAAATACTTGATAACATCTAAGAAGAACCAGATCCCAAGCATGTTCCAGGACATTAACTTTGAACAAACCTTGGTTGACAATGGAAATAACATACCCTACCTTCGATGATTTATGGAATACACCCATTATTCATGTGGCACTCGCCTTTGATTGGATCCTTCCCTGAATTCCTGAAGGAACATGTCCCTGGATCCCTTTCCAGGATAAATCTCTAACCCCAAGTGATAGGGAGACTCCCTTTTCCTTTTCTGAGTCTCCCAGACACTCTATTATACTCTTCACTTATGCTATTCAATAAACTCTGCTCTCACTTCCTCTGGGCTTGAGTTTCATTTCTATCCTATGTGAAGCCAAGGACCCTCCTGGCTGGTCCTGTGGGGCCCCTGCTGGGTCCTCAGATCTGGCCTGCCTATGTTACAAGGACAGGATGTTCAAACAGGTGGGTGACGCTCAAACACTAGTTTTGTTTGATCATTTTTAAACTAAGAAACTGAAAAGTCCAGAGGTCAAAAAGAATACTAGGAACAGGAGTAAGTTTGAATAGATGGGGATATTTTAAAAATGTAGCTCTGTCCAGAGAAGAAACAGGGAGTTATATGTTTGAGACAGGTATCTCAGAACCCATCTGAAAGAAGGACTTATGCAGGGCACATCTTCTTCTTCTTTTTTAAGATTTCATTCATTCATTCATTGGAGAAAGTGAGTGTGTGCGCCAAAGAGAGACCCTAGGCAGTGGGGAGGGGAGGGAGAGAAGAGATAGGAGAAGCAGGCTCCCTGCTGAGCAGGGAGGGGAGCCAGACTTGTGGCTAGATCCCAGGACCCTGGGATCGTGACCTGAGCTGAAGGAAGACGCTTAACCATTGTGCCACCGAAGTGCCCCAGGGCATATCTTTTTTGTCTAACAATAAAGACTCTGCAACTAGTTTGAACTTTTATCATGTTTCTTAAGAACTGTAACATGAATAGGAATACAGTATAAGGCCACTAAGTCTTGCTGCTTATAAACTCAATAGAAAATTCTAAAAATATCGATTTCATTATCTAATACACAAATGATAAATTAAACTTAAACTCTCTTTTTAAATTTTTTATAAAGATTTTTTTTAAGTAAAAAAACACCCAGCATGGCGATTGAACTTACAACCCTGAGATCAAGAGCCAGCCAGGCATCCCAAACTCTATTGCAGAACAAAACTTTCTTTTTTGTGCAGTGGAGGGAACAAACCATTTTACTGAGGTGCTTATGGGAAGAATCAAAGGGCTGGGAGGACAATGACATCAGATATCCTCAATGAGATCCTTGGATAAGATCTCTCCAGCTTCAAAGTTGCCAAAAGCAAAGAAACCTTTCTAGCTCTCATCTGCTAATAAAAATTTCAACATGACTATCAACATAAATCCTCAGAAACTGTTGACTTCCCGGAACTACCCTTTTGCCTATAGAATAATCAAAGAGTTAAATATTTTATTGACTGTGCTAAGTAATTCTCACTCTGATTTTTAAGAGACATGTAAATGAAGCAAGACTTTCCCCAAGGTGTGATCAGCCAATCTGGTTAAAAGGTGTAAATGAGGTCTGGGTACTGTCCCTCGTTTTAAGTCTTATCAGAAATTATTACCCTTTATGATATGTATTCTTAATTTATAGGTTTGCATTAGCAAAGGTGAAACACAAGCAACTATTTCCTTCTAGAAGAAAAATAAAGTTACTTACACAAGTATGCAGTAAGCTGCCAGGTTAATGCTGATGTCATAGTTATGGGAGATCTAAAGATTAGGCTACTCATAAATACAGTTAAACAGAAACAGAATAATATATGTTGTCTTAAGTTGGGCTACCCCAGAAGCAGACCCCAAGACAAAGATTTGAGAGAGAGTAGTTTATTTGGGAGGTAATCTCAGGAAGGACTAGTAAAGACTGAGGTGTACTGAGACACAGAAGGGAAGGAAGTGTTATAGATGAATTAATGAACAGGTTCTAACTGTGGGCCCTGGACTCTGGAAGACAAGTATAATATGTGTCAGAGTTGTCCCACCTGACTGGTGAGGAAGCTGGCATATTTATTTATCTACCAACTCTTGTATGGCACTATGGGCTGCTCTGGAGCTGTGAACTTAACATTTCTAGTTTGCCTCATGTTGTTGAATGTGCTCCTGTGGCTAGGGAAAGTTACTTGTAACAGAAAGCTATCCTGAAAACAGTGGATACAGACGTTATCTACTATATATGCTCTGATTAGACAGTGAAAAAGGAGGCTCTTCCTAATTGTTATAAAAGACAACACAATATAATAGTGGTACGATTAGGTACTGATCTTCTCAGTTATCAGTAACTTTTAATCCAACCTGAGAGTTAGCTGGGCTTAAGAATTAAATCAACCTCAATTTGAAAGTTAAATGTCTGCTAGGTTATCAGAAGACTTCAGCCCAGACAGGCATTGAATGAATTAACAAGCTCCTTATTCACTTGCTTATCTGCTCTGAAACCAGCATTAGAAATCTACTCTGCTTGGTTATTTATATTCTATACATGATGGCACTTGGCAATTCTCTCTAGTTCCTCTGTGTTACTTGATTTTAAAAAATAAAATTATTACTTCTTTTCTTCTTTTATTCTATAAAAGAATTTTATTACTATAAAGAGAGTCCCATTCATGTAGCTTTTTGCAGAGCTAAAAGTTTTATATATATGTCTATGTTCACACTTAACTGAGGTAATACACACCAGAGACCCTAAGTAAGTTACAGCAGCTGCTACTTAGTCACTTCTTGTTTTCTTCTTTCCTAGAACTCCTGTTTTTTTAAATTATTACTACTATTATTTTTTTTAAGTAGGCCTCATGCACAATGAGGAGCCCAATGTGGGGCTTGAACTTACCAACCCTGAGATCAAGACCTGAGTTGAGATCAAGAGTTGGATTCAAGTGAATGAACCACCCAGGTGCCCCTAAAACTGCTATCTGATAATTCCTGGAAAAATCTTGTTATTTTTGGAAGAGAAAAATATTAAGCAAGTAGTATACACCTTATGATTATTCTTTATCAATCCAGAATAGCTGTTTAACTACTTCCCCACAAAGGAGGCTGACTCCTATTTCTATATACTACCATCCAACTTACTTTGCATCTACATAGAGCGCCTTACTTCTAATACCAGAACAAATACCAACTTCCATGTTAGCTTTCAAGATATGACATTTTAACATGGCCTATTAACATATGGGGTCTCACCTGAATCTTAAGTACTCCAACCACCTGGGCTGTAGGTGGTGTGATGGTGAACTTCCACTCTGATCTCCAACGACCATTCCTATTAAAACACACACAAGACTGCAGAGTTAGCAGTAAGTCCATGAAAGAGATGATTTGCCACTGAGGCAGAGAATTTGGGAAAGAGGAATAAAAAAGTCATTTCCAGTTTGACAAATCCAAAGCTCTGTCTACTCAACTATAAGTCTGTATCCAAGTACCTAAATATAAACCTTTTCTAAGTTATACTGACTTTCATTTTTCAATCTTGGAATAGAAAACCATATCTATAGTGTTCGTGGAAGGCTCTTCCACACACAGATGGATGGGCTGCTAAGTTTTCCAATTAACTCAAGTATTAACCAAACCCAAGTAAAACTCAGATTTTCAACTCTGCATTTTATTAATCAATCACTTATTCTCAATCAAAATAAGAGCACTTTTTAAAAAAGACAGATTATAATGTCTTGGAATTGAAAGGAATCTAAATGTTCACATCGAAATCCTTCGTTTTACAGATGGGGATCTGAAGTCTCTCAGTCAAATAACTTATTGCAAACTAGATTAAAAACCAAGTTTCAATTGCTGGTTTGGTTTCTTTCCAATATAAATTAGATACAAATAGAAAAGAACATCTACTTTCTTACCAGAAGTTTTTAGGCTGAAACTGGTGGCTTTCAATACATGCAATAATGGTCTGTTGCCCATCTATAGCTTTAGCATAAACCTATCGTTAAAAAAAAAAAAAAGTTAGATTCTGAAAACTTATTTAATCTAAGTGACAAACACTGTACAAAAGTAGTATGCTAAATCCTTAGGAGAGACAAATAATCAGGCAAGATGAGATTACAAGACTTCATGGGATGTGAACACAGAGTGGAACATGTTTAGTTCCACAAGAGACAGTGGTATAATGAATGCAGAAGGAAATACTACTCCTGATTTGGGGTACTAGGGAGGTGCCTGGTGGGTTGGGCCTTACAAGACAGGTAAGATACTCATAAGCAGAGACTGAGAAGAAAGATGAGTAAACTGTTCAAACAGGAAACAGGGGGCTTGTTCAGTAATATGGCAATTAGTTCTTTTGGGTTAGAGAGTGCATATGAGCTAGACTACTGGGTGAGAATCTCAGATAGTAGATTTAAGTCCTATAGTCATAGATGTAAGGTATTAAGTCTGGACATTATTCTATAGGCAATGGACAGCCACAAAAATAATATTACTAGAACTACTGTTTGGGAGAATAATTAATATTGGTATACAAGATAAAATGGAGGAACAGCTAAAGTTGGTTAGGAGGCCACAACATTAATCTAGGCAGTAAGTCAGGGTAGTTTCAGTGGGTATCAGGATGCAGAAGCATAATCAAGTCTAGCCGTATACTGCAAGTGAAGGGCAAAAAAGGGGAAAAAAAGTCAAAATTACTTGCATGCTGAGATGACCAGAGAAAGATGGTAGTCTCATTTATAATTTGGGAAATTCAAATGGAGATGCCCAGCTAGTAGTTAGAAATCCCAACTGTTCCTTAATGTGGAAGAGGTGAACAGAAATGCAATACCAAGGAAAAGCAAAAAAATAAATAGTGCTTTATAGTCCACAAAATGTCATGTTTACTTTCCCTATACTGAATAAACTATGAGTTTCCAAGAGAGTCACATATATAGAGCAATGGGGAATGCCTACATTTTCAAAGGTTGGGGAGAAGAAAAGAAGTAGAGACAGACTTAGAATGAGTAGGGGTGATGACAGAACAGTCTAAGCAAAAGAGAATTTCTGGAAGTAGCTTGTTGGTCTCAGTGTGAAATACCATACAGGAATCAACGACGAAGAAAAGGATACTGAGTCAGGAAATTCAGGAACTATTAGTAACCTCAGAGAGAAGTTTCTGTAAAGACTACAGCCAAAATTCACAGGGTTAAGAAGTAGATATGTAATGAGGAAATGGCACTGGTAGGAGCAGAATGCTCCCAGGTGTGGTTATGTAGCGGAGAAACAGAGGAGGAGGAAAGAAGTGAAGAGGAAAGGAGCAGCAAGGGAGAAAGAGACGTAACTTACAGAAATTATTATGATGAGGAAAAGTTTGTTCTCCTTAAGGACAGAAGAAATAAAAATATTTCTAGGGAAAGAGAAATGTATCAGATAAGATAATATAAAATCAAGAATAAGGATCCTTCTTCCTAAGATTCAAGTACAATGAAAGAGGGAAGATTCCGGAGTGTTGAAAGAGGAGAAAAAGATTTCACATCAGTCTTACTACAATGTGGGGGATCAGACAGATGCTTGATGACAAGGGGAATAGTTTAGAACACACTAAATAGAAAATACCATAGGAATACCATCAGAAATAGGAATACCATCAGAAATACTGAGATGAAATTAAGAATTACTAAGCAGGACAGCTTGGAGGATATAAAACACTTGGGTATAGTAAATACTGTTAGAACAATTCCACTGGCTTTCTGTAGCTCATCTGTTAGCTAAGACAAGTGAGAAAAGGTGAGAAAAGGACATGGTAGGATTACTTGGTATAGAAGTTCTCCAAAACAAGAATGCGTAGTACCAAATTTTAAATAGGTAAGAAATGTTAAGTGGAAAGTATATTTAGGAATGCAAAGTCAATTTCTAAAAAAGAGTATGAGTCACGTCTTCCTTTGCAATACTGGTTGCAAAACGGAACTGTACTTATCCACCAATAATGGGTTTTCTCCATTATTTAAAAAGCATATGTAATAGTAACCAATATCCAACATTTAGGCAGATCTTTCTTTGTGCCAGGCATTTTCTAAGCATTTTATATGCATTATTAGCTCATTCAATCCTTACAACAATCCTATGGGGTAAAAACTATTATTTCCATTTTATAGGTGAAAAGGCACAGAGATGTTAACTAATTTGCCTAAGGTCACATAGCTAATTAAGTGACAAGACTAGGATTTAAACTAGTTAATATGGCTTTAAAGTAGGGTCTCTTAATATTCTATTATTGCCATTTAACTCATCATCATCACATATTGAAAATATTCTAATAAACATTTATCTTAATCATATCCACAATTTTATGAAGGAAAAATCATGAATTATCACTTTTTAAACATCAAGTAGTAAAAAAAAAAAGTCAAATTACCTGATAAAAAAAAAAATTCCAAATAGTTTGGACTCCCCAATGAAAGCATCTAAACTATGTAAGAAGTAGCTTTCTATAAAAATGCCTATACCAAAAAGTCATAAATGTGGCAAAAGCTGTCTTGACAATCTTAATTTACCTTTTCTCCACGTCTAAAGATATTTAAAAACTTGTTTTAATGGGTATAAGGCAATTTCTAATAAGTAAATAAGACAAGAGTGAAATAGAATAGAATGAAATTTAAAAAAAATTTTTTTTTAATTTTTATTTATTTATGATAGTCACAGAGAGAGAGAGAGAGAGAGAGAGAGAGAGAGAGAGAGAGGCAGAGACATAGGCAGAGGGAGAAGCTGGCTCCATGCACCGGGAGCCTGATGTGGGATTCGATCCCGGGTCTCCAGGATCACACCCTGGGCCAAAGGCAGGCGCTAAACCGCTGCGCCACCCAGGGATCCCAGAATACAATGAAATTTAAAATTTTTATGCACTGGGATTTTTAAAAAGAATTTTCCATATAAAACTCTTCATTTATAGAAACCCTTTAAAAATTACTTAGGGAATAAAATACAGAGGAGACTCTAAAAAGAAAGAAGTGATGTTTGGCTAGCCAAAGCCCCCAAATGATAAGGTAAATTTAAGCAATAAAACATTCTTTAATAATGAAGCAGGCAGATACTTAACAGTACAGAAGCCGTTGGAATAATGATCTTTCACATAGGCCCTTAAAGCACTGTCACAGGATTCTCTCCAAGACTTCAGACCTCCGTCTACGTCCTCTGGCTGGGGGTCACTTGCTTCTTTCCGTAAATGGTCAAACTTAAAGGAAATTTTGTTTCTTGGATCTAAAAATCTGCTATTACCCAGGTCACCGTGTTCTGTAATTAAGACCTTCCAAAGAATAATTACAAATATGAGTAACTCTAAAAAGATAGCTCTTGTCAAATTTTACAAAAGAAAAATTCTGAATAAGACAGTTAACTTTCATTTACTCAGGTTTCTCTTCCATACTGATTTTTCAGTCAAGTCACATTTCTTTTAAATTTCATTTTTTAAGTCAACTCTACCCCCAACGTGGGGCATGAACTCATGACCCTAAGATCAAAAGTAGCATGCTCTATTGACTGAGACAGCCAGGTGCCCCTCAAGTCACATTTTTATTTTTTCTCTTTTTTAAGATTTATTTATTTATTTGAGACACAGAGTGAGAGAGAGGGAGAAAGAAACTCAAGCAGACTCCACACAGAGCCTGGCTTGGGGCTCAATCTCACAACCCTGAGAGATCTTGACCTAAACTGAAACCAAGAGTTGGACACTCAATTGACTGCACCACTCAGGTGTTCCTCATATTTTTATTCATTTAAAAAATAAAAAAGATTTTATTTATTTGAGAGAGAGTGAAAGATAGAGAGAGAGAGAATGAGTGGTGGAGATGGGCAGAGGGACAGGGAGACGCAGACTCCCTGCTGAACTCACTCCAGTGTGGGGCTCTCCAACCCAGGGCACTGAGATCATTACCTGAGCCAAAGGCATATACAATTAACCAAATGAGCCACCCAGGTGCCCCTTTACATTTTTATTGCCTCTCCTTCTGCCAATGTCTGTGCCTCTCTGTGTCTCTCATGAATAAATAAAATCTTTAAAAATAAATAAATAAATAAGACTTAATATATCTAGAAGAACTTTCCCAGTGAGTACTTGGAAAACTACTTTGTTTTTGTTACAGTTGTATGTTACTCCACTGTATGGATATACAAAAATTTATTCAACAAGTCCTCTATTAATAGACAGTTGGGTTGCTGCCAATCTCTTGCTATTATGAACAATGCTGCAACAAATATCCTTGTATGTTCATTATGTAGAAATTATGTACGGGTGCCAAGTTCCATGTGAGATAAATTCTCTGACAATTGGGTTAAAGGGAAAATGTATTCATAATATTGACTGAGATTGTCAAACTTTCCAAATCACAGGGTATTGTACCAGGTAACAAGCACATCATCAGCATAAATTTTAACTGGCATTTCTTTTCATCTTATAAAAAGAGTCATTTTCTTTTTTTTTTTTAGAAATTTTATTTATTATTTATTCGAGAGCGAGCATATGAGCACATACAAGCAGGGGGAACAGCAGGCAGAGGGAGAGGGAGAAGCAAACTCCTGGTTGAGCAGAGAGCCCAATGTGGGGCTCGACCCTAGGACTCGTGATCATGACCTGAGCTGAAGGCAGATGCTTAACAGACTGGCCATCCAGACACCCCCAAAAGTAATTTTTTGTATTTCTCCTTCTGTGAACAGTCTGTTCGTATCTTTTGTCCACTTTTCTACTGGTTCTTTTAGTCTTCTTCTAGTTGAACTTTTTATTAAGTAGGCAGATAAAACTTTGCATGTGTTGAGTTTCACATATTTTTTCCCTAATTTCCCATTTATCTTTTGACACATTTACCATTTTTAAAAACTATTATCATTATTTAAATATTTTATTTATTTATTCATGAGACACACAGAGCAAGAGGCAGAAACACAGGCCGAGGAAGAAGGAAGCTCCTCACAGGGAGCCTGATGTGGGATTTGATCCCCAAAGCGGGAATCATGCCCTAAACTGAAGGCAAATGCTCAACTGCTGAGCTACCCAGGTGTCCCTAATACATTTACCATTTTTAATAATTACATATAATTTTACAAAATTTACATATTATAATATACTTAATCATTTCTGAATCAAAGGAGGTTTAAGCTACTTACAGTTTCTGATAGAAGCCACTATAAATTCAACCATAAATAAGTCTTCTGGTTAAAAAAAATTCTTTGGAAAGAATTCCTAGTTTTGACATTACTGTTCTTATCACCATACTAAAGTTTAAAAAACTTGTTTTAATGACAGTAGGAACAATGAATATAACTATTTTCTTAGTCTTACCCTCATTAAGCTTTCTCATCACAATTCTGCAACTTTCATAACTAAAAGGTAAATATGTTCACATTAAAATTTTAATCTGTACTTCCTTAATTACTCCTTCTTGGTGATCTAACACTTTTCGAAATTTGTATTTCCCACTTGAGTGCAAGTGGTTCATGTCTGTTGTTTGTTTATTCCCTGAACTCTTGGCATCATCCTTAAGCATCTGAATAACCTCTTAATCTATTATGCTTGAGGAACATAATTTATTCCTTTTGAAATCTTACTTTTAAACCTTTTTATTATGCAAAGGTCACTTTCTTTCATAAACTTTTATTTTTAAAGTTTTTTTATTTATTTCTCTAAACCCAACGTGGGGCTCAAACTCACAACCCTGAGATCAAGAGTTGCATGCTCCAACTGAGCCAAATCAGGCACTTGCCTCCTTTTATAAACTTTTCATCATTACTTATGATTCTCTTTCCATTTCCTATTAAATTTTACTTTTTTTAAATTTAACTTTTAAATTCCACCTGGTTAATCTAAGTGTACAGTTGGCACTGGAAATCAAAGTTACATTAATCACATAAATTTTATCTATTATTTTCTTTTCCTTTTTTTTATGATATGTAGGGCTTGCTTTCTGATCAATGCCTTGTGTCTTCCTTCATTTGTTGCTGTTGTTGTTTTTAAAGATTTTATTTATTTAGTAATGAGAGACAGACAGAGACAGAGACACAGGGAGAGGGAGAAGCAGGCTCCGTGCAGGGAGCCTGACGCGGGACTCGATTCCGGGTCTCAAGGGTCATACCCTGGGCTGAAGGTGGCGCTAAACCTCTGAGCCACTTGGGCCGCCCTCATTTGTTGTTCTTGATCAGAATAATCCTGCATGGTCTATTTTTCATAGGAATTGTATGAAATCTATTTGAAAAACAGTTTCCACATCATTTATATTTCTTATTCAGATAAGCTTTCCATATTATTTATATTTCTTACTCAGAAACATTGCATTTGGGGCACCGGGGTGGCTCAACTGGTTAACCTCAGGTCATGATCTCAGAGTCCTGGGATTGAGCCCTGCATCGGGCTCCCTGCTCAGCAAGGAATCTGCTTCTCTCTCTTTTGCCCCCTCGCTATCCCCCGCCCCCCACTGGTGCTCTCTCACTCTCAAATAAATGAAATCTTAAAGTGAGATTGGGTAAAATTAACAAGGCAGGAAACAACAAATATTGGAGAGGATGTGGAGAAAGGGGAACCCTCTTGCACTGTTGGTGAGAATGTGAACTGGTGCAGCCACTCTGGAAAACTGTGTGGAGGTTCCTCAAGAGTTAAAAATAGATCTGCCCTAAGACCCAGCAATTGCACTGCTGGGGATTTACCCCAAAGATACAGATGCAGTGAAACACCGGGACACCTGCACCCCGATGTTTATAGCAGCCATGTCCACAATAGCCAAACTGTGGAAGGAGCCTCGGTGTCCATCGAAAGATGAATGGATAAAGAAGATGTGGTCTATGTATACAATGGAATATTCCTCAGCCATTAGAAACGACAAATACCCACCATTTGCTTCAACGTGGTTGGAACTGGAGGGTATTATGCTGAGTGAAGTAAGTCAATCGGAGAAGGACAAACATTATACGGTCTCATTCATTTGGGGAATATAAAAAATAGGGAAAGGGAATAAAGGGGAAAGGAGAAAAAATGAGTGGGAAATATCAGAAAGGGAGACAGAACATGAGAGACTCCTAACTCCGGGAAACGAACAAGGGGTGGTGGAGGGGGAGGTGGGTGTGGAAGTGGGGGTGGCTGGGTGACAGGCACTGAGGGGGGCATTTGATAGGATGAGCACTGGGTGTTATTCTATATGTTGGCAAATTGAACACCAATAAAAAATAAATTAAAAAATAAATTAAAAAAAGTAAAATCTTAAAAAAAAAGAAACGCACCATTTAAATCTATTTAATTTTCCATTCATTTTCTTGATTAAAGTGTGTGAACTATATTGCAGACTTTTGCTAGTCTCCAATCCAATATCCACTCTCCTTTCCCTTACTAACAGAACCACAAAAGTTTTCTGTTTAAAAACATGTGTACAACTAAAAAAAAATGACACTTTCTAGCTAAGAATGACAAAGTGATATGAGTTTTGGCAATAACTTTATCAGTGGAAGCTGCTTCTGGAAAGGCCAATAGCAAGTTCTATTTTTGATCCTAGAACATAGATTCTTTTTCATTTGCAACTTCTTTCTTTGTTCCTGGAACATGGATTCAGTGCTCTGAAACATGGCAGCTCTCTTAAAGAGCATGATAATGAAAACCACACCTAAGGAAGCAACAAGGGTCTCTGATGACATCATGGAGCTACCATAACAGTTCTAATATTAATCTCTGGATTTCTTACATGACAAAATCTCTACTTAACTAACCTACTGTAGTTGACTTGGCATCTACTTTGTCTTTTTTGTTTATTTTTTTCCTTTGTTGGGTGTGTATGTTTTATGGCACCTACTTTATTTTTTTTAAGATTTTATTTTTAAGTAATCTCTATAAACCAATATGGTGCTCAAACTTATAACCCCGAGATCAAGAGTTGCATGCTCTACTCCCTGAGCCACCCAGGCACCCCTATGGCATCTATTTTAATAATTCATATATCTTTCCTTGTTTTAGTGTCCACGTAATGGCTTTTTGTTGTTGTTATGGCTAAGAAGGGAATCTTTTTTTTTTTTTTTTAAAGATTTTATTTATCTATTCATGAAAGACAGAGAGAGAGAAAGAGAGAGAGAGGCAGAGACACAGGCAGGGGGAGAAGTAGGCTCCGTGCAGGGAGCCTGACGCGGGACTCGATCCCGGGTCTCCAGGATCACACCCTGGGCTGAAGGCGGCGCTAAACCTCTGAGCCACCCAGGCTGCCCAGGAATCTCCTCTTGACTATATTTTTAAGCTAGCTACTGATGGATGGTATATGGGAATGTTCTTATGTATCTGGATACGGATCTTATTATTTCAATAATTCCTATTATTAAGTTATACAATATCAACTGTAAGTAATATTTATAATTTCCTTCCAGTATTTATCTTTTATACTTGTAATTAATCTATTTTCATTAAGAAAATTAAGATAAGCAAAAATATAAACCAAAACAAGCAACAAGCAAAACAAATTCTAGTAATCCTGTAACTCTAACACATAGAGTTAAGATTTTGGTCTATATTTTCCCACATTTCCTTTTCTATGCACATCTATATGTTTTATAGCTTTGATTCTTAAGATGCATATGTTCTCCCATGATTTAACATTTTATAAAATGGGATGTATTTTAAACTTGATGGCATCTTAGGACTGTGTCATAGTTTAAATTGTCAGTATTTTTTTTCTTACTCATACATAAAATAATGGTGTAATTTTCACAGAATTTAAGATGCACGTTTTCTAATACAGTTCACTTAAGTATCTATTTAAAAAAATAAACTAGCATAATTCTACATATCCTCCTTTATGTTTTAGCTTAATATATCACAAACATCTTCCCAGACTTGGGAGCACATTCCCAAATCAGTATTTATATCAGTTTTCAATGACTACATGGTATTTTGGTCTGCAGATAATTAATTTAATGTTGGGCATTTAGATTGTTCCCAATCTTTCACTATTATAAACGTTTCTAATATATTTATACACTTATTTTCCTAGGATAAATTCTGCAGATTTGTGGGTTCAAAGAAGATTCAGACTTTATTTATTTTTAAAGATTTTATTTATTCATGAAAGACAGAGTGAGAGAGAGGCAGAGACACAGGCAGAGGGAGAAGCAGGCTCCATGCAGGGAACCCAATGTGGGACTCGATCCCAGGACCCCAGGATCACACTCTGGGCCAAAGGCAGGCGCCAAACCACTGAGCCACCCAGGCGTTCCAAGATTCAGACTTTAAAAAGCATTTGGTATTTAGTGACATATTGCCTTTGAAATGTACATTTTAAATTTGCAAAGTCCTGTTATATAATGTTAATAACTATGATAATAATGGAATTATTTCCTTTTTCCTCTATTTGAATAAGGATGCCTGTTTTCCTGTACAATGTCAAATTTGGTGTTTCACATTATTCTTATCAAGGAGAATTACAGACAGCTATAGAATCTGTGTAAAACTCAAGTCTTATTTTCACTATTCTTGTTAGGGGCAGCTCTCTTTTCCTATCAAAGAAACTCCTAGTATTATGAAAGCTACGAAAACTAAGATATGAATTTATTCAGGATCTGATCTTCAGACACATGCTTTGGTTTATAAAATTTCTACTACCATCCAGGCACAGCCTACTAAAAGAACCATCATTACCTGATCTTCATATCCTTCTATCTTCACAGGCGTGAACTGATCCATGTTATACTGGGCAAATGCACTGTTTAAAAAAAGGGGGGGGGGATTATATATAAACACAAAGGCAATTCAAGTAATAGTGAAAGAGAATGTGAAAACACCCTCTGTGCTCTTTCCCTTTCTCTCTAGGAAACTGGTGTTTTCCAAATGCCTTCCAGCTTTCTTTAGGACCTCTTCTCCACAGAAATCTCAGACATACCCTAAACTCTGAAATTACCTTTTCCCCTCCACTCCTAAGCTCCATCAGTACCCCCACCCCCCTGACTATTCCTAAATTTTAAGCAATTCAGTTTTTGTGAATTACCAACAGCTTTAATCATTTGGACAGAAGCTTTCAGTAAGTAAAAAAAAAAACAAAAAACTTCAATTGATGCACTATTTTAGCAATGCTGTCTTTATTCTGGGCTTTCTGAGATAGGGCAGGTAGTACAGACCACAATTAAATGTACTGGAAGACATCAGACATGGGGAAGAGAATAAGGGCTGAGCGTGAGTCAAGTCTCAGCCGAGAGCTTAAGGCAGAAGAGATTATCTGAAAAGGGGGATATGAATAATTAAAGTGAATGCCTAATATTACTGTTTACTTGTCCAGTGCTACATTTATAGCCATTTTCAATGGCTCCCTGGTACATCTTATAAAGTAAGCAAAAAGGTAAAGTGAAAGAAAAATGGAAATATGCTGGAGTGTAAGAAAGCATAATATACTTACAAAGTATCAGTCTTCTCTCAGAATTCACTTGCCAAGGGAAGAATTAAACACCTCTACAGCCCAATTTTAACCTACTAAAACACCTACGAGACCACTGTTTTTAAGCAGACTATTAAACTCTCCCTAGACTTCAAGATAAACCAAAGAAACAGATATTTAAAGTTAATCTTCAATCTTTTCATTTTTAGGTTATTGTTGTTTTTTAAGTAATCATTTTCTCTTAACACCACATCCCCATTAGCAAAATGAGTCCTAAGCACAGTGGTTCTTCAGAAAAGAACATAAATTAAATGCTTGTGGAAAGTGGATTTTTTTTTTTAGAAAAGCTTAAGGAATAGGGAGTAAATACATATTCTATTCTAAGATACATCCTAAGATTATAGATATCAAACACCAATACCAAACTTTATTAACATTTAATCCCATCTCAAGAAAATGGTATTTCCATTCTACCAGTTGTGTGGGCCAAAAACTTGAGATCATCCTTGATTCTTCTTTCTCTCAAATTTCACATGCAATCCCATCAGTAAATGTTGTAAGTTCTACCTTGAATACATACTCAGAATATGATTTCTTCCCATCACCCATACTACTACCACTCTAGTCTAAACCACTGCCATTTATCTGTGCACTACTACAATAAGTCTTCTTACTCATCTTTCTTCAATCTTTGCCCCCCTGCATAGCAGCCAGTGATTTTTCTAAAATATAATCTAATCGAGTCATTCTCTGCTCAAAACACTGATAATCTGCCCTCTCTTCCAGAATAAAATCCTCTCTTTAACATGGCTGACAACACCCTACTTAGTCTGGAAGGTCTGGGAATTACCAGCGAATGGTTCTAGAGATCAAAAGCATAGGAAAATCCAGGAAAGAGAGTAAATCCTAAATCATTCAGGCTTCTTTCATTTTACATAAAAAGCAATAATGATGAGGATGATGATTATTGAAACATTTACTGAATGCTTACTATGAGGACTATGGCCAAGGGACTGAAGCATCTCATTACAGAAAAAAAAAAAAAAAACCAAAAAACTAAAATTTTCATCCCTGTGGAAAGTCACATATTTGGGCATAAGACAGCTCTCCTTTAGTAAGAGTGTTCTCTGAAAATCTAGAGTCTGTAAAAGCCAGAATATTTATAAAAACAAAGCTTTGTTGTTGGGGCAAATAAAGCATCTGAACTAAACACTAAATTCTACTATCATTCCTAATTGGAAATGGGACAGTAGGCTTAGGATGCAATCAGTCTTGGGTCTTGGCATTCTACTCCCCATCTCCTCTTTAGCACTAGCTTATCACATGAAATACAGAGATTTATTTTGGGTAGCTCTCAAGGATAAAACTAAGACAAATTAATGGCAGCAAGGAACTTGCCTTGTGAGATAGTGAATTCCTTATTATTAGAAGCATTTAGATTGGATAATCATCTGTTGACAAAATATAGATGAGGTTCTTTCAATGATAGGGCAGAGAATAGACAGGTTGAACTACCAAATCATGAATGCCTTTTTCTGTGGCATCTAAGAGAAACCAGCATTAGAATGTATCTTTGGTGTGTGTCTAAATCAATATAAAATGAGAATATCATTCATCACAATTATAGTGATGCTGTACAAATGTTAGGGTTTGCAGAATCTGGTCCCAGAATGAGTTCCAAAAAAGCACCATAGACAGGGCAGAGGATGCTTGTTTTCCAGGCAGAAGCTCTTAGGATAGTTTTCTATAGCTAAAATCTAAACCAGCTATTTATCATACCGAATGCTTTTATGATAATTATCTGTTGCTTTACATCAAAATCTTTGTCCCAACCTCTCCACCCACCCTTTTCCAGTCATCATCCTTTTCTGGTTTCCTCTTTACAAAGGAACTCTGGGACAATTAGATAGATAGTCATTGAAATAGAATTTTATATGTAAAGGAGAGTAGTGATTAATCCAGATAACAAGGGACCTTGAAAACTACTATTTAGATTGGAAGAAAATAAAAACATATATTACTATGTTTCTGAGGACAAAGATAAAATGAAAGTGCTATTTTAAAAAGATTAACTAGCCTGATAATGATAAGGAATCAATGACTGAGTTGAATAATCATGCTATTATTCTATGGTTAATCTATTACAGCACTTTATGAATATCTACTATTTTGTGCCAATTTGAGAAACATTATTCCTCAATAGCAGCCTAATCTATCATTAGCAGTTTAAAACAAAATTCAACATGAAAAGGAGTACAGTGGATACCCTAACAGCACACATTAAACTCTGCTTTAACAGGGAAAATCTGGGCAAAAAGAAAAATAAGATCATATATATAATAAGCTTTAAGGATGAAAATAGCATGGGGGGGCATACTTTCTCAAGTTAAAACAACTAAAACTGCTAAAACCAACTGCTTTTATTAAAGTATTTCAAACTTAATTTTCAGGATGCAAATTTATTATCAACATAGTTTATACAAAATTAAAATAATATATAAGTGGATTTCGAAAGATACTTACTGTGCTGCCCCTTCCCTGAGGAGATTGTCATTATTAAGTAGTAGCCGGACATCTGAGAAGGAAAAAAATGTTAAAAGATGTTAAAATTAAAATGTTCAGTAGAGGACAAACTTCAGAAGTTTTTTAAATATTAGGTTTTGCAAAGTTAGTCTTCAGATATATATATACACACAGAAATCCTAAAAATGCAAATGAACAGATACTAATAGATTTGAATGTAATTATTTGTGACACAACAATAGCTTCTCAAAGAATTTCATAGCAAATGAAAAACATGACTTAAAGTTATAGTTAGTACTCCTAATTTTGTTTCTAAAGAAGCTTTTATTTTATTATTATTATTTTTTAAGATTTTATTTATTTATTCATGAGAGACCCAGAGAGAGAGAGGCAGAGACACAGGCAGAGGGAGAAGCAGGCTCCATGCAGGGAGCCTGACGTGGGACTCGATCCTGGGTCTCCAGGATCAGGCCCTGGGTGGAAGGCGGTGCTAAACCGCTGAGCCACCCGGGCTGGCCTAAAGAATCTTTTAAAATGAGATTAAGAATGGGAAGTTTTTTGTAACACCAGACCAAGAAAACTGTGAAAAAGCAGTCAGTGGCAGTGAAATTACTGAATATATTTTTCTATGAAGAATCTAATATAAAAGTATATCCTTTTAAAAAGCTGTGTGTCAAGAATCTAGTCACTCTTTCTTTTGGAAGAGGAGGGTCCTTGTTATAAAAGAAACTACCAAGCACTAACTCCGATAGGGAAGACTAATTAAAAGCCAAAGGCCACGGACTCTTAGGGCTTCCAAAAAAAAGAGACCGACAGAGGCCAATGTGTAGCATGCCAAGCATGTAGCAAAACCAACCCTCATGCCACAAGTAGCTTGCCAGTTTTTTTTTTTTAGTAGCTTGCCAATTCTTAATCTAATGCTTTCATATCAATTATTCTCATGATATTCTTGCAAAGTACACCCAGTTGTCAGAAATAAAACAAGGGACTTCTAACTACAAAGGCCATTAATTTTGTTAAGACAAGAATTTATCTGAGCTAATCAGCTGGATAAAGTTCAAGTCAAAGGAAAATTTCCTAAGAGCTTAGTTGTTGAAAATTTATATTTGGTTGATATGGAAAAAAGACTAGAGAAAACAAGGCTGCATTTGTTTCTCTTGCTATTATATTAGTGTTCAAAATCCACAAACAAGTCTATAAGGAAGAATGTCTGAATTTATTTCTATTCTACTATTTACCCCTTACAGTAAACATTTATATGTTTTCCTGGTTACTTTTTCTCTACATAATTAATTTTAGTAAGTGGAGATTACTGATTATCCTATGATGTATGGGGCTCTAGGCAAAGCACAGATGAGTATCACATAATTGCCTTTTTTTTTTTTTTTAAAGGATTTTATCTATTCATTCATGAGAGACACAAACAGAGAGGGTCAGACACATAGGCAAGGGGAGAGCAGGCTCCATGCAGGGAGCCTGATGTGGGACTTGATCCCAGGACCCCAGGATCACACCCGGAGCTGAAGACAGATGCTCAACCACTGAGCCACCCAGGCGTCCCCACATAGTTCCTCTTAAGTAGGCAGTCATTTAATGTAAAACTAGAATTTCAAAATACGTGTTTACTCAAATGATTCAGATGCACAAAAAACTTTATGATGAGCTTAACAACTTAAAATGGGATTGTAATGACTGACTTTATCATAAGTTCAAGATGCCTCATACATTTTTCATTCTATACGTTAAGCCAGCGAATAACACAGAAGGTCACAAAATGTATTGGAATAGCGGTTCCCAAACTGGCTGTGACTCAGAATTGAACTCGATAAAAACAGATTACCCAACTTCACCTCCAATCTTTTTTTTTTTTTTTTAAAGATTTATTCATTTGTTCATGAGAGATAGAGACAGAGAGAAGCAGAGACACAAGCAGAGGGAGAAGCAGGCGCCATGCAAGCAGCCTGACGTGGGACTCGATCCCAGGTCTCCAGGTTCATGCCCTGAGCTGAATCAGGCGTCGCTAAACGCTGAGCTACCCAGGCTGCCCTAAATGAGAAATCTTAATAAGTTGTTAATGCTGGAAGCTGTATATATAACAAAGTTCCCAGATGCAGTCAGTTTAGCCCCAATGACTCTAGAAAGTGTCCTATATATCCTAGGGATATGTCTTGAGTGAAAGTACTGAAGAAGCTTAAGCTATGGTTTATAATGATAGATATAAAACTATGGAAACAATTTAGTATTGCTTCTCTACTTATGCATATTAAACTACTTCAAATCTTTTCTCACATAAGATAGGTATATAGTTTATGGGTTAAGAATTTGCTCAGTCCTTGAATCCTTGCTGACATTTAACTAGCTAAGTCACATTGGATAAGTTATTTTAGCCTGTTTGAATCGTGATTTCCTTAGCTATAGTTATAATGTGCTGTAAGGTTAAAAGAGATAGCTTATATGTAATTTAGGAGAGCTTAAAATACTAATGTTAACTCACCATTGAACACTTCATTAAATTCTCCTGGGGGTGCATGAGTGATGAATTTAGCAGCTATGCGTACCTAAAGAGAAATAAATAAAATAATATATAAAAGGAGAAGGAATTAACAGATTACAAAAATTTGATCACATTCCTTGAAATAATACTTCCTGTTTAAATCTTTACTGTTTAGAAGCCTTCAGAGTTTTTCACAAACATCTCAAAGCTTTTATCATCAATATAGGATTCAGGGATAGCCATGCTGCTCTGATTAAGTTTATTTTTCTTTAAAAAGTTGAATAATCAGTTTTTGGTCAAAATATACTAGTCACAAAAGAAAGCATTTAAGCAAATATATCAGTAAATTGGTAGGATACCAAGTTGCATTTATAGTGTTTATCCCAATGCAATGATGGTTCAATATTGATAAATCAGTATAAAGGAGCAAACCCTTGTGATTCTCTTAACTCATGCTGGAAAAAAAAATTCAACACTCAAATATCATAAAGCAACAAAACCACTAATTTTGGGTAGGCATAAACTTCTTGAACTTGAAAAAGGATTTATCTACCCAAATTCTACAGCATACCTAATAATGATGCAATAAATGCAAGCAATAATAATGTCCCTAATCTTAAAAACAAGACAACGATGACTTCTATCACCTAAAATATTAAACACTGTACTAAAGGTCCTGAAGGTACTATAGACAATATTTTTTCTGTTTTTCCTTCTAACTCCGTCTCCTGCCCCCTAATGCCTTCTACATTTCTGGATCTCCTAATTAGAGATGGGTGTTGAAATCTTAGGATCTAATCTGCATATCTCATTTTTTCTTCTATATTTTTATCTTTTGTCATTATATACTTTATTTGGGAAGAAGGCCTCAGAGCCCCATTTTTTCAATTCACTAAAATGTCTTCATTTATGTCTACTTTGCTATTCAGATAATTATTGTAACCATTCTATTTTTAATTGCCAAGATTTTTATTTTTGTGTGTATAATAATCTCTTGAGTCTCCTTGAAGGTATTAACTATATACTGACTTTAAAGTTTTGCTCAATAGTCTGTTTCCTAAGACTTTAGATCTACTTTTTGAGTTTGGAGCTTTTTAGTACTGGTTCCACAAATGGAAAAGGAACACCAAATGGAAGACATTTGGTGTTCCTACTCGAATTTAATTTAGTTTGCCTGTTCTGTTTACCTGCAGTTTGTCTCTAGTGATTGCAGGGGAGAGAAAAAGTAGAATAGCTGCTGGGTATTAGGAGTGGTTATGAGCAGATTAATTTCTGAGGGAGCCTCATAAGGACCAGAGGCTACCTGGGACATTGCTCTGACTCTGTTCTCAGTGCTCATTCTCAATGCTGTAGTCTGAGGACAAATGCATTTTTGTCTGTGGTTTAGGCCAAATGGGAGAGAAAAGAGGAGCCAAGTGGTACAGTTAGCTTACAGAACAGTTCCCCAATTAATCTACATCAAAATTGTTCTGAGTCCTTTCCTTCTTCCTCCTTAAATGGAGTTCCTCCAAATGGCACCTACTTCTGTAACAGTTTTCTTTGATGTATTTTGGGTTATGATTTCTTCTGATCTTACTTTTGCCCCTCATATAGTTACCATTCTGCTTTCTTTCTATGAAGAATTGCTAAAAAATTCTGGTCCAATGATGGTGCTCTAATTTTTTAAACACTCACTAGTTCATTTCTCCCCTTATTCTATTTTTCCCTACTCTTTTCATCCTAATAAGGTTTGGCACAAAAGGTGAGGTGAAACCATGTGCTCAGTCTGCCATATAATTTACTCTCTTAGCTCTCATCAAGTCAAATGTGAACCACAAAGAATATACAAACCTATTTAAAAGAAAAAATAATTTGGGGTATCATTCAGCAATATACATATATAATTATGTTGTTAGCAATAGGTCTGACCTCAAATGAGTCTTGCAGTATAATTCTAACACACTGTGACACAAAGAATGTTGAAAATTCCCTAATTTTTGATGTGATAATGAGTATGAAGATTATTCAACTCATTGATGAGGGGCAAAGAGGAACATGATATATCTACCAATAAACTGAGCCCTGCTTTCCAAATAGGCATCCTCTGTTGACCCCTTCATTTCCTTCAGTTTTAAGTTGTGGCTGACACAATCAAATAAGGCTACCATCAAAGTTAAACCATTCTTTTTTTTTTTTTTTTTTTTTTTTTAGATTTTATTTATTTGAGAGACAATGAGTGAGTGAGAGGGAGAGAGAACCTGAAAGACTGCACTGAGCAGAGCCCTCTGAAGGGCTCAATCCCACAGCCACAAGATCATAGCCTGAGTCAAAACCAAGAGTTGGACACTTAGTCAACTGAGCCACCCAGGTGCCCTAAAGTCACACCATTCTTAAGCAAAAAAAACCCCTCTCAAGAGTCATTTGAAAATAAGGCTGGATGGGCAGCCCAGGTGGCCCAGCGGTTTAGTGCTGCCTTCAGCCCAGGCTGTGATCCCAGAGGGGATCAAGTCCCACGTCAGGCTCCTTGGATGGAGCCTGCTTCGCTTCTCTCACTACCTGTGTCTGTTCCTCTCTCTCTCTCTGTCTATCTTTCATGAATAAATAAAATCTTAAAAAAAATTTTTTTTGAAAAAAAAAAAAAGGCTGGAAACTGAGAAGAGAATTAGAAGAAGATGAAAAATACAACTTTAGGTTTATACAGATCTTGTATGACTTCACTCTTATTCTAAGAAAAATAAAAGAAAAGCTGTTCCATGGACAAACTTATCTCTTTAGTCAGGAAAGGCCTACTGACTGATGGAGCAAGGTAGACTGGAAAACCTGGATTCTAATTACTGGCTGTGTCAGTCCATTAACTAACCAGATTTATTTATTTTTATTTATTTTTAAAGTTTTTTAAAAGATTTTATTTATTTATTCATGAGAGACACACACAGAGAGAGGCAGAGACACAGGCAGAGGGAAAAGCAGGCTTCATGCAGGGAGCCCCATGTGGGACTTGATCCCGGGTCTCCAGGCTCACGCCCTGGGCTGAAGGCAGCGCTAAACTGCTGAGCCACCCAGGCTGCCCACTAACCAGATTTATAATTCTAGAAACATTACTAATCTTTTTTGGTCCTGAATTTCCTCATTATAATCCAACTCCTAAAAACAATGAGAAGATCTGCAAAGTTTCTTTGAGCTACAAAAGATTTTTTAAGACTTAGGAAACAAAACCTGTATGTAGACTGTGGAAGCAGAGATGAGGAAACCATACCACAAAAACCTTAGAATATTCTTATGTACAAAAAGTTAGAGAACCCTGCCATGACAGGGTAATTACAGATAATGTATTATTTTACTGAGATGAAAACTGGTGGGGATTAAGAAGAATAGTCCATAAAGCTCCTACATTAACCAAAGCAACAATAAAAAGAGCAGTTCTAATTAGGAAACAAGAAATGCTGCTCAACTCATGAAAATCATACTACAGCAGTTCCCATATGGAAAGCCAACTGTGGATATTTGCATTGGCATGTTCAGTTAATCATATTTCTGTCCTCATCAACTGTTGTTGTCAATCACTCAAGAAATTAGTAAGCCTACTCTGAGAGTAAATCTATTTTTTAGTCTATTTGTGGTAAATCTGCTGAGTGGCTATAGTGTATCCCATTCTGTCAAGGTGCATTTCCATAAACCCTTACATAATCGCGAAACTCCCTTCAGTCAAGAAAATTTAAGTGTTCAAAAATATATTCATATCTAACTCAAAAAGAATATTCCCTAAGAAGAGTAAAATTACAGCCATATTTTACAACTACGTATGTAACAAACTGTTTGAATAGGTAATTGTAAAAGTTATCAAACTGAAAATTCAAGATACTATTCTTGAAGTTATCCCCAAATTTTCAAAAGTTACAAAATCTGGGGCTCCTGGGTGGCTCATCTGGTTAAGCATCTCTAACTCTTGATTTTGGCTTATGCTATGTATGATCTCTTGTTTGTGAGACTGAGGCCACGTCAGGCTCCAGGGAATGGAACCTGCTTAAGATTCTCTCTCTCTCTCTCCCCTCACTATTAAAAAGAAAGTTATAAAACCTGATGGACTTAGCTTGATCAAAAGAACAGTCATTTGGATAATCAATGAACTAAACGATGCATGTTAAAAAAAATAATAATTCAGGGGCAGCCTGGGTGGCTCAGCGGTTTAGTGCCGCCTTCAGCCAGGACGTGATCCTGGAGACCCGAGATCGAGTCCCACATCAGGCTCCCTGCATGGAGCCTGCTTCTCCCTCTACCTGTGTCTCTGCCTCTCTCTCTGTGTCTCTCATGGATGAATTAATAAAATCTTTAAAAATAATAATAATAATAATTCATACATTTAACAAACATTTACTGAGTACCTAGAAAGAGAAGTTAAGAGTAAATAAAGATTAAAGACTGAATAAGATTGTCACTGTCCTCAAGGACCTCACACATAGATCATAATACAGCAAGCAAGTATTAAGGCCACAGTGAGGCACCAAGAAAATGTAATCAACTCTACATATGTGTACAAGGAGGGTTGATGGGATGGCCTTTGATACCGTGAGGTTTGAGACAGATTGAAGGATGAGTAAATACTAAGGATGGCATTCCAGTCAGAGAAAACAATACGTACAAACTAAGATAACACAGCACAAGATACTGAATACAGATATTTAAAAGATATGCAAAATGTAAAACAGTGCTACTTTTCTCACTAATTTTTTTTTTTTGTTTTGGAAAATAAAGTTGTTGTTTTTTTTTAAGATTTTATTTATTTATTCATGAGAGAAATAGAGAGAGACAGGCAGAGACACAGGCAGAGGGAGAAGCAGGCTCCATGCAGGGAGCCCCATGTGGGACTCGATCCTGGGTCTCCAGGATCATACCCTGGGCCAAAGGCGGCGCTAAAGCGCTGAGCCACCCAGGCTGCCCGAAAATAAAGTTTTTGTTTTAAAAACAAAATACCAATCATTTATGTTAACATATACTAATTATGTTTTTTTTATCTAATTATGGTTTTAAATGAATTAATGCTTTAAAAATCTCTTGTTTTAATATCTATTAAGTAGACACAAGCTATATAAATAAAACTTGATTCCTAAGAGTATAAAGGGGTCCTGAGAGCAAAAAAGTCTGAGAAGCATTCTCTCTGCTAATGTAGGTTTGATGTTTATCATATGCTGTTAAGTGAAAAAAGTTCACACAATGATATATCCCTGTTGTATTAAAAGTAAATATATTTACATATAAGTATAACTACTAATTTTAATTAGGACTTCCTCTGGTATTACAAGTTATTTTTCTTTCCTTTTTTGGCTTATCTCTAGATTCAAAAAGTTATATAAGGAATATAAATTACTTGTATGGTAAACAGAAATTTTTTTTCCTGGAAGTTTGTACTTCTTAATTCCCTTATTTAGCTCACCCATTACTTCCTTACTTGTATGTTAAAGATAATTTTTAAATTTTTAAAAATCAAAAGAAGCATGCCAACATCTCTTATCCAATAAATTAAGTTTTTAAGGACAGGGCTGGCTGGCTCAGTCAGCAGAGCATGCAACTCTTGATCTTGGGGTTGTGGATTTGAGCCCCACACTGGGTACAGAGATTACTTAAAAATTAAAAAGTCTTTAAAAAAAGGTGAAAGAGGACATAAACAAGATAAAAGCTTTGGAGTGACATCAAAACTGAAAGCAATGGGTCAAGGAAGCTACAGGACAGGATAAAGTGAAGTTAGTAAAATGCTAAAAGCAACAAGGAAGGCTTTTTAAAGTTACACTTGCATACGCTTTTTGACCATGAGCTCAGCCTTATTAACTGCCTAGCTGCACTGTGCCTTATGCTAGAAAGTACAGGATAGTTAATTGGTTAAATGAAGGGAAGATACTCAAAGAAAAAAGTAAACTAAAAGCTTGCTTCCATTTTCTAAAGGAAAAAATGCTTACAAAGAGCACAAAAGTCAGAGGAGAGGAGAATATCAAGTAGTAGTGTGTAAATCCAGCTTTAAGTGCTGAAGACATAATTAAAGTGCTAGAAAAACAATTAATCCCCATAAATCTGAGAATACCAAGAATAGGAAAAATGTCCAATTAAAAAAGGAAAACATCCCCCAATTTTTTTTTTTAAGATTTTAGTTTTTATTTATTCATGAGAGACACACAGAGAGAGAGAGAGAGAGAGAGAGAGAGGGAGGGAGGGAGGCAGAGACACAGGCAGAGGAAGAAGCAGGCCCCATGCACGGAGCGTGATGTGGGACTCGATCCCGGGTCTCCAGGATCACGCCCCGGGCTGCAGGCGGCGCTAAACCGCTGCGCCACCGGGGCTGCCCCATCCCTCAATTTTTAAATGAAACTTGGGGAGAAAAAAAAAAAAAAAAAAGAAACTTGGTGAGAGTTGAAGACATAAGCATCGGCAAGGGTGAAATTCTAAATGAATGGTGAAAAAGAATGTAGCCAATTATTAAATGCCAAAGGTGTATCTCAAAACACTGTTATGGTCAACCATGCTCATGTTATTTTCTAAGAGCTACTAAAAACGGTGGACTACTTAGTATTAGATAAATCTTAGTATTTGGCAGTCTGACAATAGACTTTGAAGTGGCAAGATGATTTCTCTCTCACTCTAACAATACCATAAAAATACCTTGAAATAGTAGTTAAAATCTTAATGCTACAGTTATATATTCTCAATAAAAATCTAAAGTCTGGAGCGCCTGAGTGGCTCAGTTGATTGTCTTCCTTCAGCTCACGTCATGATCCCGGGGTCTTGGGATCAAGCCCCACCATATTGGGCTCCCTGCTCAATGAGGAGGCTGCCTCCCGCGCAGCTCAGGCCCTCTTGCTCTCTCAAATAATTACATAAAATCTTTTTTTTTAAATTTTTATTTATTTATGATAATTACACTCACAGAGAGAGAGGCAGAGACACAGGCAGAGGGAGAAGCAGGCTCCATGCACCGGGAGCCCGATGTGGGATTCGATCCAGGGTCTCCAGGATCGCGCCCTAGGCCAAAGGCAGGCGCCAAACCGCTGCGCCAAAAAAAAAAAAAAAAAAAAAAAATCTAAAATCTGCTCCATGGTCTCCAAGGCCCTTCAAACTCTGGCTCCCTCACCCTCTACTATCTAGTTGCTAGACCTTACAGGTATACTCCTGCCTCAGGACTATTGCATTTCTTGTTCCTTTTGCCAGAAACTCTTTTGTCAGAGCATCTCTCTTCATTCAAGTCTCTGTTCAAATGTCACCTTCTGACTTCCTGACTCCTATATACAAATTAACCATGATACTTTCTGCGCCCTTTACAATTCTACCCCACTTACTTGCTTCTTCAAGGAACTTGTCACTACTGAACTACAGGGATGCACGGGTGGCTCAGTTGGTTAAGTGCTGGACTCTTGATCTCAGCTCAGGTCATGATCTCAGGCCTCGTATAGGGCTCACTGCTGGGCGTGGAGCCTGCTTAAGATTTTCTTTCCCTCTCCCCCACTTCCTCTGCCCTCTTTCTAAAGAAAAAATAATAATAAACTAATAATGTTCCTTGCTCAACACTCCTAAAAGAATTCCAAGAACAGAGTACAGGTTAGCAAACTGCTAATGTAAAACACCAGACAGTGAACTTTTTAGGGCTACATGGGCCACATGGTCTCAGTCCCAAATGTAAACAAATGAGCAAAACTTGTTCCAATAAGTTTTATTTATTTACTTATTTTTAATTGAGGTATTATTGGCAAATAATGTTGTAAACATTTTAAGTCTACGATGTGATTTAATAAACATATACATTGTGAAAAGATTACCCTCACTGAACTAATTATTTTTTAAAAGATTTTATTTATTTTACAGAGAAACAGCACAAGCAGGGGGAGTGGCAGAGGGAGAAGGAAAAGTAGATTCCTCACCGAGCAAGAAGCGGGACAAGCCGGCTCAGGGTTCGATTATGGGACTGTGGGATAATGACCTGAGCAGAAGGCAAATGCTTACCCAACTGAGCCACTCAGGCACACCCTCCACACCCTCTCTGACACTGAGGTAATTAAAACATTATTTTGAATACTCTAATTTGTATGTCATGTTAACTTTCAGAAGTCATGAAATATTTTTCTTCTGATTTTCCCCCCAACCATTCAAAAACCATTAGCTTAGTCTATATAAAACATGCAGTGGATCTGATTTGCCAAACCCTGGCACAGAACATAAGAACTCATTATGTTTGTTCCTTGCTGTATACCCAGAACTGAGACCTGGCACATGCTAGGAATGTAAATGAATGACTACTATTTTATTGTTTACAAAACTATCATAACCAGTTTTTCTTTGATCTTAAAACAGCTTGTATAAGCAGACAGGCAAGGAATTATTATTATCCCCACTATAAAAGGAATAAGTTCAGAGAGTGTAAGTGCCTTGTATAAGGTCACATACTTGTATAGTGGTGGACCTGGAACTGGACAATCACCTATACTACGCAGTAGTAACAAGTATTAAAATTCAGGAGGATTATCTTTAGCATAGTATCACATGGATTTAGCCTAGTCCTTTTAGAATTTCTTTTTTAAAACCAGGAATTGAGTCAAAACTTTGCTTATAAAAGCTGTAATTGAAAAAAAAAGTTGGAAGGGATAAACACAATGAAATAATAACTTTAAAAATCAGTATTATCTAGCTTCAAAACTGGGTGAAAACGATGACATTTGGTAGAGGTAAACAAAATCAGTGGCAGAAGTAAAAGGGGAAAGAGAAATGGCTAAGTAGTGACTGCAAAAATATTTTTGCTGCACTACAGATGAGGGATGATACTTCTAAAAACTGATTTAGTCAGTCATTCTTTTTAAAGATTTTATTTTATTTATTCACGAGAGACACACAGAGAGAGCAGAGACACAGGCAGAGGGAACAAGTAGGCTCCTTGCAGTGAGCTGAATGTGGGACTGGATCCTGGACCTCGGGATCATGCCCTGAGCTGAAGGCAGATACCCAACCACTGAGACACCCAGGCGTCCCTGCGTCAGTCATTCTTAAGACTGGGGTGGGGGAAGAAAGTTGAAAGCAGGTATATCCCATAGAGGGGAGGCATGTCATCCCCAGCCTAGTTGAGAATCACTGGTATGGAGGTTCTAATTGAACAAAAACTTAACTGTTAACAAGGCTTTTAATTAAATAAGGCTTTTAAAACAAGGCTTTTAAAATAAATCCCTATTCCATAAAGTAAGTTTCACTGCACATAGCATTTATCTGCAGTGAAAGATAATAATTCCACCTAAGTTTTATTTTTAAAAATATATTTTTTTAACTAATCTCAACACCCAACGGGGAGCTTGAACCTGCAACCCAGAGATCAACAGTCACACACTCCACCAGCTGAGCCAGCTGGGCACGCCACCATGTATATAGTTTAAGTTTTTAACAAATTTTTATTTTTATTTATTTTTTAGAGGAAGGGAGGGGCAGAGGGAAAGCGAGAAAGAGAATCTTAAGCAGGGTCCATGCCCAGTATGGTGCCTGACATGAGGATCCATCTCACAACCCCAAGATCATGACCTGGGCCAAAGTCAAGAGTCCCATGATCCACTGACTGAGCCAGCCAGGTGCCTGCACAAATATTTTAAAGGGAAAATACCCAAGTCTTATACACAATTCCAGTCCTTCATATGCTTAAATACTCCAATAATGTTAAGTTCATGGAATCTTCTATATTATGTTTCTAACCTATAAAGGGGGAACTTAGAATCTATAAAAGTATTCCTAGATTTCAGTTTCCTCCCATTCTCCTTGTCTTTTCACCTCTCCAAAAGGGGGAAATAAAAATACCTAATCCTTGCAAGGTTCAAAATTTCATTATTATGTTACTAATATGTGTACTGAAAGTTTAAACATCAAACTGAGAAAGTAATATACCTTACTGTTCCCCAAAAACTGCTTAATTTTGTTAATTTTCATATATTATATTTTAATAAACTTTAGAAAATGTATTAAAAGACATTTAGAAAATCTATAAAACTTAGGTTTTTAGCTTATTAATAATCTTTTAATAACTCCACATATTTCAATATTACATCTATTAAAAACTGTATTTTAAATATCATCCAGAGGGAGAAGGAGAAGCAGACTCCCTGCTGAGCAGGGAGCCCCAATGGATTCGGCCTTGATCCTAGGAATCCAGGATGGTGACCTGAGCTGAAGGTAGACATTGAACAAACTGAGCCACCCAGGGCAACTAGCCCCTCATCATGTTATTTTGACAAGAATGAATTTTTTTTTTAAACATACCTTGCCTCAATGTGGTTCATTTTTTCATCTCCTTCTAAAGCTTTCGGTCTATCAACGATAAACTGTCTGGGGCAATAATTTAATAGGCAAGTTCCAAGATGTTGACATGTATTTATGATAGTATCAAAGCTCTAGAATTCCAGTTTCAGTGCCTTTATCAAATAAACAAAATCCCTTATAGGTGAGGGTTCTGAAAGGCTACTCAGAGTTTAATTTGGGGTTGTAATTCTAGGAAAAAAAATATGTTTTCAGAGATCTCTAGGACCAAATGGAATATTGGTTTCATTAAAGAGCTTACTGTTAGCTGTTTTTTAAATTTTCAAATAAATATTATTTTCCTAATTTAGAACTAGAGACATTGTAGAGACCCAGAATGTACTCAAAAATAAAAATTTAGCTGTATTATTGTTTATTATCCTTATCAGTAAGGGCAAACACTTAAAAGCATAAAACATATGTCTTAAATTAGGATCAATTTCGCAAAAAACAAATGATGGCAGTTTCAAGTAATTTGCTTTGTTTACTCTTCTAAAAGCCATGCTAAAGTAGTTCTTAGAAACGGTTTTCTTTATTAGCAACCAATTATAAGTTTTGTCAGATATAGACAATAGGTAGGGAAAGCAAGCAAGTTTGTTTTAAGTAGAGCAATTTCATTCACTCATTCATTCATGGAAGATCTAATTGGCTTTATTAAATGATTCATGAATTGGGCAGCATCCCATCTAGCAAAAAGATGCTCCCAGCAATTTCATTTTGAAAACTTCTATCAACTCTAGAGAATAACTGCTTGAAAATTTATTAGAGTAATTATATAACATACATGGAGTACCAAAGTCTCTCCTTGACCAAATGTTTGTCAGGGTCCTCTGAGCCCTCTTAGGTAGGCCATCTTGGCTCCATCCTATCTATGGCCTACCTAACCCAGTCCTAACAAGAATTCTTAGTTTAGTGAAAATTCTCCCACTTTTGATATGTGATCAAGTTCCTTATCCCCCATCTTTGATTTGTAAGTCCTCAATCTGCCTTTAGTAAGAATCCTATTAGATCTGTTTAGCAAAAAAAAAAAAAAAAAAAAAAATCTGTTTAGCAAGAGTCCCTCTACCCTTGATGTGTCCTCTTAATAATTTTCTATCCACTGAACCCCTCACTCTGCTTGATGGCTATAAATCCCCAGCTGTCTTTGCCTCATTTGGAGCTGAGGTCTAGCTCTCTCCCCTAATGAAAAAAATATTGAATAAAGTCTTATTTTAACAAGTGTCAGAATAATTTTTTAACAGGTCATCATTGTATGTCACCTAGTATAATAGTATATAAACATGACATACTTAAGCATAAAACAAGAACTAAAAAATCATCTCTTGTCTATTTAGTTTAATTATTTATTTAGAGACTTTACTTATTTATTCATGAGAGAGACAGAGAGGCAGAGACATAGGCAGAGGGAGAAGAAGACTCCCTGAGGGGAGCCTGATGTGGAACTCGATCCCAGGAACATGACCTGAGCCAGAGGCAGATGCTCAACCACTGAGCTTACCCAGGTGCCCCAGCTCTTGTCTATTTTATTTTCTAGTTAATCTTTCCCAACTATTCCCTTTTAACTTCTCTATGCACCAAGTTAGAAGGAAATCATTTCTTTGTTCTTATTCTAGATTCTCCTAATACAAAATCTCAGCATGTTGGTAAGAAGATTTCCAAGAATACATCTTAAGTGTTAGAAGTTCAAAGTCAGTAGTAAGCCTTAAGACATCTACTATTGAACAGAAAAAAAAATTAAGTACTGGCTCAACCTCAGTGAAGATTAAAAAAAGTCTTACCTTAAATCAAAAATAGGATAGATATTCATATGGAAGGAGGTAGAAGACCCTATTTGTTTTAATTAGAGGATCTAAATGTCTATATCAAGAACTGAGGAAGTAAAAAAGTCTATGTTCTAATGAGTTAGAAAAAAAGATAAAAATGACTGAAAAAGATCACATAAGCAACTTGTTGCTTAGAGGCTTACATGTGTTAAAATAATACACACTTTCACCCCCTATCCTAGGTGACTGGGCAGATAGCTAAAGTATTCTAAGTGCCAGATATACAAAAGTGCACTGTTTTAGAAATAGGAAGACCAAGTTAAGAAACTAAGGAAAAATCCACACCAAACACTGTGACATACAGATGCCTGAGAGCAATGACCAAAGTTCAAAAGGCAGAATCTGGTGGTAAGAACCTTTGCTGCATGGAAACAAAAGCAGTGGAAAACAGGAAGCTTTTGACTTTAAGACCTAATGCATATCTGGCCTGTTATGGCATTCTAAGTTAAAGGTACATCTTTTTACCAATTTTATCTTTTCTTTAAAACCCTTGGGAGTCAGACGTGGTTTCACATGCCAATTTTATCATTTAATTGCTTGGGTCTTAGTTTCTTCATCTGTGGGTAAAATATGTGCGCAAATCTAGGACTGCTTTAAGAATCTAAAGAGGTAACATGAGACAGACTTACACATAGATACTTAAGTTTTCCCTCCCCCCCAAGCAAATGCCTAGATGTTACTGAATTCTGAGTAACATATTTTCTTTACAGTTCAGATCTTTGTGTCTACCAGTTTATTTATTCACTCAAAACAACAACAAAACACTTTACTGGGTCCCAGGCCCTGAAATGAGTACTAAAGATAAAGACAAAAAGAATAGTGAAAGAAGCCAATAAATCGCCTTTTCCCTTAAGCTGATGGTTCTGAACTTTTGCTATATGTTAGGACACCCTGGAGAACTTTAAAAAAAAACGATGCCTGGGTTTCACTCACAGAAATTCTGAGGTAACAGATACAGGGTAAGGCTTAGGCATCTAGCTGTTTATTTTTAAAAGATTACATACAGTCAGCATCTTGACTTCAAATTTTTGTATACCACTGTCAGCAAAATAATTTATACAAATAATAGCTCTCAGTAAATATCTAGCAATCATTTAAAAATAACTGTAATTCAAAGCCAAATTTCTAGTGCAAATACAGAGTAAAAAAACCAAAGAGGAAAGAGGAGATGGATATGGGCTGGGTTAGTGAAAGACTACTGTAAGGCAGGGGAGAGTGGGTCTAAACCGAGCTCTCCAAAGTGCTTTAGATTGTAGGGGGAACAAGGAGAGGGGAAATAAATGAGGGGGCAGTAAGAAGGACAAAGGTAGAGAAAAAACAGCCTTTTGTAAGCAGACCAGTTTTGTATTATCTGGAGATTTTAAGAGTAGAATGAGATGAGTCAGATGGCAGTAGGTATGCTAATATCAAGTCAGATTTTATTCTGTAGGTAACAGAGAAGCGCTGAAGGTTTCTGAGTGGGAAGCTCTGTTAATAAAATTAAACTGTTAGTAATATGGAAGTACTGGAGTCCTCAATACAGCTTCACAAAACTTGGAAATTAGTCTGTCCTTCAAGAGTTAGCTATGAAATCAAGACAGATGCTATTATAGTGAGTTTCATTCACTCATTCAACAAATATCTAACAGTGTACTGTGTGTCATGCACTGTTTTAAGCAATGGAGACTCACCAGTGCATACACTTGTGGAGCTTAAGTTCTAATGGAGAAACAACAGGTAATATTAAATAAGCTACATGGTATGATAGCCATTTGATAAATGCTAAGGAATTTAAAAAAAAAAAAAAGGAAGGGCAGTGGACAATGAAATGTTAGGATTTGGAAATATACAGGGTTACCAGAGAAGACTTCACTGGAAGGCGACTTCTGATTAAAGAGTTGAAGGAAGGGATATAGAAGGAAGAGAACTCCACTGTACAGAGCAAACGCAAAGACCCTTTTGGGTGAGAATGTGTGGCTAGAACAGGGAAGACCAGTAGAGAATAGGTAGGAGATGAGGTCAGAGAAGTAAGTGGTAAAGATACAGAGACTTGTAGCCAGAGTAAGAACTTTTATTCTGAAGAAGATGAGAAGCCAATGATTTTGAGCAAAGAAGTGACATGTTCTGATTTACATTTCCTATCCAGATTATTCTGGGTGCTGTGTTGAAGACAGCCTAGCCTGCTGGCTGGTGAGGAGGAAGCAAGAGTACTAGCAGGGACACCACAGAGAAGACTATTGCCATAATCTAGGTGAGGAATCACAGTGGCGTCTTCCAGAGTATTTGGAATAAAGGTGTGGTGAGAAACAGTCAAATTCTGGGTGTATTCTGACGGCAGAGCCTACAGGATTTCCTAATAGACTATATGTGGATTGTGAAAGAAACAGGAATCAAAGATGACACTAAATTTTCTGGCCTGAGCAACTAAAGAATGAAGATGTCTTAAGAGGCAAAGGACTACAGAAGCTGTAATACGTAAAATTTTGATAAGTAAAGGCTTCCTTTCAGCTATGTAAAAACAATGTTCACTGCTGTTAAAAGTTAAAGGGTGCCCTGCCCCAAAATCTGCCATGGTCTTGGTGTTGCGTATATATCTCTTTTAAGGAGGAAAATGTCATTAAAATGTTAGACTATATAATTAACTTCCCTGCTTCCAACTCCATGCTTAAAGTGTGAAAAAATTGTAACTTGATTTCCCACGTTCCTGACCTACCTGAAAAATGTTTCTAGTCTTTTCTGTATTTATTAAATTAGTTAAGCTACTAAAAAAAAAAAGATTTATTTGAGAGAGAGAGAGAGAGAGCGCAAGAGCACAATCAGGGGGAACTGCAGAGGGAGAGGGAGATGCAGGCTCCCCACCAAGCAGGGATCTCAATGTGGGATTCAATCCCAGGACTCTGAGATCATGATCTGAGCTGTCAGACAGATGCTTAGCCAACTGAATCACCCATGTGCCCCAGTTATGCTACTTATATGTTAGCTTCATTTGTCTAGCTATTGTAAGTTTGTCCCTGAGAGGGCAGCCCGGATGGCTCAGTGGTTGAGCGCTGCCTTCAGCTCAGGGCGTGATCCTGGAGACCACAGATTAAGTCCCACATCAGGCTCCCTGCAGCTTGCTTCTCCCTCTGCCTGTGTCTCTGCCTTTCTCTCTTTCTTTCTGTGTCTCTCATGAGTAAATAAAATCTTAAAAAAAAAAATTTGCCCCCGAGAGATTTGGTTTTAATATTCTAATCAATCAAGTTTCCAAGCTAATAGGCAAAAGACTAAGATTTGGACAGTGGTTCTCAAGTTGCACGGAATTACGAAGTTTACTAAAAAGATTCCTCAGCAGTGGTCTTCTAAAATTCTGATTCAGTTGGTCTAGGACAGAACCCAGAAATCTGCTTTTGAAAGTAGCACACCAGGGGATGCCTTGGTGGCTCAGTTTAGGGTCTGCCTTTGGCCCAGGGCATAATCCTGGAGTCCCAGGATCGAGTCCCACGTCAGGCTCCCTGCATGGAGCCTGCTTCTCCCTCTGCCTATGTCTCTGCCTCTCTCTCTCTCTGTGTGTGTCTCTCATGAATAAATATAAAATCTTAAAAAAAAAAATTAAAGTAGCACAACAGTGACTCTACTGTGGGCAATAATGTTCCAAGGTACTGCTATATGGTAACATTCTTAAGAGGACAGTGCTCTTGGCCCTGTCATGAGGACTGTTGTGACCATTAAATTTCCAATATCATGTGTTTCAGTACTCTGAGTTATAAAACGTTTCAGACACTATAGATGGCACACCTGAAGAAACTCAAGAGTTCTAAGCTAATTTAGCAGTAATTATAATGTAGTCACAACCAAAGAACATCAATGTTTCAGTATCTATAGAACTATCTATGTCACTACAGCATTAAACTTGACTGCTGTATAGAGTTGTGTCATTGTTTTAGTGGAATTGTTGGCTATCTTAAATTTACGACCTACCATCTACTCCAAGGGATTAAAGTGGGTAAGACTGCAGGTCTGGAAGCAGAGTACCAACACTACTCTTACTAATTATGAACACTGGATTCATACATTTTTAACATCAAATGTGCCCCAGTTTACTCAACCATAAAATGTGGCTAAGTATCTATCCTGTGGGGGGATGTTTTGAAATGAATACATATTAGTACATGAAATAACTACCACATAATAAGAACTTAAATGTTACTCCAATGCAAAACAAAGAAGTCTCAAGGCAAGGTTCTCATATGTTCCAGTGAACTTACTACCTTTCTTTGGTGCAGTTTGGCATTATGCTATCTTCTTGCTTATGTTATATTCAACCTACAGTGCATATGATCCACTCAACTGAGTATTCTATCGCATAGCCCTGGTCTAACAACATGTATGTGCAGTCATAGGAATGATAAATTTTACATACAGCTCAAAACTTAATAGTGTGAAGAACTATGGTAAACCAATAAAAATATAGTGAGATAAAAGAGGCTGAAGGCAAAGAGAACTAAATGTTCTTAAAAATAATTCAAGCATCAGAAAAGGTCCTGAATGAAGACTAACAGGAGAAGGAATGTGGATGAGCCAGACATATTGTTAAGTCAAAAGTACACCTGTCTGTATATGCACAAAATAGAAAAGGTACTGAAAAAACTGGTAACATTGGTTGCCTCTCAGGAACTGGGTGGCTGGAAAACAGGGGTGAGGGAGACTTTTTACTCATGCTCTGTCCTACATTCTAAGCACATGATTATAGTTTCTACACATCAAAAATAATTTTCTTAAAAATACTAATGGAAATGGCGGAACAGAACCTTATGATAGGAAGGAAGAACATACAGAACTAGAGTACTAATTGAACATGAGAGAAGAAGCTAAGAAGGAAAAAGATGATGCCAACGTTCTGAGTCTGTATGACTAAAGGGAAACAATGGTGGGATGAACCGAAATGTAAAGAGTATCAGGAGGTTCTGATGAAGGGAAAAGAGAAAACAACAATGCACTTAAGTGCATGTTAAATTATCACGTACTTCAGAAATCCCCAAGTAGTTAAACTGTCTTTAGTATCATGACTGATTTCTCTACCCAGGGTTTTTAAGAGCCAATCCATACAAGAACTTGAACTTTTTTTTTTTTTTTTTTAGCATGTGAGAAAATGAGAGAAATTCATGCACACAGAAAAGCACAAATGATAGTTGATCTTATATAGCATGTATTTTCTGAGCTCTAAAGGACAGAACTTAGAGCAGATGAAGGAGGGGGTTCTTCAAGGTTAGATGCACATATTCACAGTCATTCTGGTATGTATAAGACTTTGCAGCTTTATGGGATTTACTAGGTAAAATGCTCCAAGAGGAATCTAATATTCCCAGCAGTGGCATGGCATATCACTAGTAATGGCAACAGATGCTCAGGCACTATAAATGCCCAAAGAACCCAGAGCATGCACATTCTGGAACCCAAGAAATATCTAGAGATTACCAGAAATAACTGGGGGTGAGGAAGCATGAGCTGAGGAAATATAAGAACGAAGGAAGGTGTGATTGGTTTCCTTCGTATCAACAGGTTGTGCTTCAACTATGTACCTGGTGCTATGCTAGGCACTAAATAAAAAGATACAGTTTCAGTTACCAAAGAATTCAGTTTTGTTATCAGGGCAAATGTGCAAAAGCAGACAGATAGAAACTCTTGAAATATTTTAATATTTCAGCTGCCTGTGTCTCTGCCTGTGTCTCTCATGAATAAATAAAAAAAATCTTAAAAAGAAGTTCAATAAACTTTGTTGAGTTACTTTGATACAATTCTTTATCTATTTTACAAGAAAACGGAGGCCCACACAGGTTAACACCACCACTGTGAATTTTCCAAAATCACACTGGTGGCTAAAAGCCCAGCAGAGAGAGGCCAAATCTCCTGACACTCAGAATCATTATTTCTCACATTTCTAATTCTCTGAAGGGACAACTCTATTCTGTTTTTTTCGCCCATGGTTACATGGGAAAAACAGTAAAGTGCAAAGTGCAAGGCTTCTGATTCAGACAAACCTGAGTCTGAATTTTCTGACAAATTATAATACTTTGCTTAGCCATTAAGGCTAATCCTAATAAAATAGATGTTCTGGGAGAAATTATAATAAACCTACACTCTTAACCAAAGATGGGGCATCTGAATTTGTACCTGCTTAGGCTTTATGCTCCCATCCATGGATTTTTTAACAGATTCTATGAATACTACTCAGCTAAACCAACTGAAAAAAAGGAAGATAAAAGAATAGCAGTATTAACACTAACTGATCACTTGTCAGAAAATACCTAATGCAAATAAGCTCTAGCATTTATCCTATGACGGTAATAAATCATCTTATTAGAAGATTATTAGTTTATTAACTAAGGAGATAATATACATTTTAAAAATCCAGTTTAAATGTGTATTTTTTCATGAGCTCTGAGAGAGCCCTCAAATTTCTGTGTCTATTCACATTTTCCACATCTCTCCTAAATAATTTTGATAAACCTCTTTCTCAAAAAAGTGCCTTAGAGATGATATAATTGTCTAAGCTTAAAGCATACAGACTCATTTCTCAGTTATGGCATTTTTGAGGTGGTTCACAAATATTCTACTAGTTAAGCTGAAGGGAAAAATATGCTAATTGCACTTTTTTTTTCCCGGCCTTAATTCTCTCTGCAATTATGTTTTAAAAATGCTGAATCATGAAATAAAGGAAACAGACAGTGCAAGGACCCCAAGCAAGTAGTTTGTCTCATACTTCAAGTTTCCTAATTACGGTATCTTGTCATTTTGGTCTTGTTAAGCATTTGGAACCAAGTAACTGAAGACTCTAAGTGAATAGAAGAATACACTCATTGTTATTCTCAGAAACTAAACTCAAGAATAAAACTAAAAGCATTTATTTTGCAAGTTATTTTACACTTTCAGCTTCCTGTTTTATTTAGGCAGCTCATCATGACCATTTCAGGTAACAATGTAGAAGTTAAAAAACCCAACTTCCTCTTTGTAAAGTGATAAAAACCCCAAGCAGTTACTTAAGAGAATGGTTGATCTTACCAGCTTTTATAGAAATAATTGCAAGGAAATCAAAGACTATCGACACCAAATTCAACTCTGGGTTTTCACTGCTTTTAGGAAATGCAACAAAGATAAAAAGCAATATTAAAATATATTCAGCATCATGACATAAATGCCTTAAAAACTCGAAATCTAATGCAATTAAGATCTTAAATAGGATAAAATGGAAACTTCAGAGTTCCTTCGAGGAGGAATCAATGCAAATTATGTCTGAAAATATCCTGATTTTAACATTTTTTTTGGGGGGGGGGGATCCCTGGGTGGCTCAGCGGTTTAGCACCTGCCTTCGGCCCAGGGGGGTGATCCTGGAGACCGAGGATGGAGTCCCATATCAGGCTCCCTGCATGGAGCCTGCTTCTTCCTCTGCCTGTGTCTCTGCCTCTCTCTCTCTCTCTCTCTCTCTCTCTCTCTCTCTGTGTGTGTGTGTGTCTCATGAATAAATAAATAAAATCTTAAAAAATAAATAAAATTTTTCTGTAATTGTACTTTCATTGTGAAAAGTTTATAGGAAAAGAATCTCTTTTTTTTAAAGATTTTTTAAAAATATTTTTAACACGTTTGCTGTATCATTATTAAAATTAAGCAACAAAAGAAGTATGCTAAGAGATTAGAGGAAACTGGTCACAAATCTGCTGTTATAAAATCAAGACTATTAATGTTGTTGAACATTGTCATGTCCAAAGACATCTCAATTTGCACTTGAAATACATTTTCTCAAGTTTAATTAAAAAGGCATTCTAATTTTGTCATCTAGTTTTGTCAATGACAAAAACCCAACAATATTGGTAAATGTAGTATTTAGTGAAATTTTAACAATATTTTTCCTTAAAACAAGTGAACCATCAGTTCAGCTAACAAATGTAGGGTTATTGTGATTTTTACTATAATTTAATTTCACCGGCATCATAACTATTTGCCTTAGACTAGACATTTTATTGCAGATTCTGTTCGGCATAAATTCATATATGACACCCTTTTCTCCCCTAAGTCTCACACACAAAAATTTTCAAGAACGAGAAAATTTAACGCCAAAGTATTATTCAATGGCTTGTGTTTAGCACATTCTTCAGTGTTTCAAAATGACATGGCATACATAGGTATGACATATCAAACTACTCTGTACAGAATACTCTTGGATCATTAACGTTCCCTTGTGTCATCTCTTCTCTTGTATTAAAAAAGAAAGAGCCCAGATGCATTTATAGAGCACACAAGACTGCACATTTTGTAACAGCCACTGTGGGAAATAAAAGACATAATTCTTGTCCTATAGCGAGTCATCTAGTGAAATCATTCTAATTTCTGCAGGCCCTAAAATCAGGTATTCACTGAAAAGCCTGACAAAGCATTAAGAAAGCTGTACAGTTGTCAGCAAAAAGTTATTCCACCTAACGTAGAGTATGCGCTTGTATCTAAAACATTTTTAAAGAAGTAAATACGCAAATTACACGCTTACAAATTTAGCTATAATCAATGACACCACAGTGGAGCATCAAAGACGATGCTTTGTCCAGACCGAATCTGTTACCATGAAGTTTATGTGCTATATAAAACCTTTATGGATTCAAAAAAAAAACCCGCTGGCTATTCTTGATTTGTGAACAAGAAAGGGAAAACTCTTCTTCAAAAATTACCCTTAATAGTATGCAAGACGCAAGGGATGGAGTCATCGCTTATTGTGTACATACGTGCAATCAATCAAGGGAGGGTCTACAGGTAAGAGTGGTGTTCAAATCCTGAGGTAAATATCCTAAGGCTTGCACATTTATTACTGAGAATTAGTTCAGCCAATAATGAGAAAAGTGGACGGGCGGGCAACACACGGGGACCTCTCCCTGTCGAGGAGTCGTGACAGCAAAATCACTTCCTGAGGAAGGAGGAGCAAAAGGGAAGTTAAGAGGCCACCCTGACCAGGAAGTGACTCGCCCTAAACTAGCCTCAATCATATCTAAAAATGGGGGGCTGGGGAGAGCCCCAACAGTTAAAGGCGGTAAAATAACTGCTTCTTGATCCGAGACATCACCATCCACCCCTCTCTTAATTACAGAAAAGAGTCCACAGTCACGACTCAATAAAGGAAAGTCTTTTCTCTTCCAGGAAGGTCACTGGGTTGTCACTCAGGCCCAGAGGGAGAAAAAGAGTTGAGGAACGGGGAACTGGGGCCACTGTGAGGCAGAGGAATGCCCCTAGAGACGGAAGTGTCCCAACTGCAGCGGGCATGCCAGCACGGCCCAGCAAGGTTCTTTTCCCTGGGGACACTGCCAGGGTTTCCACCGCAGCCAGGTCAGGCCCCTGTTCCCTGTCGCCGGAGGACGCAAAAGAGAGAGGCGGACCCCTTACCTTCTCCTCATCCGACACCCGATCCTCGAAGTCGGCCATCTTGGGCTGCTCTGGCCCAGCCCGGCCCGGCCCCGGCGCGAGGCAGGCCGGGAAGGAAGCTGAGTGATGGAATCACCGCGGGGGCCGTCGGAGGGCCCCGCCCGGAAATGCCGGCCCAGAGGGCGCCATGTCAGTTACTGGCGGGGGTGCTGGCTCCGAGCGCCGGCCCTCGGGGAGTCTGCAGCTCTGCCTCAAGGCTGGTCCTGAAAGGACTTTAAGTCTAATAGCTTTCTCACTGAGTTACATTCATGTCCCCATTCATCTATGAGGCGCTGGGCGCGTGTTTCGACTACTGACGCCCGAGCTCCTTCCGACAAAATTAGAGTAGCAATTGCTAGCCTAGGTTTTCCCAGTACCCGTGATCTCCGTGGCAGCCGAGTCCAAAGGGTTAAGTGCTGCTCGGGCCCTGAACCGGTCGGTGGCTATTCCAACCCCATAAATAGGGTTAAAGGTGACCCTCACTCGTATGGAAGCAAAAACATTTCAGTCCGAGGTCACATCTCAGTCCAGTTCCTCCAGAATCGGCGCCGCTAGCCACCCCTTCCCGCCCTCCGAAGGAAAGGTAGACTGGGACGCTCCTCCACCTTCCAAGTGTCTTTGGTCCGCGTTCCTTGGACCTTAGCTTTCACAGAGGCCACCTTCAGGTCCGCCACTATCCCAGGATTCCCGACTCCCGGCTTCCGGCCCTTCTCCCCTCCCAGCTCCCGGAGCCTGCGGGAGCGGCAAGATGGCGGACGGCGACGGCTTGGGTGAAGCAGCGACCGCTGCGGCCTCTCCTCCTGCACCTCCTCCCGGCCTGAGCCCGTCGCTGGGCTGGAGGGAGCGACTGCGGGCCGGGCTGGCGGGGACTGGGCCCTCGCTGTGGTTCGTGGCGGGGCTCGGACTGCTTTACGCTCTGAGGGTTCCGCTGAGGCTGTGTGAGAATTTGGCTGCGGGTGAGAGGCCCAGACCTCCCTGGGGACGGGGGGAGGGGGCTAGGAGAGTGGCTGGGGGCAAAGGGCGGAGATCGTCCGCAGTCCCTGCAGGGCTTCGGAGAATGCGTCGGCGGTGCGGGATCTAGTGGGCTCTCCTCCGGGGCCGCAAGTCCGCAGCTGGTTGTCAAACCTGAGCCTCCGCTGTGGGCTCCTCCCTTGAGCTCTTAAGATCCGCCCTCCCGGTTCTGTCCTCGCTTACCCGTGGAAGAGCCGCCTGACAAGCTGTAGGATTCAGGTAGCAGAACAGATGAGAGCATTTTCGTATCGGCTGCAGAATTACATACACCCCCGGCATCGGTAGAATCCCTTGAAAATCATTCTTCTGGGTCTCTCGCCGATTAGCTAAGAGTTCCCACACCTAGACAACAAAGATGAGGGCTTATGTATTCAAAGGCCAAAAAGGAAAAAAAATGCCGTGAACTTAGCCAACCATCGTCTCATCTTAAGATAGTCCTGTCAAGAAATGATTTTCGTGGTATTTTGGTCTGTTCTTTGCTTTAGGCTTTATCTGGAGTAATAGAGCAGCACAGGAAGTAAAGGGAAAGAGAGCCACAAACCGTGACGGGTTCTTCTTTCAACATTTATAGAGAGCTTGCTTTGTAGTCCGAGCTGAAGATGCAAGGACGTGTAAGAAGTGATGATTCCCTGGATTCTGCAAATACTGCCCCTGACCTGTAGCCAGGGCAAAGTGGATGGGAGCCAGGGCCTCTTACCCTGTCATTACAGTATTTCCATTCAAGCTCTGAACAAGATGAAAGTACTTCGGCTGTGTGATGGCTGTGACTGTCACTACCTGTGGTTTATTTTTCTGTCGCAAGAAAAGGCAAATGTTCCCTTTTCTATTTGACAGGATGACATGAAATACTGTAAAATAATGTTCTGAAATATTTTGGACTTTTTAAAACATAGGTTATATGTAAGCTCAGATATGAGTAACATATCAAAACAAACTAAATAAATTGGCTGAAAGAGCTAATTTGGTGTCTCTGTAATGTTAATGAAGTGCTTACTAGTCATATGCCCAGCAAAAATTATTCATTGACTTTATCATTTATTTTTTCCATGTGTTAACTAGATACACCATTTAGATGAAAGTAGTTAACTATGATTGATTTTTATTTATTTCTGAAACCTGTTGTATTTATGAGACAGTTATTTGAAGTGGAAAATCTGGTCCAGGCTTTCAGTGAGTCAGATGCAAAGATCTCTCTCAATCTGTTGCTCTTCTCTTTGGTTTATTTTGCCTCTCTAGCTGACATACCAAATACATACACATGCTGTTTCCTTCTAATTTAAAACGGTGGTTTGTATCCCGCCAAAATAATTAGGGAGTGATTTTTAACCTCCTTTGTAGCAGAATGTTTATTTAGTTTATCCTTAGAGATTTGCAAAACTTCTTATCAAAGTTACGGTTTATAATTTCTTGATTCTCAAAAGTAATCTAAATTATCTCATCTTTATTTGCTTATTTAACAAATTATCAGTTTAAAATGCTACCCTTACAGGTTCAAAGGTAATTTTTAAGATATGATAGAATGGAAATTCAAAGTGCCTTTTTAAAAGTTACAACTTTCTCAAATGAATCTCATACTGGATATTAACACTATTTATATCCCTCCACTCATAAAGACTCCTGCATATTTGTAACTTGAGTATTTTGAATTTGCATTTTTTTAAACTTTGCTCTTTTTTTTTTTTTTTCCCTTTTGCAGTGACAGTATTTTTAAATTCACTGACACCCAAATTCTATGTGGCACTTACAGGAACATCTTCTTTGATATCAGGACTAATATTTGTAAGTAGTTTCCATTTCCTTCATGATTTGGTATTTATCTAAAGATCAAATTTCGGGGAATCCCTGGGTGGCTCAGCGGTTTAGCGTCTGCCTTCGGCCCAGGGCGTGATCCTGGAGTCCCAGGATTGAGTCCCACATCGGGCTCCCTTCATGGAGCCTGCTTCTTCCTCTGCCTGTGTCTCTGCCTCTCTCTCTCTCTCTCTCTCTCTCTCTCTCTCTCTCTCCCTCTCTCCCCCTCTCTGTCTCTCTCTGTCTTTCATTAATAAATAAAATCTTTAAAAAAATTAAAAAAAAATAAAGATCAAATATCTTCATAGTTACCATAATTACACATACTTAAAGATTAGCATTCTCAATATGTGTTCAGAATTTGAAAAAAACACTGCATCTTCCTCTCCACTTTGAGAGACTGGCAGTATTTATTTTTATATGGAATACTATTGCATCCTGGAAAGGGTAAGGATTGGAGGTGGGTTCCCAACTAAATGCTTGCAGGGCCCAGTTTAGTAACGAAAGTGAATAAAATAGGCAGAGTGTAAAAATTAAATTCCTTTTTTACATTTAGGACTGGCTAGTCTGAATAACGCATGGTCCTTCTGGAAAGGGATAAAGCTAGTTGTTGCCATATAGATTTGCAAACCACTGTTATGAGATCTTCCAATTTTTTATATGATTTTGAAAGAATCTGGATGCAAGAAGTTTTTATATAAAAGGCTCTCATTATTTTAATCTGGGCAACATCGGGCAGACTAAAAATTTGCGTCTTGAATTCAGCTAATAGGTTGCCAGTTATCTTCTCTGGAATGTTTAAGAGCAGAGTATTGGAGCCAAGCTAACCATCACTTTATTTATTTATTTTCTAACTGTGAGAAGGAAATTTTTTTTAATTGAAATATAGCTGACATACAGTATTAGTTTTCAGAACCATCACTTTGTGTCACTTTGAGTAAGTTAATTAACTTTTCTGAGCTTCAATTTCCTCTTCTATAAACTGGGGATGACGGTATGAGCTTCATAGGATTATGAAGAACAAATGAGATAATGTGTGTAAGAGCTTTCAATAACATGGTAGCTAGCTCAGAGCACTTAATGAATTTTAGCCATTATTATTCTGGAAGTCTTGTAATGAAACTTGTTTAACCTCAATTCAGCTTTTCCTTGTCTTAATTGAGTGAGCTATCATTTTCAATTAAGAAATTAAAAAAATATATATATATAATATATCTCTATTAACTAGAACTAGTGTTTCTTAGTATGCTGCTACAGTATAAAAATCTTAGGAAGTATGACCTGCATGACCAATGTTTTTTTTTTTGTGTGTGTGTGTGTGTGTGTGTGTGCTTCTTTTCTCATCTCTAGATGGTGCTCTTCTATTATAGTAGAAATAATGGCATTTGTATTAGAGTGTTTTTTGTTTGTGGTTTTTTTCTTTTTTTTTTTTTTAATAGGGACTAATACTTGGCCATTTTTTAAAGTGAAATACTAGACAAGATAGGGATTTTCTCTTGACTTAGAATTACTGAGGAATTTAGGATGAAAACTATGTGGTAATATAGTCCAATTAGTTAAAATTTACTGATTATAAAGCCCATTCATAGTTAAGCATATTTTAATATATTTAGTCAATAGCATGTAGAAATCTAAATAAAGAGAATGATCTATCTTTAAATAACTGATGAGTGGAAAAAGCACTAGTCTCAGAACCAGAAGATGTAGTTTTGAGTCTTAACTCTGCCACCTTACGATCTGATAACTTTGGGCAAGTCACATAAATTTTCTGAGTCTTAACTTCCTCATTTGTAAGAAGGAGAAAAGCTTACACATATATATGTATAAAACACAGTATGTGTAATATATAAAATAGTTCTTCACATTTGTTATTGTTTTTAAACTAGAATTTTAAATTTACAAAAATTAAGAAATTCATATTGTAATAGCATTGTATGGTGATGGTACGTACATTTGTGGTGAGCATAGCATAATGTGTAAAGAAGTCAAATCACTGTATTTTACACCCGAAACTAATGTAATTGTGGATCAACTATACTCAAATTAAAAAACTTTTTAAAAAGTAAATTAGGCTCAGTAAGAGATTAACAACAGTAGCCAATAATAAAATAGACTTGTTATAACAATATACTGTAAAGAAAATTAGAAAATTCAAGTAGTGTTTTAAAGGTTAAACTGTGTCATGGCCCTTACAATATCGGTGAGTTTTTATTAGCAAAAGTTATTATGTTTATAATTTTTTTTTACTCCCTGAAATGAGGAAGCTAGCTATACTGTTTGTGTTACTTCTATCTGAAGGAGTAGAGGACAGAGTGCTTGGGAGCTTGAAAAAAGCAATGAAGCCAGTTGTTTAGCTAATTATTACAAGTGAAAAGATTACTTGGAAAGGAAAACTCAGGATCCAGTGGGAATGCATATAATACTGCTTTCTGTTCTGTTTAGTCAGGAAAGATTCCCTAAGTATCTGTCATTTAAGCTGAAACCCAGAAGAGCCAGGCAAAGGTAGTTGAGAATGCTAGTGTCCAAATATGCAACATTCATAGGCTAGAGATCTTTCTTTCTTTCTTTCTTTCTTTCTTTCTTTCTTTCTTTCTTTCTTTCCTTCCTTCCTTCCTTCCTTCTTTCTTTCTTTCTTTCTTTCTTTCTTTCTTTCTTTCTTTCTTTCTTTCTTTCTTTCTCTCTCTCTCTCTCTCTCTCTCTCTCTCTCTCTCTCTCTCACCCAACATGGGGGTAGTAAAACCTGGAGATCAAGAGTCATACACTGTACTGACTGAACTAGCCAGACACTCCCACAGAACATCTTTTGATTCATCTTTCATAACAGTGATAAACCATGAAAACATAAAGGAGTGAATATCCTGATTTTTAAATGTTTCAATATGAGAATCAACCTCTTAACCTACATTAATTACACTGCCAAATATTGGAGTAATACTTCATTATTCAGAAGACACTTAGAGGGTATCCCTGGGTGGCTCAGCAATTTAGTGCTTGCCTTCGGCCCAGGGCGTGATCCTGGAGTCCCAGGATCTAGTCCCACATCAAGCTCCCTGCACGGAGCCTGCTTCTCTCTCTGCCTGTGTCTCTGCCTCCTTCTCTCTGTGTCTCTCATGAATAAATAAATAAAAATCTTAAAAAAACAAACAACCCCCCCCCAAAAAAAAGGCGCTTAGGATTCTTAACCATGTTTGATAGACAGGACTTTGGGGTCTAAGAGGCTAGAGATGGAGTGACTTAACCCAGAGCACACAGGAGGACTGGAGCCAAATGTGGGTTCTCTAACTCTAGTCCAGTGGTTAATCCACCATGCTAGTTGTTTCAAAACTGTTTTTCTTCTAATTATGCTACAGATGGAATAAAATGACAATGTAACATAACAGAGTTAACTTATTTACAGATTAAATGTTCTTGCTGGTTTTTTGTTTAAGTAATCTCTATAACCAATGTGGAGCTCAAACTCCCAACCCAGAAACCAGCAGTCCCATGCTCTCTCCCGACTGAGCCAGCCAGGTTCCCCTGTTTCTTGTTGTTGTTTAAATATTTAATTTACAGATATATTTCTTCTAGTTTTGCCTAAGGTTGTCTAAATTTCATAGCAAAGCTATAAACAATGATTTTATTTTTGCCTGGCATGTGTTATTGGGGAAATCTTTTGTTTCTCTTTTTTTTTTTTTTGGAAGGAGAGTACATTTAAAACACTGAATTAAATGGGAACATCTTGAAAGAATGTTTTAATTTGATCTCATATATCTTCTGATAGTTCTGTTTCTAGTTAAGCATTTTTTTTGTTTGTCATAGATATTTGAATGGTGGTACTTCCATAAGCATGGCACATCTTTTATCGAACAAGTATCTGTGAGCCATTTACGACCACTGATGGGAGGAACAGAAAGCAGCATTTCAGAGCCAGGTTCTCCTTCTAGCAACAGAGAAAGTGAAACCAGCAGACAGAATTTGTCAGGTGACTAATACGTTTTCAGAGCTGTATAGTTAAGATTATGTTTGTCTGGGGGAGATAGAAAACTCACAACATAGAGGTTTGTCTTTCATGTAAATATAGGTAATCTACAGCTGATATAGAAAGCAATGATCATCAGTGACTCAGTCTCTCATTTTGTTAGCCTCCCATCCCCAAGTGAATTTTTTCCTTGTGGTCCAAGATAGTTGCTCTGGTTTATGCCATCATATCCACATTGCAATCAGCAAGGAAGGAGACTAGGCCAGTAGTCTTTCTTTCCCACAGCAGCCAAGGATACTTCTCAGTGTGTTACATACTATTTCACTTTGCTTCCTACTGGTCATACCTCTGCCACATGGCCATAAGTACCTATAAGAGAAGCTAGAAACTGTAACTATTTTCTCAGCATACATATGCTCAGCTAATAACTGGGAGATCTTATTAGATAAAGGAGAGAACAGAGACAGCCATTTCTGCCAACATCACAAAGGTAGGAAATATACTTTTTATTCTCAACATATTTATAAAACCATCAAAATCTCACTTATTCATATATAAATACTCCATTGTCACACTTTAATTGTAGGCTTTTCTTCTGTATGTATCCAGTAATACAAGGTAGATACTATTAATGATGTGCAATTAGGAAAGTAAAAATTTGAAGGCCAGATAGAAGTGATATTTTTGGACTAATTAATTTAATATCAGCTAAATTCATATAGTAATAATGCAAATGACTTAATTACATAGAGTGCCATAATGTCTTGTTTGTTCAGTAAACCTAACCACTGGAATTCTATTAGTTTAGTAGAAAAATACTGCTACATCTTTTTAGATGTGGTCGGGAAAAATCTCTAAGAAAATGCCATTTAAGCTGAGCCCTGAAGCGTGAGTGGTTGTTGACCAATAATAGTAGGGATGGAATTAGCAGCCATTCAAGAGTACAGAAAGGAATAATGGTACTTTTCCTACCCCTTTTCTCCTCTTTCATAAAATAATTACAGAACTCCTGAGAATAAGACATATTAAGGTGAATATGACATAGCTCTGTCTTCAACAACCTAGTTTAGTATGTAAATAATTATTACGACAATAATGCATCATATGGTCTTATTCCCTATTGTGAGATTGAGTATATTATTGCATACGGAGAGTGAAGACACTCCTTATCCTGCACTCTAGCCTAACTGGACTGTGTGATTTTTATGACACTTCCTCTCCTTAGAATGTTCTTTATCTGACAACCTTTTACTCATGATTTTATAATGATTTTACCAATTTTGTTTAAATGTCACCTCCTTTCTAAAGCCTTTCCTGATTTCCCCAGAGAAAAATTAATCACTTTCTTTTTTCTTCTCTTGAAACAAAATATATCTCTTTATTTATTCATTCATTCATTCATTCATTCATTCATTCATTCATGAGAGACACAGAGAGAGAGAGATAGGCACAGACACAGGCAGAGGGAGAGGCAGGCTCCATGCAGGGAGCCTGACGTGGAACTCATCCCGGGTCTTCAGGATCACGGCCTGGCCTGAACGCAGCGCTAAACTGCTGAGCCACCTGGGCTGCCCACAAAATATATCTTTACTATAGCACGTATCACACAGTATAGGTGGTAGTTTACATGACTGACTCTCATGTAACATTTCATTCATTTAAACAAGTTAGTTCCAAATGCCGTGCTAAGCTCCAAGAATACAAAAATGCACTTGATCTTAGCCAAAAGGCCTAGAAGCCATCCAAGAATACAAAAATGAACAGTGGTAAGAGCTCATATTTTACTTATTTATTTTTATTTATTTATTCATGAGACAGAGAGAGAGAGGCAGAGACACAGGCAGAGGGAGGAGCAGGCTCCATGCAGGGTGCCCAACGTGGGACTCGATCCCAGGTCTCCAGGATCACACCCCGGGCTGAAGGTGGTGCTAAACCACTGAGCCACCTGGGCTGCCCAAGGGCTCATATTTTAAAAGGAGAAACTAAAAACTAAATGGATAATCACATTGTGATATGTTAAGTGCTGTAAGTGAATTATGAACTAAATGCTATAGAAATAGAAATAGGAGAATAATTAGGGTTAGTTGTATGCTGTGTGACAGCAGGGGTGATCCAGACCTTAGTCATCTTTGTGTTATTTGGCTAGCACTATGCATAGCATACAGTGACTATATAATAAATGTTGGTGAGATTAAGATTTAACTGCGGTTGATTAAGCTAACTCATTTCACTTTTTTCCCCCTTTGTTTTTTAGAATGCAAGGTATGGAGAAACCCTCTAAATCTTTTCAGAGGAGCAGAATATAGGAGGTATTACATTTTACTTTCAGTTTAATTATAGCATTAGTTTTGGAGTACAAGTATTATGGAAACATTTGTTTTTTTTTAAATTTTTTTTAAATTTTATTTATTTATGATAGTCATCACAGAGAGAGAGGCAGAGACACAGGCAGAGGGAGAAGCAGGCTCCATGCAGGAAGCCTGACGTGGGATTCGATCCTGGGTCTCCAGGATCGCGCCCTGGGCCAAAGGCAGGCGCTAAACCACTGTGCTACTCAGGGATCCCGGAAACATTTGTTTTTTTTAAAACACATCACAACCCTTCTAGTTGGAGAAACTGATATATAATAAGGTGAAATGATTAGCCCAAGCTCTAGTTGGCAACATCTTCACTGTATTTACTTTTATAATCCTGAGAAACATTGCTTCAAACCATATGTTTGTCATAATAGTAAGTATAAATTTGGCTCCTGGTTTTGGCAAAAAGCCTTTTCAGAGAATTCATGAGGTTAAGAAGTACAAATGTCAACATATTCTTATGCATATATGCTCAATTTCAAAGTTTATTTGAGGACTCACTAGAAAATACCAATCTGAATGTGAATATGAACTCATTTGTGCAACAGTACACGATACAGTAATTTTATATTGTATTTTATTTTTTAAAAAAGATTTTTATTCATTTTAAGAGAGCAAGTGTGCACACATGTGCATGGGGAGGGGCAGAGGCAGGGGGAGAGAATCTTAAGCTGACTCCATGCTGAGGGTGGAGCCCAGTGTGGGGCTTGATCTGGCAACCCTGAGATCATGACCTGAGCTGAAATCAAGAGTTGGTTGTTCAACCAACTGAGCCTCCCAGATGTGCCCCTTGTATTTTATATTGCCTTTTGCTAGCCACATTACTGTTTCCATTTCTCTTCTGGTTTTAACCCTAGATGAGGAAACAGCTTTTGACATTTAAGCCAAGGATACTTAATGAGGGCTGTGTTTTACCTGGAGGTAGACTGGGGCATGTTATTTAATTCACTGAACAAGAAACGTTAGGTGTCTACTATGTACAGCCACTGTGCAAAATGATGGGGATACAGGATCAAGCAATAATCCCTGTGCTTAAGGACTTGATAGTGTAGGATAGTAATATCCTGGGAAGGGACAGTTAGGTTTTTATGAGAAATGCCTTTAGTCTGTATTAAGGGATTCTGAAAGAAACAAGTCCTTTAACTTGTCACTTCATTTGTTGAAGTAAAAATCTTTTAGGCTATTTCTTATTGTATTACAGTGTTTACTTCACACAGATATATAAAAGAACTATCTTAATACCAAGAATTTATATTTCTTTTTGAAGGGTTAGTTTCTCTTAATATAAAAGTCTCAATTGCATTGATAATCTGTGTGTGGTTTTAGAAAGCTTGAAGTCCTATTGTAGTCAATCAACCTTTAGCAATTGTACAGAGCTCTGGTATGTAATTTCATTTGTTAGATTCATTTCAGGCTCTACTTTATGGCCCAATTTTTGCTTTTACTGAGTCTTTTTTTATTTGCTTCTAATTAAGCTCATTAATGTGTATTATATTTTTTAACTCCTTTAAATCATTTTGGGAATAATGTAGATTGTTAATAAAGCTTTTTTTACGAGTTTGGCATATGTAGCAAAACTATGCTAATTGAACAAGGATCTACTTTTTCTTTATGGTAATTTCTCAAAATAGCTTAAAAACTTTAACAATGCAACTTCTACTATTAAATTAAAATCTTTTATCATATACATATAAAATACTTACAATGTGCTTTTAAAATGCTTTTTTTGGACTTCAAAATGTATGCATATTCATTGTAGAAAATTGAAAAATGAAGAGATATATCAAAAAGAAGGTAAAAAAAATAATAAAGTAAAAATCACCTTTCCTAGCACCAAGTGATATCTGCTATTACTATATTCATCCAGTATCCCTTCTATATGCATGTATAAAAACAAAACTGGGTATCATTATGTGTATATAATTTTATTTATTTATTTATTTATTTATTTATTTATTTATTTATTTATGATTTTTGTTTATTCATGAGAGACACACACAGAGAGAGAGACAGAGACATAGGCAGAGGGAGAAGTGGGCTCCCTGCAGGGAACCTGATGTGGGACTCTGTCCCAGGACCCTAGGATCATGCCCTGAGCCAAAGGCAGACACTCAAATGCTAAGCCACCCAGGTGCCCCTATTGATTTATTTTTAAAGATTTATTTATTCATGAGAGACTCAGAGAGAGAGGCAGAGACACAGGCAGAGGGAGAAGTAGCCTCCATGCAGGGAGCCTGATGTGGGATTTGATCCTGGGATATGGGATCACACCCTGAGCTGAAGGCAGACACTCAACCACTGAGTCACCCAGGTGTCCCTGTATATAATTTTAGATCCTTTTTTTTTAACCCAAAGAATGAATTTTCCACAGAATTTCTTCATACATGAATTGCTTTTTTTTTTTTTTTTAGAAGGGGGAACAGAGAGGCAAAGAGAGGGGGAGAGAGAGAATCATAAGCAGATGCTCCACTGGGTGTGGATGCTGACAGGGGGTTCAATCCCAGGACCCTGAGATTATGACCTGAGACCAAATCAAGAGTCAGATGCTTAAAGCCAACTGAGCTACCCAGGTGCCTCTTCATACATGAAATTTCTTCAAAAACATGATTTTTAATGGTTGTACTCTATTCTGTTATATGGAGGTACCATACCTTTTTTTTTTTTTTAAGATTTTATTTATTCATGAGAGAGAGAGAGAGAGAGAGGCAGAGACACAGGCAGAGGGAGAAGCAGGCTTCATGCAGGGAGCCCCACTTGGGACTCAGTCCCCGGTCTCCAGGATCACACCCTGGGCTGAAGGTGGCGCTAAACCACTGAGCCACCGGGGCTGCCTGGAGGTACCATACCTTACCTACTGCTCCCTGTCTGGGTCACAGATTATATTTCACAGTCAACATTTACACTAGAGGGGTATCATTATATATAAATATTTAGCCTATGATATTAAATGATGATTATTTCCTTAGGGCTGGTTTGTAGTACTGAGATTAGTTTTTTTATTTTTCCTCTGTGCTTTAATATATGTTTTTTTATTATGGAGATTTTCAAAAATTAAAAAGTAGAGAGAATGGTATAATAGAATTCCACATACCAATCCCCTATAGATATTTCTAAGACTCCTAATATATATTATCCAATTGATTTTTGGAAAGAGAAATGTAAATGTCAACTTACATTTATACCAGCATTATATGTGAGTCCATATTCCACCTCATCCTCAACAACATATATTTACCATTTGACAGATGAAAAGTAAAAATTTGTTAATTTAATTCACTATTTGTTAATTACAAATGAGATTAATGACCTTTAAAATGTACTTGTCAGTTTGTTAACTTGCTGTTAATTTTTGTGGGTTTGAGGGGGATATGAAAGTTTAAGTTTCTAATTTAGTAAAATCAGGAAAAAGTTTCTATTTGCTTCATGCTTTTAAAGCCCTTTACCATTTTGACATCTAGTAAAAGTCCACCTATGTTTTCTTCTAGTTTCTTGTAGTTTTACTTTTAATAATTCTAATTCACTGAGAATTTAAGTATATTTATTTAATAAGGTAGGTATCTAAGTCAAATTGTTTTATCCTTTCATATCTAATTTAGAAGCACTAGTCTGCTCTTTTCCCTTTTGATTTTTGATGTTTTATTGTCATGCTCTAAGTAGTTTATATAGGTTTATCTCCTGTTTTTCTGATAAAAAGCTGAAATTGATAATTATAATATGATAATCCTGAAATAGAATTTGTAGCAGTATCTTTTTGCACTTTAGTATCTGTTATAGCAGGTAGATGCTCTCTCATGTTCAATATACATATTTTCTGTGTTTTGGTAAAGATACACTTGGGTGACTGGTAAAGAGCCACTTACATACTATGACATGAATTTGTCAGCTCAGGATCATCAGACCTTTTTCACGTGTGACACGGACTTTTTACGTCCTTCAGACACAGGTATGTGTCATATCTGTTCATGGGGTAAACAGTGGTGATGAAAATTATCTTAAAAATTTTTTATAGTTACTTATACAAAATTATTTGGCTTTGAAGTTGTTTACATCATAGTTAAGAGACCCAGATTAGATTGAAACTAATTATGGAAAAAAAAGAAACTAATTATGAATGTTATTACACTACCTATCCTTCTTATAAGAAGTTTATTTTATGAATGTATGAAATTGTTTCTTTTATTACTGAAAAAACCTTTTAGATCAAGTACAACTGCTCATGCAGAAAACAGTATATCCAGTTTGGCCTGGGAAATTAATGCATGCAATTATACATAAAAGAAGACGACAAAGTAACAAAGTATAAACATGGGAGCATGGCATGTAGATTAAAATGGAGTATATTTTATCACTGCTTAGATGGAAAACCCTGGGAAGACAAGAGCTGTGCACATTCCTTAAAGAGCATAGTTAAAAAAAAAAAAAAAAAAAAGAGGATAGTTAAAGAATGTACATAGTTCCTACATGGAATACTGTGATAATCAGGGCTCATTCTGTACAGAGTTTATTAGGGTACCATGTACACAAAGGTACTAATAAATATTACTGATATTAATAACAAAAAATGAAGTATATTTTATCCCAGTCATAAGCTAAAGGTGCATATAAAGTAGTGGAAGATCATAGAATTGTCTATGCTTAGGTCTCTTTGAGTGTTCTATGTAGAAGACAGTATTGAGACTCTTAAATACATGATTAAAGACAGGGATCTTTATCACTATCCTTTTACTTTGAATGCCCTCTCATTTCTTATCTATCCTCCTTCTTTCATGCTTCCTGCTTTTATCCTTAAAGATGCAAATTAAAGTCACATTCTGTAGGTACCCTTCTCTCAGAACTCCAGAGTGAAACACTTTCTTCTCTGCAGTACTGCAGTACTTAGTCCAAGGCTCACTGAAACAATTCTAGTTAATTTATTCAACCACAAACATTTACTTGTTAATTTTATCATGTTGCTTTAATGTTTATCTTCCCTAATAGGATGAGAAACTTTAAGAAAGCAGGGACTGTATTCTCATCATCTTTGAATTGTTATTATCTAAGAGCACATTGCCTGGCATGCTGTAAATATTAATATTTATTTTTTGGTGAAAGTATCAGTGAATGACCTTGGTGTCACAGATGTCTTAAGCAATTTCACTAATAATAGCTAACACTTATATAAGACTTACCATGCAACAAGCACTGTTCTAAGCAATTTATATGAAGTACTGATTTAATCTTCCCAGTCATTTTATGAGGTAGGTACTTTTTTCAGCCTCAGAAATAAAGAAATGGAAAAAAGGAAGAAAGGAAGAAAAAGAGAAAGGGGAAAGAGAAAAAGAAAGAGAGAAAGAGAGAGAGAGAAAGAAGAGAGAAAGAAAGAAAGAAAGAAAGAAAGAAAGAAAGAAAGAAAGAAAGAAAGAAATAGAGGCAAAAGGGAATCAAGTAACATGCCCTAAGTAACCTAGCTAATAAATGATAAAGCTGGATTTCAAATTCAGGTCTGACTTTTAACCCCACTATATTACTACTATTTCACCATTACTACTACTTTAGTCACCATAGTGATTAGGCAAAAGAAAATCACCACTAGGGGTCTGAAAAATAGCTTGTTTTTCAGCTTTGAAGTGAATTCTTTGTGATCTGTATCTATTGGACTAAATATACTAAGTGTGGGTGATAGCAGGAAATCCAAGGATCTTTGGAATGGTTACATAAAGGGTTTACTTGCAAATAGAAAAAGGAATAGTTTTATGTTTATATGCTTAGTGTTTTTTTGTTGTTGTTTTTTTAAAGTTTTTTTTTTTAATTTTTTTATTTATTTATGATAGTCACACAGAGAGAGAGAGAGAGAGGCAGAGACACAGGCAGAGGGAGAAGCAGGCTCCATGCAGAGAGCCTGACGTGGGACTGGATCCCAGGTCTCCAGGATCACTCCCTGGGCTGAAGGCGGTGCTAAACCGTTGAGCCACCACGCTGCCCTAATGCTGTACTCTTAAAACATTTGTGTTCACATACCTCCTAAAGGAATTTTTAAAAACTATGTATCCCCTTCAAATATTTTTAACTTGACATCATAAGATTAAATTATTGCAAAGAATATGATTTTTAACATGCTGAAGGCTGTTACTAGAATGAAACTAGAATACCTTATATTTGAATGTATTTCAAGGAATCCAATGACTTGATACCCCCATTATCCACTGAAAAAGACATCAATTAATACTCTTTAGCCGTAGTAAATTTTATGTGAGTCTTTTTTCTTCTTGAACTCATCCATTTCCCACCCCTATTTGATTTTATTATAATTATTATATACTTGAGAGCCTTTATCAATGTTTTTCCACAATAATTTTTTTTGGGTATAACTTTTTTAGAATTTTAATTTCCTTTGATCATAAGGTTCTAAATGGTATCATGTACTTTAAACTTTAGTTATATTTTTCTCAAATCCTTGGAACTACGTATTTGGCTATTTCAGCTGTGGAAAATGTCCTCCATATAACCTAATTGACAGGGTAAGTTCTTATTTAATTCTGTCAACCAGATCAGACCAACTTTCTTTCTTTCTTTCTTTCTTTCTTTTTTTTTTTCAGACCAACTTTCTTTTTTTTTTTTTTTTTTTAAATTTTTATTTATTTATGTATGATAGACACAGAGAGAAAGAGGCAGAGACACAGGCAGAGGGAGAAGCAGGCTCCATGCACCGGGAGCCCGATGTGGGACTCGATCCCGGGTCTCCAGGATCGCGCCCTGGGCCAAAGGCAGGCGCTAAACCGCTGCGCCACCCAGGGATCCCTCAGACCAACTTTCTGACAGAAAAGTCTGGCTTCAGTTTTCAGGTCAAACATGTTAACATGCATCCCTATGGCAACCATTTCTCTTCTGAATTTAGATTCTAAGATAGAAAGATAGATAACTCTTAGAGCTTTACCTAGAGCCTATCACTTGGCCAAAAGAAGATTCCACCCCCTCTATTATTCTATACTTGTGCCCCCTTTGCCTTGCTATGAGGGGACTTTCTGTTAGGAGCAGCACATTCTTTGATATAAGGGGGGAAGGGATGCTGATAAATGGAACTAATAAAAATTGTTATCACTCCCTTTCCACACTACAATATACTTGAATTCAAAGCATCCAGGGGCCAGAATAATCTTATTTCTGATGCCAAGCTTCACAGTTAAATAAAAGGAATTCCTATTGTAGATGCCTTGACAAAAAATGACTGCCCCCAGACCCAAACTTTGAATTGCCCTTTTGGCATTTGGAGACTTTTTACACTCTGGGGAATGCACCTTGGAAAGATTCAGGATGGATGAGAAGTAAGTGTTTTTTTCTGTAAAGTAAAAGAAGGGAATCTTTGGGGGGTGGGGAAGCAGATGTTGAGTAGGAAAGGGAAACCAGTACAATGAATAGAACAATCAGAAGAACATTCTTCCAAGTAGATAAGTCCTTGGAAAGAGCAAATAAAAAAGTTGAGGCTTTATAAATTGGTTCTCTTAAAACCGCACATACTATTTTGGTCCTTCCAAAGTCTCATGTACTTCTACAGGTATGCATAATTCCAGCTAAATACTGAGCTCAAGGACAGACTTTATCTGTAAATTGATCCATATTGATCTTTTCAGACACTTATATAAAAGTTAATGATTTATATCTGTAGTTTTGCAGTAAAAAATGTGTACATATGTGTGATGTGACAAATTTCTCTTGATTGTCATTAGTTACTAAGTAGATTCTATTCTCATCTTACTGATTTATTTATTTAAGACAGAAAACAAACATATCTTTAGGGCCAGCCAGCAGTGTTCTGTTGTATGTTTTTTCTTTTCTTAAGATTTTATTTTTAAATAATCTCTATACTCAGTGTGGGGCTCAAACTCACAACCCTGAGATCAAGAGGTTCATGCTCTACTAACTGAGCTGGACAGGCGCCCCTGGCCAGTGGTGACTTTTGAATAATTTGTTTTCATGGTATTTTCTCTTCAACAGGTAAGAATCAGGAGATTTGACATTAAAACCCAGATTTACACTTTTTGAAAGTTGGAAAATATGGTAAAACTGGACCTGCGTGTACACCTTGCAAAAATCAGTTAGACCTGTGACTCCCTCCTTTAGATAGTGCACATACTTTTAGTTTACACATTTATGTTTTCTGCTTTGACTTTGTAGGCATCTTCATTTATAATCCCTGATCTTGGGATTGGTTGTTTTCTTTTCTGCTTATTAGCATATTGGATTTTTTAGAAAATATTTTATTTATTTATTCATGAGAGACAGAGAGAGGCAGAGAGACACAGGCAGAGGGAGAAGCAGGTTCCATGCAGGGAGCCTGATGTGGGACTTGATCCCAGGACCCCGGGATCATGGCCTGAGCTCAAGGCAGAGTCTCAACCAATGAGCCACCCAGGCATCCCAGGATATTGGAATATTATTTAACTTTAAAAAATAGATAGATTTGATTGAATTGTGTTATTTTTTTAAGCATATCAAGAGCTCCTAAAGAGGACAGTTGAGCAGTTCTTTCTGCCCATGAGTCTTTGATAAAAACCACTTTTTTGCATCAGAAAAAAGAGGACAGTTGAATACTAAATCAGCATTTTCCTTTAACTTATTTCTAAGCCTTGTTTTAGAAAGAAATATAAGTTTTCTTCTTGAAGTTTATTTTCCCTTTCCCCTTTGGCTTGGAACTGCATTGGTTTTGAGGATTAATCTTGAAGGTGTGGATAGAGCAGTTGAAAACCAAAGAATATAAATAAGAAAAAAATACATAAACGTGGATCAGATGACCTTACTAGAAATAAAAGAAATGGAAATGAAGATGTTATAGTTTCCATGCATTAAATAAGCAAAGATTGATACCACTCAGTGTTGCTAAGTAAGGAAATAGTCACTCTTCTCCACTGCCTGAAAGATGTAAATTAAGTCTTATTAAGAAGAGTTTGGGAGGTTATCCAAAATCTTTTAAAAGATGCATACATTCTAATCAACCATTCTACTTCTAGAAAGAAATTATTTGGTCAAGTATGCAAAAGTAGATGTTGAAAGATGGTTATTATAGCATTCCTATAATTAGCAAACAATTTGATGTATCTTAATAATGTAAGAGAATTGCTTAAATAAATTCTGAGAGATACTTAATATACTAGAATACCAAATAACCATTTAAAATGTTGATGAAAATTTCAGTCTCCAAATTTGACTTTAAATATCATGTAACTTAAAGAAGAAAGCCCCATCATTAAAATTGGCAAGTCTAATATTATTCTTTAGTTTTCTGCAACTTTTAATGTTTGAGCAAAACCCTATTCATTACCTGGTTATTATCAGATGGTTGCTGACTTGCATCAATTTGTCAAGTTCAGGAAGCATTTACTGTCAGACAGCTGGTGACATGTTTGATATGAGAAATGTATTTTTGCTACACAAGGAGAATATATTGTCTTCTTTTCTAAGCCAAGACTAATATTTTGTTTCCAAAGGAAAACTCAAACATTTTCCACATTATTCTTGCTGGACAGTTGTAGGTTTTGTTCCAAAAGCAACATTCATAGATTGTCTGTTTTTCTTATCAAACTTGAGATAGGCCAGATAGTTTCATGAATCTACTTTGTTTGTTTAATTTTTAAGAAACTTACTATTTAGTATGAAATTTTATTTAGAATTTATTAGTATGAAACTTTCATTTTGGTACAGTACTTGGTAGCAAAACTAATATTCTTATTCTAGAGAGATCTTAATTCATGCTTTTGTTGAATCTTGGTAGAAACTGACATTTTCCAGAAATGTACTATATTCTAAATTAATTCCTTTTCCTACCTATAATTTTATACAGAATGCAAATTCAAATATTCTTCTTGGATTGAATCATTGATTAGACAAAGACTTTGTTTTTAAGTGTTTTGTATATTTTTAGCAGTTCCATAGACCCTTTTCAAAGTGATAAAAGAACTAGAATATTTCATATTGGTTATAATTTGATGTCACCCAATTTTAATATGCATATAGAAATATAAATGTTCAAGTATAATAATGGTGCAATTAACTGGATTAAATATCTTATATGTTAAAAAATCAGAGAAAGAATATATTTTTCTTATGTGAGACGCTTCCAAATTTAATGTAAATTTCTCATAAGATTAATGTGAACTAACACTCCAATTTCTTGTTTCTTATGTTTAAGAACATGTTATTTAAATCTTTGTTTACTCTCCTAGCTCATTCTTCATATGTTTTGCGTGAGATTATTTATGTTTACCATCTCATTTACTTTTTGAAATATTTTTCCTACAGTTATGCAGAAGGCATGGAGGGAAAGAAATCCTCCAGCTCGAATCAAAGCAGCCTATCAAGCTTTAGAATTAAACAATGAGTAAGTAAGTTTGAAATATACGGAAAGTAAGTTTGTTTTGAGGGAAACTCAGACAAATGATTTTATGTTATCTTTTGTCTCTTTCTAAGACACTTGGAGTCATTAGCAGGCCCTTTTTTTTGTATACTTGAGACAAATTTTGCAGTATTCATGGACATCTGTACTTTGATCCTGAAATTATGAACTTATCTATGCTTTTGAATAGAATTTATCCTAGAGATACTTTTTAAAATTCAGAATGCTTATCTAATTGGTGATAATTCTGGAGAGTTAAAAAGTACTAAAATACTTATGCCACCTTTTTTAAATTTTGTTTTTCATTTAAATCATTCATTTAAAGCATTTATTCAGTCCTGAGAACTTTAGTTGCTAATGGGTTCGGAGGCATGCGAAGAGGATTCAAAATAAGTAGAATGTAGCTCTAACTTTTTTTTCACTGTTGAGCATTTACTTTTCATAGCTCTTTGTATCAATTCTATATTTTGAAAAGGCAAAATGTAAAATCATAAGTTAATATTTAAGTACAACAGATCAATAAATATTAATCTGATACTAAATAAATGCCAAGAGTGAAAGTATGGCCCCAGTTGGGGTTAATCAAGGAATGCTTCCTGAATGATGTGAATTTAGCATTGTCCCCTGTATCCTTTAACAACACCCCCAAGATATATTATCATTATTATGAAGACTTTCCTAAGGTGGCGAAAAGTCATAAATTATTATGAAGATTTTCCTAAGGTGGAGATATATTATCATTATTATGAAGACTTTCCTAAGGTGGAGCAGTGTAGGGAACTCCCAAAGCCGTGTATCAACTTTATTGAAACTCTGGAAACTAATTAAAAGATTATAGCATCCTAGAGAATGCTTAATCAATTTGAAAAACAGCCAAATTTCTGTAAGAGAGCTTTGTTTTTGTTTTAACTTAACACTGGTCCCATCCCGACTCCTTTCCTCAGTAGCAGCCTTGAAGTCAAAAGTCTGCATTGTGGGTATAGGTTCCTGCTACCAGAGGAAATAGAATGGATCTTACTCTTAAAGATTTGTGCTTATTTTGACCTTTCTGGTGGCTCTCTGAAGGACCAGCTCAAAGGGCCTGCCTTTATTTGGGTTAATTCAGAATTTTCCCTGCATTGACTCAGCTACACTCCGGGGGCATTGTTGAAAACATTGAAAGGCAAATGCACTAGTCCCCGCTGCCCTGGGGCAAGGGATACAGGTAGGGTAAACAATAGACAAACCGGAAAGCTTGAGAGGAAAGGCTGAGGAATGAGATACTTTGGGGAAAAGGGTTTGAAAAACTCACATATTTCTGGGAATCTGAGTCGTCCCCCACACACCCAGGGTTGGGCACATGCTCAGAAGAAGCTTAAGAGGACCTGAGCTCTTATGTCTGTCTAAATTTCAGTTTCTACACAAAGTAAAGGCTAAGGCAGAGTTGTAAACTGCCTGACTGTTGAAGGTGTGCCCCAATACACACATACAGCTCATCTGCAAAGCCATGTGTTTTTGTTTTGTTTTTGGTTTCAGGTGTTTAAGGCAATCTCTATCAAATCACTGGTTGATGCATAAGCTAAAGGAGTAGAGGCTTCAGTAGTTACATATGATAATGAATACAAACTTCAGAAAATTAGTTCAGAAAGTCATTAAACAAATAACTAAAACAAGCCATGGGGAGGAGGGGGGGGAATCTAATTGCTAGAGTTACTACATTATAATCTTCAAAATTTGCATTTTTAAAAAAATATTTTATTTATTCATGAGAGACAGAAAGAGAGGCAGAAGCAGAGACACAGTCAGAGGGGGAAAGCAGGCCCCTTGCAGGGAGCCCGATGTGGGACTCGATCCCAGGACTCCAGGATTATGCCCTGGGCCAAAGGTGGGCGCTAAACCACTGAGCAACACAGGCGTCCCAAAATTTGCATTTTTAAGCAAAAAAAATTAGGAGACATACAAAGAAACAAAATATGCCCGATACACAGAAAAAAAAAAGGAAATGGATGAAGACTGTCTTCAAGGAAGTCCTCAAGACTGGACTTTCTAGACAAAAACTTTAAGTCACATATTTTAAATATGGGCAAAAAGGTAAAGGAAGTTATGTACAAAAAACAACAAAAAGAAGTCATGAGAAGAATATCTCACCTTTAGAGAATATCACTAAAGATCTAGAATCTAGAAAGAAATCTAGGGAAAAAATTTAGAAATCTAGAAATAAAGATCAAGAATCTCAGTGAACCCCAAGTAAGATATAATCAAAGACATTAGAGAATATCAGTAAAGCTCTAAAAAGAAATCTAGGAAAAAAATTTAGAAATAAATCTAGAAATAAAGATCAAGAAGCTCTGTGAACCCCAAGTAAGTTATAATCAAAGACATCCACGATGTGACACAGTATAATCAAGCTTTCAAAAACCAAGGACAAGTGGAGACTCCTGAAAGCAGCAAGAGAAAAGTGACTCATGGTGAATGAGGGATCCTCAATAAGATTAACAACTAAGTTCTCATCAGAAGCCATAGAAGCCAGAGGAGAGTGGGATGACAAAGTCAAAATTCTGAAAAAAAAAAAAGAACTGTAAACTAAGGATTCCTTATCTAACAAACCTCTCCTTCAAAAATGAAGGAGAAATTAAGCATTCCCAGGTAAACAGAAACTGAGAGAGTTCATTGTTAGTAGACCTATATTATAAGAAATGCTAAAAGGAATTTTTCAGGGTGAAATAAAAGAATACTAGACAGTCTTGACTTCACACAAAGCAATAAAGAATACCAGTAAAAAAATAATTACATATACAAATATAAAAGTTAATGTATTTTGGGTTTGCAATTCTTTTTTTCAATATAGTTTAAAAGACAACAATGTAAAACAATACTTATAAATCTATATTGATGGACATATAGTTTATAAAAATGTAATTTATGACAACAACATGGGGTGTAGGGAACAGGGAAGAGCTATAGAGGAGCAAAGTTTTGTATACTATTGAAACTAAGTTGGTATTAATTGGAACTAGATTGCTGTAAATTAAGATTTTAAGTATAATTGGGGGCAGCCCGGGTGGCTCAGGGTTTAGTGCCTGCCTTCAGCCCAGGGCCTGATCCTGGAGACCCGGGATCGAGTCCCACGTCGGGCTCCCTGCATGGAGCCTGCTTCTCCCTCTGCCTGTGTCTCTGCCTCTTTCTCTCTCTCTCTGTGTCTCTCATGAATAAATAAATAAAATACTAAAAAAAAAAAAAAAAAAAAAAAAAGATTTTAAGTATAATTGGTAATTGTTAACCACTAAGAAATAACTAAAAAATATGTAGTAAAAGATGTGAGAAGGTAATCAAAATGATATACTAGAAAATACCTAACACAAGTACTGCAGAAAATAAGGACAAAAAAGGACATATAGAAAAATAGAAATAAATCCTTCCTTAGTAATTACTTAAATGTAAGTAGATTAAACTCTACAGATAAAGGCATTGATTGGCAGAGTGGATTTAAAAAACAGTTCTACTATATGTTGTCTATAAGAGACTCTTAGAGACAAAGAAGTAGGAAGTAAAAGTATGGAAAAAGATATTCCATGGAAATAGTAACCAAAAGAGAGATGCAGTGGCTAAACTAATATCAGACAAAATAGACTTAAACACACAAAAAAATTTGACATTTATTTATTTGGGAAAGAGAGGGCAAGGGAAGGCGCAGAGGGAGAGGGACAAGCAGGCTCTCTGCTGAGCATGGAGACTAACACAGGGCTCAATCTCACAACCCTGATCATGACCTGAGCTGAAATCAAGAGCTGGACTCTCAACAGACTAAGCTACCCAGACACCCTGACAAAATTTTTGTAATGCAATTACATTATATAATGATAAAAGAGGTTCAATTCATCAAGAAGATACAACAATTATAAACTTATATGCATTTAATAACAGAGACCCAAAATATATGAATCAAAAACTGACAATTGAAAGTAGGAATAGATAGTTCAATGGTAATAGTTGGAAACTTCAACATACCATTTGAATAATGGATAGAATAATAAGACAAAAGATACAGTAAAGTGGAAGACTTGAACAACACTATAAACTAGACCTAACAGACATCCATATAGCAGTCTATCCAACAACAGAAGAGTATACATTCTTCTCAAGTGTACATGGAACATTCTCTAGGATATATCACATATTACAATATAAAGAATTCTCAGTAAATTTCAAAAGATGGAAATTATATAAACTATTTACTGCAACCAAAGTGGAATAATATTAGAAATAAGAAGGAAATCTGGAAATTTCACAATATTGGGATATGTGGAAGTTAGACAAGACTCTTAATGAGTCAAAGAAGAAATCATAAGGAAAAATTAGAAAATACTTTGAGATGAGTAAAAATGAAAGTACAACATACCAAAACTTTTGAGATAGAGAAAGCAGTGCTCAGAAGAATCTAAACACGTTAATAAGGAAAAAAAATCTCAATCAGGAACTTAAACTTTATACCTTAAGAAACTAGAAAATGAAGACCCAACTATACTATAAGTGAAAGGCAGTAATAGAGATTAGAGGGAAATAAACAAAATAGAGAATAGAAAACAATAGAATCAATGAGACCAAAGGCTGGTTTTTTAAAAGATCAAAAAAATTGATAAACTTTTAGCTAGATTCACCAATTAAAAGAAAGAAAAGACTCAGATTACTGAAATTAAGAATGAAACTGGGAGCATTACTACTGACCTTAAAAGCAGAATACAGTGAACAATTATATTTCTCCAAATTAGATAAATAAAATGGACAAATTTCTAGCAACACACTACAAAAACTGCCTCAAGAAAAAGTAGAAAATCTGAGTAGACCTATACTAAGAGATGGAATCAGTAATTTAAAAATATCCAAAGAAAACCCAGTACAAGATCCCTTCACTTGCAAATGCTACCAAGCACTAGAAGAATTAACACCAGTCCTTCTTAAGCTCTCCAGAGAACTCATTCTGTGAAGCAATATTACGCTCATATCAA